TTTGTCCGCTCGGCAGAGAGATCGTATGCTGAAATTATCCTTATGACATAACTAGGTACATTCGGTAATAGGCGTATTTAGTGCACGTAATGCGACGACATTATATCTTTTAATTTCCTATAAGACTTTGCACTTTAGATTTATCGCTTTATCGCTTAACCGAACGATAAGTATTAAACGCATCGATTCAATCGGATTCGATTGTATTCATTGCGATGTCCTGATGTCATAGGCTTTTAATCTGCATACGACTGAGTATAATACCAAAGAATATTTATAGCACGTGTAAATGTTTACGCTTTCTTTATACTTTTCTTGATATAAATACCGTACATCAAGCTGCATTTATAAAAAAAAAGTAAAATTTTACAATGTTTGATTCTATTTATAATATTTACTATATTTTAAAATTAATTTATTTATTATTGTAATGCGTTCAACTTTGATGTGGCTCGTTGACTTGTTGTAATTCGTGTGGTTCGCTTTTCACGTTTTAATTAGTTATGACACGTTAATTTATCTTTGTATTTATTTTTTATTTATTGTAGCAATCATATAGCCTAACTCTTTTTCCGTAATTTTTATTAATTAATTTATTTTATAGCTGATGAAGGCCCTATGCAGTTCTAAACGTTCCAGTAAATTTCTTTAGTAGAAGATAATAAATCACATTATATTTTATACAATAATCTCCTTATCGCTTGTTTATTGACCTATGATTGATCCATTTTCCACATTATTTTGCAAATATCCTGACTTCGTGTATTATGTAAAATTTTATTGACAGAATGTAAAACGCCTTGATGTACATTAAAAAGAAACAAAAAGTAATTTAGACCTAATTATGCAGAAAGGAATAAACTTGACAATTTCTGAATTTTTGAGTCCGTTGCATAACGCTGCGGAATATGTGTGCGTAATAAAACCAATTGTCAGAAATCAACTGTGCGTCAAACTTATTAGAACACAATTGCTTTACGTTTAATTCGAGGCTGTAAATTCGAAGAATTGCGCCTTAAACTGTGCAATTGTTCCGCGAGCGGAAGTTCAACAATAAGTGTGCGAAGTCGAGTTAACTGGAGCGTTCCATTAAACGTTAACGAGGAAAAAAAAGCTGTGCTCAATGCAAGGAAGTGTGAGTCTCCATAGTCAAGGTCATGCCTTGGTGCACGCCCAGAATTGACATGACGTCTTCTCGTGGTGACGGAAATTGGCGGCGCCCACGTTCATGATGGCATGGTCTTGCAATCGCCTTCGAGGAAAAAGATAGCGAAAAAGACGGCCAGTCGGACAGCTGCGACAGCCGATCGAAATCATCGAGATCGCCAAACAGCTGAAGAACATGGGGCATGGGGCGTACCAGACTTGCTGGAATAGCGGCGGAACCGAAGAACGGGACCAGAAAGAGGGGATGGCAAAGTATAGGAGGGAGAGAACGGAAGGAAGAAGGGGAAACGACTTGAAAGAAAGAGAGAGAGGAAAAAAGAGAAACAGGGAAAGATAGGAACAGGAAAGGTGTCAGTTGAGGAAATTTCCATGACGTAGCCATGCCGCCGCCGTCGCCGCCGCCGCCGTGCCACTTGCCATTGCCGCTAGACATGTCACGAAGCGACTGACCGAGCAAACTTAACAATTTTGGAGAAGGGGAAGAATCGTGCAATTTAAAACAAAACTAGTTTTTATTACGAAAGAGAGACCCAAGAGAGAGAGGCCCAGTTTGGCGATTTTTGGTGTCGAAACAGCGGGAGAAACGATACGAATAAGAAGCCCAATCGGAATGAAGACTCAAGAGGATTCGTAGAAAGGCTTGCGTGTGAATGTCGATTTCTACGAAATTCTGTTACCATAGAGCGAAACCTTTCATTGGAAACAGAGGATTTTCAAGACTCGATCCAAACTTGCTGGTAACTACTTATCCCTAATATAGAGTCGACACAGATTCTTATTTATTAGATTCGTGCAAACGATATACTATTTTTCTATCAAATTCTATTGTGAATAAATTTACTGAGTTATCTGAGTTTTTTAAAACAAAGATTGATGGAAGATCTCTTTCTAAATGAAAAAAGCACATTGAAACTAAAAATTTTCATTTTATAATAATCTAGATTTTAATTTTACTGGACAAATGTAACAAATCTTCTTCTAATATAACTTTATATATTCGAAAACAAAAATTAAAGCATATATAGGCACCATTATTATAAAATCAATACAAAATGGAGGATTAAAACGGGCCGAATGTTACAAATAATTCAACGTTCCGGTCTATATGTCCAAAAGAATTTAAGTTAATAAAATTTTCAATAATACATAATTCTCGTTTATTATCCGCGCAATGAGAACGATTAGGGCTTCGTTCTCGGATTAAAAACGCGCGATACGGGTGTTGTGCAGACGGTTTGTTCACCGCGTGGCATCGATCGCCGATACAAAGTCAACGCACGGCCAGTGAGTCTCGAGGAAAACCACCTTCGTCGTCAATCGATCGGGGTCACAACAGAAACTAGACGTCCGATAAAGAGCAACGTTTTAAACATTTATTCATTCTGAATCGAAATGAGCGAAATAGAAAAAAGAACACCGCGCCATCGACGTCCTGTTTGGCTGGCGACAATTTTGAATAAACTTTAACGACTTGAGAATATGACTTTTTGAGAATACGGAAAGTATTATCTTTATCATCGTCCCATTTAAAAATAAGTGACGTTCAGAGACGGTCCACGTGTGTCGGTATACATGCAATCGTGGAAAGCCAAACATTATTGAAATTTTAAATAGCCGCGTTGCACGGCGCGAAGGTCGGTTGAAAATATACTTTTACGCCGTGGCCGATTTTCGCGTTCGTTAAAACCACGATAAGCAAAAAAAAATGTTGCGCACTGATAAAATCATTTTGTTCTAGCGCGAAGGTAGCGTACTTGTGAATCAGTTTTGCATAAACCGAACCCGCGACGATTTTTAGAGTATATCACGCGCGTTATCGCGCGATTTCTCGTAAATTGTGAGGGTTTCTTTTTTCAAGACGGTGGGAAACATCCGGTGCACTTATCGTATCGTGATAATGAAACGCGAGTCGATGCGTAGAGTTACCAAAAATAAACGGCATATGATAGAGCGCAATCCGAATCAAGAAATCGAAAAATGTCGATGAAACAGATAGATAAGCTGCAACAGGACACGTTTTTCAGTTCCGAAATAATTTACGATAATGGTGCATGACGCATCGCATGCTGCGCACGCATTTTATGTGTATACATTAATTCAAGGAGAACGACCGCGATAATGATTTCTCGAGGAATGGCAATTTTTTTATCAGGCGTTTCACTTCACGATGAGTCAGGAGGATGACTATCTGAAATATTGGGGAATTTGCAATTGATCGTTATCGCCGCGTAACTTAGTTCGCAAGAACTTCTTCCTTATCTCGAGTTAAGGAAGTCATCGATTTACCTATATTGCGTAACGTGAAAGACGAAGTTTGCATTACCGAGTTTATGTTGATAAGGCGATAAATGATAACGTTCGAATCGCCCCAGAATTCCAGTTTGTCCATTAGTGTCGTAACCGTCTTGAAGCAATTTTTACTTTAAAGCAAAAAAAAACGAAGAATGCTCTAACCTTCTTTATTTTAAAGTAAAAATTGCTTCAATATGGTAATCAATTATCGTAATTAATTAAGAACACATTTAATACATTAAATGTTTTATCAATTTATATTTTTCAATTAAATTTATGTTTAAAAAATATTAAAATAATCGCGTTAGATGTCATTCCGTTTCCAACATATCATAATCAATTCCAACAAATCATAATGCGACACGATTAATTTGCATAAAATCAACGAATGCAACGTAAAGGAAAGGAATGCGAAATAATCGCGGAGAACAATATGACGACGGGCTTGCCGACGATTCGCATAAATGCGCTCACCTAATTACACAATTGCCATCTACATATGCAGAATACATATGCGTAATCGTCCGTGACGTCCCAAATTGCGCGTATCCGTAATGAAACGCATTACTCGGAATCAAATCCCCCCTCCCCGCGTGATTCGTTTTTATCAACTTCACGTGGCGCACGATTTATAAATTCGCCCTCGCGGCAACATTTTGGACAATCGTAGCTGTAGTCGCTGTACGTAATTTTTTTTTTATTATTTCTCCTTCGATCGCACATATATCTATTACGTTTCAAATACAAAAAATGTACGAAAGCGTAGGTAAAAAAGTAGGTTGAATAGACTTATTGCTGATATCGCGCGCGCAAATGTCAGTGACGTTTCACGGACTGTATATTACGCGCGACCGTGCCATGTGGCGATTGCATACGCGCGATAAGAACCACGTATATGTCAATGCCGCGAAATATCTAAGCAACTTTTCCATACTGTCCTTTAGAATTAACAATTAAAATTCGAATACCGCGAGCGGCGCGCGATTTTACGGTAATTTATAACGGAGCTGAAATGAAGACTCGAGAGACGCGAGAAAGAATCGTAGGATCGCAAGAAAATTAAAGTATATTCTTTTAAAAGGTACTGTCTTAAATACCATTTATCGAAAGTGACTGTAAAAATTATATCCCATTTAGATTATTACTTGCCTTGAACGTTCTTGTAAATCTGAAGTAATTTAATCTTGACACGTGAATTTTTTTCAAAGAGAAATAAACTTCTGGGAATATAGCGTCTCTAAAAATATACCCTTTTCGTGCTATCTTCGCTTATAAAATCAATAAACCCAACGTGCCGCGATATGCGGTATCTCGATATACTTTGATAGCAAACGTAAATTTTTACTCGGCATAGAATTGGTCAGTTGCACGGCACTATTACGTGTATCTCGGATTCGATTGACGGAAGATAAATTACAAATTCGGTAATAATTAAGCATTGGATGATAAGTTATTTAATAAGTCATATATCGAGCACTCTCACCTGAATTCTGCCGCCATGTATCGGTATTCCGAGACTCTTCGTGTTGTGCGACATCGTTGAGTTCGGCGTGCTCCGGTCGCTCTGGTCTCAGAAGACTGTCTACTGTCTAGCTCCGAGTATGCAACAGACACGTATATAAATATGCGTGTTTAGCTGTATATATTTATGTGTATACGATTCCTTCTGCTCCTCTCTTTCTCTGTCTCTCTCTCTCTCTGTCTCTCCCTCTCCGTGCGGCGTCCGAAACGGCGCGGCGCGGCGTCGAGATGAAGAAACGTGGATCCGCTCCGAAATTCGAGCCCGCTAGCAATGGGGGAAGTCGGTGTATTCCCGCGTGTGAGTACGCACGCACGTGTACGTGAATTCAGACGATTGGATGAGGAGGGAAATTTGTGTCGCGTCGCGTGCGCTTATCTGTATATCGCGGTGCGTCTGGCCTCGTGGGTGCACGATATAATGGCAAGGGCTCGGCTTCTCGGACGAGCGCGGATGTCGCACTGATCTTTCGTCCCTCTTTTCACGTCAGCTTCCCTCCGGTGGGTGCCGCGATTCGCGAGATCGCGATCGGTATACGTTGCGTGTGGAAGTCGCCCCGCGGTGGGAGCAACGGTTAACGGGAGGGTGGGAGCAGTTGGTTCGCGAATACGGAGGAGAGAGGGAGGAATACGGAGGAATCGGCGAGGTAATGTCGGAGGGGCGTCTAGAAGAGCCCAAATCTCTGGAAAGAAACACGCGATCTCACCCCTTTCTCTATCGAGCAGCGAGGGTGCCGAGTAATATCGATCGAGACTGCTCGAGGAAGAATTAGTAATTTACGATTTCGAATGCTCGAGTAGGATCCCGAAGTATGTAAGCCGCGTTTCGTCCGGCGGATCGCGTGCGGTTCGGCGAACAGACTCGCACAAGAATGAACGGTGGACGGTGCGCGATACGGAAAGCCGCCTCGCAGTTTCTCCGGGTCTCCCACTCCTTCGAACGGCATACCCTCTTCGTCCCTTTCGATGCGGTTTGCCCCACCCTAAGACGAGGACGCTTATAGCAAACCTCTTCGTCCGACGTCCGACTAGACTCGCTCCAAGGCTCCCCTCCTCGCGAAGACGTTCCGTCAAACTCCATCGCACCCCTTCGTAATTGGTCTTCAACAACATCTTGTTATTCTATATCGTATTTTTCTATATCGCATTCAAGATTGTCAGCTTCGTCATATTTATCATGTTATTTTTTTAGACAATATTACTCAATCTACTATCTTTTTAGATAATTCGAGCCAATATATATATATAAAGAAAAAAATATATAGGCATTTTCACGTCAATCGGACGAAATATGATCTCATATTTTTTAAATTGATCGACACTTTTTTCACATGACATAATTATTAATTAACATTATACAAATCACATTTTTGTCATGAACATTACGATTTAAAAATTGCGCAGTATTTCCGGTAAAGTAAATCGTTACTGCAAAACTTGACTGTTAATTTTTCCCCCCGTTCCGAAGGGCTGGAATTTTCCGTAACGAATGTTATGTTCTGATCTTTTTTATCGGAAAATTTCCATTCTCTTTCTCTCCCTCTCTCTCTCAGACTTTCGGCGCTCCATATGGTAAGTCTCTCGGTCTTTAAGTTTGTAAGTGATCTTAGTTATTTGTAAGATTGTGTTTGTTTCAGAATACTTTTGCTCCGTATATTATATACTTATATTGCTAAAATTGTAATTTTGTTGACCTCTATACAAAAAATGAAAAGATAAAATGGCATGACAGACGTCTTGTAAATCATTACAATTTTGCTCAATTCCATACAGAAGATGAAAAGGTAAAATAGCGTGACAAACGTGTTACTTGATTTACAATTACGTGTTTCATGTAAATCAACTAATACGTCACGCTATTTTACTTTTCCATCTTTTGTTTAATTTTATAAAATAAAAGAATACGTGTATTTTCGGACTAAAATGGAGAAATAGCATTATTTAAAAAAGTTTTTAAAGTATACTTTTTGGTAAAGAAAATAATTAATAGTTTTTAATTATGCTTATAACAATTGGAATTTGCAGTTTCTTGTAACTTAAACTATTTTTATAAAAAATATTGTCTCCTTAGCTTTTTAAAATACATTTTTTAAGATCTCTACGACAAATATAACCGGAGATAATAATTTTTAAAGTTAACGATTTCTTCATATTTCACGAAAATTGGATTGCTTTTAACTTCTGCGAAAAGATATATTTTTTGAACAAAAAAATGTGTATCTCCTTATTTTATGCATATTTCACGTAAAAAAAAGTTTTGATTGATTTAAAAAAATGCGAGGTCATTTTTTGTCCGATTTGACGTGGAATTGCCCACATACAAGTTATTTACATATGAATAAGATACAAATAAAATAGGAGTAATAATCAACAAAAATGGAAACTTATTTGGTAATTGAAATTATACATTAATATAATTATACACAGCGTTAATATTCTCGACCGCTTGTTTGAAGTTGCGTTTCCTTAAAATTAAAAAGTGACGCACGCGTTTTTGTGGATCTATAATGATGCAGTAAAAAAAAAACGAAAACTCAAGCAATTTACATAGTGGTAACCCGATATTACGTTTATGATTTCGCTATCTAATATCGCAGGTAACGCGAAACTCGCTTGTCGGCGCCTCGCGTAATTCTGCGTCGTATTAAAGTCGTTGCGCTTAAATTATAATAAATTTGAAGCATATTTGAAGCGTATTTTTTGTGTGTTACATATCGAAATAAATTAGCCTTTTCGTACGTTAATCATTTAACAGATCGATAAAATATGAATTAAGGATTTCTTTCTTTATCCCTTATTAATGAGCGTATAGTTCATTATCACGTCTATGTATATATGTGTTTTCTACATCGCAAAATGTACTTTGATGACAGTTTATTAAAGTTTCTACGACTATTAATCTATGAACCCCGGGAACAGAATCCTCAATACATTTCATAGGTCCATTTTGTCGGATGCAAGAGAAACTAATTTTTTTTATGTGTGAGAAATAGTTCATATAACTTCTTGTTTCAATGTTATAAATTGTATGTTTAATATAAATGCAATGAGGGTTCAATAGGCTTAACTAATTGTAAGACGAAAATTTTTTAAATATCGCGAACATCGCGATATTTAAATGATATCCCTATGATGATACTACAATTCTCTGTACTTATCGGTTTGAGACAAGAATAATATACTGTAATTTAATTTGATGCATCTCTTAGCAACTTATTAAATTTTGTTTATTTGGTTGCAAATTATATTCTACATGATCCCCTCCTTAATAATTTGCGCCAACGTATTTGCGTCAGTATTGAACAATATTTTATTCTCAACTTCCCTTTCCACCACAGAATTATATGTAATAAAATGTAATAAAATCCTATCAGGGATTACAAATCGTTTAAAGTGTTCGGTTAAGCAAGTGAAGAGGCAAAAAGTTTCCGATCGATAAAAATCGACTTCTCAATAAATTCGAGCTGAAATAACACACGATCGGCTACTCCTATCGATCGGTTCGCGTTTAGCATTGCAATTGTGATGAGTATCAAATAATTTTTCAATAGTAATGTGCGTGTGTGACTATATATATTAAATGTATAAGAAGCATCGTACAATACAATATGACTACGTTGAAAGTTTTTGCTGACACTTCACTTCATAAAGTGGTAATTTTTCAGAATAGAATAATTTCAGTCATTTCTTAAATACTTCGACTAAAACATTATTGATGACATTGCAAAATATACTATAGTTATTAAATATGTTATACACGTGGTTTCAAAGTTACTCTATAATTGTCAGCAGGAAGCAACAGATAGTTTTTCCTTTGACGGAAAACCAATCACAGGCATGTAATTTGAGAACGGTCGTGTCTGGAGATTATTGTGCCTAACGCTATTATGTTTTCTCTGACGTCATTACTGGAGCGCGAAAGTTCGAGAAGTTTCATGATGAACTTATGCGGGTGGTCTTGTGCGGGTGGTTCGATAATGACACGCTATCATTTTCTTCACAATAGCGATAATAAAAACAAAAGCAAGATCTTGTTTGGTGTAACGATGATATACAAGTAAAACAATTGTAATACGAGATATCTCGACGCATCTCAATATCATCTCATTTAATACCAGTAAGCAAAATGTTGACGATACGTTAGCTTGTTCGTCAGCAAAATGTTGCGGTAGACTGACATCGTTTGTGTTTGCATTTAAGCTCGTGTTCTGCCAGAAGATAGCTAACAAAGACCAAGCAGAATTTGTTATTCCGTAACCGTTTAGACCATATTCTGTTAATTTACAAGAAACAATCTTTTTTTTAAATTTACATTTTGATCATTTTCAAGTGCGCCTCTCTCCTTAAGCCGGTTCTACATACGATTCTACAAACAAGCATTCGAAATAAGGATGTTTCTTTCAGATTGAGAAATGTGTATGGGAAACTAACAATGAATAAAGGTACATCCGTTATACAGGTATTCTCCGTTCAAGCAAAACGATTGGCATCTTCGGGACAAAGATAGGATGGTTATTTGTCTGATCTTCCGCGCTTGGACCGATAGAACGACGTTAGAAGGGCTGTTATAGAAATGCGAATAGAATAGAATTGGATTTCTATCGCGAGACTTCCCGAACTATTCAACTCTACTAAACTGCTCGATGGATCCGGACTATTCAACTACCAAACTATTCGAAAGACTTCATACGCCGACATCGATACACGTTCTACGCGTTGCTTTCGCTAAAGCTCAACGTCATAAATCATAGTTCTTGCCAATACGTGCTCGTTATATATGGTAACAAATGTCGCAGAACTATTCATAAATCATGTGCGCCAATGCGGTGCGATAATATTGGCAAATGTTCTCGGTCTTCCACCTTTTCCTCAATCGTGCCAAGTACAACGCATACCTAACGCTCGTGCTCAACGTTATGCGTTGCCATATGTGCATTTACCTTGAAAACGTCAGAATATACGACATATATCTACCAATGAATGTAACCTTGCTCCGATATCCTTTCCTTATGATCAAACCTTGGAAGAATATTACAAGAGCCGCTTTGCGAACATTAATTTAGAAAGCGCAAGTGTATTAATTCCCATTTACATTTCGCTTTTACTCTCTGAGTAAATTAAAATGTTACCTGTCTGTAGTTTGTATGGCATTGCAATTTATTCTAAGAAGTATTTGTTAATTTTTACAGGCTGGATATAATGAATCTTTTGTTTGAATTCATTTCAAGTTGTTATTGAGTACATGTCGGAATTTACATTATCAATTAATTTTGTTATCGGCAAATTAGTTTATCATTCATTCTAAGTCTATATTTTGAAAAGAGAAGAAAATAATATCTGTCTAAATTAGAAAAATATATCGAGATATGACTAGAAAATATGACTAGAAATGAAATCATTTCGAGAGGTAGCGTAATTTCATTTTATTCAACTCTATTTCACAGAAATACAAAGGTCACGTCTCCTTTTCTTTTTCGAATCATATATTTAGCGGAACTTAGTGCGCTTATTCAAAAGCCGCGCTTACGTTAAACGTAATACAAATGTACTTTGCAGTAAGATCTGGTATCATCCGACTGTATCAGATCCATGTACATATTTGCACGGAAGATTTGTGATCATCATAATGATTTGTATTGTCGCATCCGTGGCTAAACTTAGCGAGAGAGAGAAAAAAAGGTCATGTGTGTGTTATCGAATACCGTGGTTTTCTTTTTAATAACAACTGATTACGTTGTCGCTACTAATGCTCAGGTATATGCACACGCAGGTGTATAAGTATAAACGTATTCGACGAGACACATCTAATCCGAACAGCGAACAGCAAGGTCCTTAAGTCCTCTTATACCGAGAAAAGATCAGACTCCGCGGGAGCCCTCTCAACTCAGGGGTACAATCCGCATCAAAAATATCCCAACGTTCTATAGTGTCGTTGGAATATTGTCGATCTCCTAGATTTCGAGGGACATTTGTGCAGCATGGTTTGCACTTGTGCATTAGAATACTCGATCATTGTGCCACATTCTACTCAATTTCCGCAGTCAAACTGTCGTCTCATTCTGCTAAACGTATTCTGTTATATTTCGGCTGGTATTCTGCCGATAAAATTTGTAGGCATTTTACAAAAATCTGTTTCGCGGCAGATACAACTACCTAGATATAGATGATGCAGTCAACATCGATAGCTGTATACAAGATTATGAGGTGAGTCAAATTCGATATATATACTTATAGATATGCGAATCAAATCCAATAATCAAGTTTCATTTTCTAAAATTTATACTAATATTTATAAGAAATAATACTGTTGTTCAAATATACCCAGTACATTTAACAAATTCTGCGGTATTACGTTACGTCCCGATTACAACCCACTAACTTCGGCTAAAGGGAGAACATTACAACGCTATTTCAATCTCGAGTTTCTTCGTCCTTTTTAGCTCTTATTCGTACGGTACGTCGAATGTATTGAACAGAATGAAAGACGCATAAATATGTTTATTCCTGTCGAAGCTTGTTCGCGGTCGTAACAATAGACGCGTGTGCTCATGTTAACTATTATAGTCTGTAACCTGAATCTCACATATGTTCGGTGTAAAATATGTTGTGTAAAAAAACATGGTGGAAGAAAAAAAGAATGACATTGTGGAAAACGCACATGGGACGAGAAAAACGGACCATCCACAAAAAGAAAAAAACAAAGATGAAAAAGTAACGACCAGAGGAACATATTTCTTATATTTAAATTCCTACAGATTTTTCTGTGGACACCTACAACATTATCTCAATCAGATCACAATCACAAATAAATGAAAAAATAAAATATTGTTTTCAGAAAAATTTTATCAAATTTAATTTTCAGAATGGAAAGCGTGACATCCACTCGTACGTCCGCTCGAAAAATTTCGACAAAAATTTTTTTGTACACGCAGTGTAACATTTATTCTAGTATTTGGTTTTACATTACCGCCGATAAGGAATCATCGTATACTGCGGTGACGCGCGGCGGAAAGCGGCAAGATTAGCGACGGCGCTATTGGATCTGGAGAGCAAGAATGTAAAATGAGCCTTATCTTGCCCTCCCGTATAGAGATCCAGTTGGTACATAAGGTAAAGTAAGTAAGCTGAGCAGGGTCGATGTGTCGTTGTAACTTTCCATCATCGTAAACTAGTGGCCGACTCCGCGTCCTTTAACTTCTCTCGCAATATTCGCAAAGTCGGTTCGTTGCCTCCGTTCCTCCTACTCTCTTGCACGCTTCGCTAATAACGCACATTCATGTTCGCATACACACGTCGTAATATGTAACATTTAATAACGTAGCGAACTGCCTCGACGCAGTTTCGAACGATTGCGGCAGATTGAATGTCGCCCGCGTGACGAAGAGGAAGGACGTTTCTGCCGTCGCATTATGAAATGATAATTCTTACGAGCGACCTGGTACTCGGTCATGAGAAGATAAGACGCATTCTTTGTACAATTACTTCACCGTCGACAAGACCGTTTTTACCGCAATAAATTATCTAAATGTTTCACAAAAGTTTGTAAAACACGTTGTGTTAAAACTTTTCTTTTCGGTCGCTAAGGACCGCGCCTTCGATCAAACTCCGATTAACTCGCTCGGCGATTAACTTACTAAGCAAAATATCTGTATTGTCTTGTTACTATTGGATAAAATAGTTAATTGTTTGCCGTCTAATACATGGAAAAGAAGATCTTAATTTAGGGACGACGAATGATACAGTCGAAAGTTTTGTTTTAAGCAATTCAACCAATGAAAGACTACTGTAAGAAGTTGTCGCAGATAGACGAGGTGCTCATTTGCAGGATTATTTGTAAAACATATTATAAATAGATGGCAATATTGAAAGATTATTCCTGTGTCTCTTTTATTATTTTAGACTTTGTTTTCTTTGTAAAATTGAAAAAATTATCAGCCTTGACTGCCAGATTATGTATAAGTGTCGGTTCAGTCGGTTGATAGGAGATAGATAAATGCCAGGCGTGCTAGCACTTCACAGATTTTGCGGTCACGTGCGAAAATTGCCGCGTCATTCAATTATCATAAACTGCTTGCGTAATAAAGAGAATTGCAGTCGCTATACAGCATGAAATATTTATGCTAGTCATTTTACCGTATTCTTTGAATTTTTTCCTTGTAATTTTTTAATATCCTTCCGTTTGCTAATGTTCTCTCGTTTTTTTTTTAATGCAGGTGTCTTCCTCAATTCTTTTATAAATAATATATGTCGGAAAACATGTAAGTGCATCTATTTAAACTCCACTACCCAGATATAACGGTATTAAATGATTTCAAACGTGCGTGCACTATCGAAAAAACTATCATCAGTATGTAATGCATACATTTTATTTTAATGCAAAATCAATTTGATTTAATGCTTATTCATATGTATAGATTATTTTTGTTGTTCATGCAGGCTGCGTTCTGATATTCCCTGCCAGTGTATAGCCAAACGCAGCCGCAGTATGCATTTACTAATTTCACTTCGATGCAAATTGACTTTTTTTAGGCGCAAAAAGATCTGCAGGGTTTCTAGATCACGATTTCCAAATTTCGAATTAAGGAGAGTAGATAACTATAAAATACAGCAATAAAGCTATGTATTATTTAGACTTAGAGTTATTTTTTTATAACTACTGATACATTTTTGCCAAATTTATATTATTTATTTTATTAATTTAATAAAATTATACATTATTACATGCATGCAACGAAACGATTCGTTCCTTTCTTAAACCTTTTCACATAAATTCCGGGGCTTCTCCCCCCCCCCCTCTGCTATTTCAAGCGGCCGCGCCAGGATTAATGTCACGTGGCACTTGTAGTCTGTTCGCATTCGTCTGGTTTTTAGATGCCGCGCGCGACTACGAAACCGTCTCTTCTACCGAGCTACCTACGGCGCGGCGGCGACCGACTGTGTTTCCAATGGAAATTTCCATTGGAAGTTGGCATGCCGCGCACACGGCGCGACCGTACAGTCAACCATAAAAGTGGATGCTTTCCCCATTGCCTCGTCTATTTAAAACGGCTGTCACGGCGCTTTCTCTATTGAGTCCACGACAAAGTTACGTCCATGCCAAAAATTCGCGGACATGCTTCTATTATCGTTATTCTTTTTTTCATGTATTGTTTTTTCAGCTATAAATTAACTTATACTGTTACCATCTTATGGATAATGGAAACATCTATGATTAACCACCTTGTAAAGCATAAAACTTTGTATGAAAAAAAGTTTTAATGCGCTATATAAAAATTTCCAAGGACTCTTTTTTTTCTCTTTTACGATATTAGTAATGTTTTCCGGGCGTGGTTTGCAATTATCATAGTCTTACTTTGACGAATAATCTTAAAACGATGAACTATGTCAGATTATAATTATGTATACATGTGTCAAATTGCATATTGCAATTACGCAATAGAATTTTATTAAATTTGCTTAATAATTGAAGTGTTTCGTCATGGCATTGCTGTAAGTTGCGTCAAGTGATATGCTTTCCTAATTTACCGGAATATTTGCGAATAATGAATGAACCAGAGCTATCGGCCGGTTATATCGGTTTTCATGCAGACTCGAATACTGTGTGTGTGTTGTGTGTACATGTATAATTGCATATCACTGATGATATCACATCGCTATTTATAAACAAAAAAATAGTATCATTAATTGATCAAATAATTCAATTTGATAAATAATACGTACGTTTTTAAAGAGACGTATCGCTCTCATTTTTATTCTTGCCCCGAGAATCGATAGCGGTCTATTTTTGCGAAAAAGTGTCTCATTATATATTTCCCGATATTTTTAGTAAATATACGTTTTACCGATGAATGATTAATTGATTACATACTTTTTATCACGAAGTGCTAGATAATGAGAGTAAATCTAGATGACAGCACCAGTAATATTCCTTCTGCGATTTCTGAATTAGGATGCGATGGTAAATGTCTTGCATTAGAGAGAAATAATGTATAGCAGTATAAAAATTGAGAGTAAACTCAGTGAACTTTCTTTTTAAGAGCAAAGAAGATGTTTTCTTTTTTCCTTCTTTCCACAAACTTTTTATGACGGTTCGGCTTCACTTCTATCTCTTAATCATATATCATATAGATGCGCGTAAAATATGTTTGGATAATTTCCTTCATACATATTGTTATATGCAGCTACTCAAATTTGTTGGACTGGCCTCAACTAAATAAATCGATGTACGGTCAAAGTAATTTCATGCGAAGCAGCCTTTACTTACAGCGTGCCAGTTTAGGCTGTTTATAGCCGTGTGACGATATGACGAATTCTCTCATTGTCAGTGGAGTAGTAGTACGCAAACGTGACAGTGCCTTCGGCGCCGTCGCGTGACAGGAATTTCACTGGTACTCAGCTGGTAGCCAGGTAGCTGGTACTGCTGGTAGTATGTTCCGAAGCTCGGACGCCTCGGACTGGGTCGAGTTTCTCTAGGAAGTGCGTGGTGCTCGACGAGCGCACCGCGTCGAGGATCGAGGCTCCCCGTCCCGCGAGGAAGCGGCGGCGCGTCTCTTATGAGCGACGTAGCGATCTGCACGCGAACGCGACGCGAATCATGGCGAAGGATGAAGGGGACGACGTGCTGCCGGACAAAGACGCGGCGAAGGGATTTTACGCCAAGTACGAGCCTAAGGAGATCCTGGGAAGGTGCGTTTCATCTCGGATAATACGTTTCCTAATATCAATTGTTGACTCGCCCCCCGCCGCCCGTATCTCTAACGAACGCCACTCTCTCTCTCCCGTTCGTATTTTATGCATTTTCGCGTGGCACCAGCGATCGCAGTAAATACGACGGATCGAGTTGACGATGACATTATATAATTAAAACAGATCTCGATCGAGTTTTCGCCCGGATCGCGAATATCGGCGTTATTTCCGTGGATTGGGATTAATTCTCGTGAACCGTGCATTTCAGGGGAATATCGTCCACTGTGAGACGGTGCATAGAGAAAGAGACGGGAATAGAGTACGCGGCTAAAATAATAGACATCAGCAATGAGACTCACGAAGATGGACATACCATGAAGGCTGCTACGCTGCAGGAAGTACAGATACTTCGCAGAGTAGCTGGACACTCATACATCAGTAAGCTTCCTCTATTCTACTCCTCGTCGGGGACAGAGATGGCGAAAGTCACCAGAACTCGCCAACTTATTTTAAAACAAATGCACCTATATAGGACAATCAGAGTTATTTCTTTTTTTTTTTCCAGTTGAATTGCACGATGTTTTTGAATCTAGTACATTTATATTCTTAATTTTCGAATTGTGCAAGAACGGAGAGTTGTTCGATTATCTCACGTCGGTTGTAACGCTCTCTGAAAAGAAGACGCGTTATATTATGAGACAAGTGTTTGAAGGAGTTCAGCATATACACAATCAGGGGATAGTACACAGGGATCTGAAACCTGAGAATATATTACTTGACGACAACTTGAATGTGAAGATAACAGACTTTGGATTCGCCAGAGTATTGAAGCCTGGAGAAAAATTAGAAGGTTTGTGTCAATTTTTCTTTTATATGTATTCCAAGTCTAGAAAATTATATCTTTACGTATTTTACAGATCTTTGTGGTACGCCTGGCTATCTAGCACCAGAAGTATTAAAGTGCAATATGTTTGACAATTCAGAGGGTTATGGATTTGAAGTTGACATGTAAGATTTTGTTAAAAAAAGTACATGCACATACACGATAAAAGTACATACACGATACACAGTGGTTGTATGTGAACATCATGAACATGTACATGATTTTATAGATATAATGGCACGCGTGCGTATACAAATGCACGAATAAATTTTTAAATGTAGCGTTCGGCAGAGTACAATTCTATTATATTTTCCATTTTTGTTTATGATGTAACAGATGGGCTTGTGGCGTGATTATGTTTACGCTGTTAGTTGGCTGCCCTCCATTTTGGCATCGGAAGCAGATGGTTATGTTGAGAAACATAATGGAGGGAAACTATTCATTCACCTCTCCGGAATGGGCTGACATAACAGGTAAAAATTACATTTCAAGAAAATGATAAATTTCTAGAAAATAAAATATCAATATACGGCGCACACGCAAACACAAAATTACGTGTACATATAATATTCTATATATAACATTCAATATATATGTTTTAGAGGCTCCAAAAGATTTAATAAGGAAGTTACTAGTTGTTGACCCCAAGAGAAGAATTTCTATAAAGGATGCACTGGAACATTCGTTCTTTCACACTGTTGTAAGTACTTGGTACTAATTGTAAATATATCATAGAAAATGCCATTTACTTATATTCTATTTAAAATGAAAAAAATATATAAGGCCTTTTTTAACTAATATATACATATTTTATAATATACATATTGCACACTATATTCCACTGCAAAATTACAATATCTTATCATTAATTTGTTTTGCTTTTATTTGTTTCCACTCACTATTCCCATTTCAAAAAAAAAAATACACCCATCTAAATATAGGGTATCCCAGGAGGAACATTTTTTCCTGGGACATTCTGTACATTATAAGTATCTTTATATTTAAGAATTATAACACGCACAGCAGAAAGCAAAGAAAGTGCACATATAAAATATTGGGTTTATGTGGAACAGGTACTACTTGCAATATAAAATTATTATTTTTTGTGTATTTAGTTATTTATTGTTTTTTATTATTTTCATTTTTTATTAATAAGATATCTCGAAATAGATAAACGTGTCGTTTAATAGATTTATAATAGAATTATAAAGTATAAGTTATTGACCTTACAGCTGTGGGATCAAGACATCGCTCCTCTAAAACGTTCTCTGTCGTCTAACTCGCGACGTCTGAGTAGGATATCTCAATTAGCTTTGGTAATTAGTTTACTTTTCTTTTTATTTTGTCCAATTTTATTTTATAGTAATGAGTATTATCAACGTAAAACTTACTGTTTATTATCAGCATTTTTATGTAACAATTAACATTTATTTTGTTTTAATTAGTCAGTAGTCATCGATTATATTAAAATCATAAATAATATTGGAAACAATGTTTGAAAATTATTTGAGAATGGCAAACTAAACTACTTATATATCTAATTAACTGACCTTGTGCGTGTGCTTGTATTCACATATATGCACATATAATTATTTGAATCTATCGCATTCTCATGCAAGAATTTACTAATAACATTAAGAACCTGTATTATAGATATAGAGTATATGTATATGTTCATTGATATACTAACACTTTTTCTATAGCGTTGAACGTTGTATTCAACTACATCGTATTATAACAAAAAAACGTTATCTTTCATTATATTTAGCAAATAATAATGATAATATTCCTTTTAGACGTGTATATAATATAAATGTTAATTTAAAATTTGTCGCTTTTCACTGAATAGCTGGGGCATTTTTATCGTTATATACTTTTTATTCGTTGCACAGGAGTTGAAGGCTAAATCGTTCAATGCGAGGAAGAGATTCCAGTTGGCAATTATTTGTGTGAGAGCTGTTATTCGTATTAAACGGCTTCATATCACGCCTGAGCCGCTTTCGACACAAGTCGCTTGTACCGATCCATACAGAATAAAAATTCTGCGAAAAGTAAGTTGTTCTACATGATAGAAAGCTCGTTCGTATTATAGCAAATTAATTAAGTGCGCGCAACGCGCATAATGATTTTAATGAATAATGATTGTAAGGAAAAATATTGATAGATTTTTGTGGTTGAGTTTTACGATACTCCATATATAGGTTCAAAGCCTTCCAATATTAATCTAAGATTGAACGAGTACAATTTAAAAAAAAATCGAGCATGAATAATGTGATTGACAAGAATATTCTTGATATTTATTTTCAGGTAATTGACGGCTGCGCGTTTCGTGTCTACGGTCATTGGGTGAAGAAAGGAGAGGGTCAGAATCGTGCGGCACTTTTTGAAAATACTCCAAAAACAGAATTGAAGCACCTATACGTTAGTAATTTAAGTAGATAACTATTACTTTGTTAAACTGCTTTAGTTAAATTAACCAGTACGGGAATCTCGCGATGGTCCTAATGAAATATGATGAAGTATCAGACAGATATATGATTATATGATTATAAAATAGTCGAAACTCTGAAATTTTTTCTGAGATTGAAATATAACGGATAAATAGTACTCGGACTGATCAGATTTTTACTAAAATTTATATCTATATATGGTTGTCTGCGGTGCTTTGGTTTTAATAAAAATAATTGGTATGTTGAAATTAGAATTTACCGAAAAATTTTGTATAAAATATTTAAACTTTAAGGCTCCTGCCTACTTGCCGCTTCTATCCTTGTTCGATGATGTCAGAAACGGCGAATAGGCAGAAGTCTTAAAATAGAGAATGCACAACATTTTCTGATAATATTTTTAAACATATAAGTTTTACAATATAACAATACGTTGTTACTGCCACATATGACATTGTGGTGGGGAGATGATTTTATTAGAAATTATTTAAATCCTTGGTCTCTATTCAAAGAAAAACATTTAATTATAAAAAAAAGATGTATTTCTATACAATAGCTATAATAGTTATAATAAATAGCTATAATACTTTGTGACATACTTATTACATAATATAGAACGTATATGTAAAGTTAACACGTTTTATTTTTGCAGAATCTAAAAATATTCCAGGTTAGCGCTATATATAAAGATGTTTTCAGAGATCCATTTATAGATTAATTAGAGGAGATAATACTTCATGTAAAATCTAGTCACAATTTTTTGTACAAATAAACTTGTCTTAAAGCACATGTTGTATTGATATATTTCTGTAAGCAATCAGTATGCAAGAGTCAAACAAAATTTATTGGTAAAGTAGACAGTTGTGTCCATATAATCTCGGGTTAACTTTTTATCTTTTTCCAATTGTTAGAAACTAGAACTAGAAACGAATGAAAAATTAGTTAAACCGAGATTAAAATAAATTTGCATTGGTAGAAATAGACATTATAAGATATATAGACATTATATTTAATATAATATGAGCATTTAATCTCATACATGAAACAATAAATTTAAATTAGTTTTATCTTCAAGTTTGTTTTAGGAGAATTTATTTCAAGCGTAATTGTTATCGTGCGTCATCATTTCTGTCAGTTCTGTCACTTCTGTCATTTATATCTCTTATTCGATTGCAAAGTCTATTCTTCGTATAATAGCTACACAATGTCACATCTTTTATGCATTTAAAATGAAATAGGTATATAATTAGACATGAGAGAAAAAAAGAAGTGATGAAAAGTACCTATTTATTAGGAGTTCGGGCACAAACAACAAATTAATTTCATCTATATCTTTCTTCGTTTGTGGTTCCTCGGGTGATTTGTCAATAATTTCCAAATTGAATAAGGTAGGTCATCAATTAATAAACGTCTGGTCGCAAAAAAATCGAGAAAAAAGATTCACGCGATAATGTCCGAGCACGTTTCTAGCGGCCGTAGCTACGGTCACCTCGCTGACCTCGCAGTGTCGCTGCAGAGTGCAGCCTCTCGCAACTCGCAACCTCGTGCCTCGTGGGCGCATGATGCGCGCGCGCGCGCGCACTGGCGAAAGTAAACAATAGAGCGTAGCGCGGCGTGGTGTTGGCGCGGCGTGGCGCGGCGCGGTCGCGGTGGACAGACGGACTACGGAGTAGAAGTGGCAACAGCGCGCGCGCGCGCTCGTGCTCGTGCGGCGTCGATCCATGTGACAGAGAAGGAACGTAACAAAAGGTGGCGGAGGGTGACGCCGCTGCCGCCGCGATCGGAGCGCGTCGAGCGCGAGTGTCTGCCCGGGCGAGCCGGGTGTCGGGTGTGCTCCGTGTGCGTCGTTTTCTCGCGTGCGTTCCGCGTACGTGCCTGGACGCTCGTACGCCTCCCCGACGTCGCGCAACGTGCGGTGCGGGAAGGGAAGAACATTTAGCGCGGCGCGGTGCGGTGCGGTGCGTTCACGTTTACGTTCGCGTCCACGGCGGAGATAAAGTTCGCGACGCGCGAAAGAACGGTCGGCCGTTAGAACGGAGTGCGCGGGTCCCGACGAGGGATCGACCGGATACGACGCGCCGCGACGACGGCGACGGCGACGGCGTCGACGACGACGAGGGCGACGACGATGACCGATCGACGGGGCGAGTGAACGACTCGCCAAGTCGCGAAGGCAGGCCGCTCCGCGATACTCGTCTCACACGCCCAGCGGGACTGCTGCGTCACATGGGCCGCGTTCATTCGTCGATACAGCCGGGTGACGTCACGAGCCGCGCGACGATTGGCCCGCGCCACGGTGCCCGGACACGTGAATCGTGGCCGAGCAAGCATGGCAGTTTGATGCGCAGTGGTTTTCAGCACTTGTAAAATGCCACCGCCACGCGCCAGATCGATCAGGTTATAACCCGCGTTTCGCCGCGCGCTCCGAAACGGTCGGTCCCGTGTCCCGTCGCGCGGTCGTCGCGCGCGCTCGCGAGAACGCGGGCATTTCTCTCGCCGCGAGCCGCGACTCGCCGTCGCGTCGGCCGCTCTTGCGGTTTACGGAATCCTGACCCGATCCGATCCGATTTCGGGGAGACCACGCGCGCTCACAGAATCGCCGCCGATCCGGCCGATCGTTTTCGACAGGAGAGTGAGTTAGAGCGGGGACTAGAGAACGACCGACACGATTCTCCGTCCACGTCCGCCGCTCTCTAGTGTCCTACCTGGCCCTGGCCGGGGACCTCTACGTGCACGGGACGTGCGGCTCAACACGCAACGTGTTTCAATCTGTAAGTTTTGGCAGAAGTGCACCCCTTACCATATATCTTTTCTTTCTATCTCTATTTATCTCCGACTATGTCTTTCTCTCTTGCTCGAACCACCACGCCCGTTCGAGAGAAAGAGTAATAGGGACGGAGGACGGAGCGGGAGGAAGGAGACGGGAACCGTGGGAGAGAGGAAGGGAGGGAGGGAGAGAGAGAGAGAGAGAGGGAGAGAGAGAGAGAGAGAAAGAAAGAAAGAAAGAGAGCGAGCGAGAGAGGGACAGAGCGCGAGCGTGAGCGCGGGCGAGCCTCGGCGAACCATTATCTCCGTTACTAGCGCCTATTTAATTAACATGTGTATAGAGATGGTTGCGTGGCGTGTTTTCCGTGCCATAATAGAGCTGGCCAATGGCGCGGCGTCCAGCCGGTGACGTCGCGGGCCGCGGGCGTCGCGATTGGCCCGGTGTTGCGTGCGTCGTTGACCGTTCTAACGTGCGTATTGCTTTGTCAATTTTTGGAGCTCGCCGCGGTTACGCTCCTTCGAATTTTCGCGACGACATCCGTCGCCGTTTAAGCCTCGCGCACGTCTCGTTTCCGCTGTCGCTGCCACCGACGACGATCACATCTCCGTTGTCGCTGGCTAATCATCGCGAATCGTTCGGTCGCGCCGCGACGCGCCGCGCCACGCCACGCTGCTCCGCTCTACTCCGCTCCGCTCCGTTCCGTTCCGCGCGTCCGCTCCCTCCACTATTTTCGCGTGCCGAGACCCGAGACCCCGCGCGTCTCCCGCGGAGAATGCGAACGCGACCGTCGCGTCGTCCGCTTTCGCGATTCCGTCCACCGAAGTACACTTGGCTTTCAAATCGTCGCGTCGAGCCCAAAAGATTCATTCCGTTTCTCGGCTTTCCTATTTTTTTTTTATTTTCTCTTTTCGCGATTTTTTTCTCGATGCAATTTTGACTCTCGAATGTTTGCTTTTGGGAATTATCGCGACTCGGAGTACGCGCACATCGCCTTTCTCTTACGTCCATTCGAAACCTTGTAGGTACAGCAAAGTCTCGCCTCCTGTTCGCCGCGACCGCTCGTCGTTCGCGAGGGACGTAAATTTTCTCTCTCTCTCTCTCTCTCTCTCTCTCTCTCTCTCTCTCTCTCTCTTCCTTCGTTTCTTTTTTGTGGCGAGGACTATGTGATTTCTTCGCGCCGATACGATGCAACAATGTGTGGCATTCTCGTGGCCGTTTTTGCGCACGCGAACGCCACGTAACGAGACGCCACTGCCGGTCGCCCCTTTCTTTTTTTTTTCACCACGCACGTTCGAGCGACCGCCCGACCGGGGGAACAAGGTGATCCGCGAGAGCGCCGCTACGTTTGCACGCTCCCATGAATTGTCGATTTCCGATCGGCCACGATATCGACCTCGTACATAGTGAGCCCCTCTGTTAATCGTTTAAATTATGAAATAAAATCGCGCGAGACGTTAACCGTCCTGAGACAGAAAGATCGAATAACGAAACGTGCGAGTCTATTTAGAATGAGAGGAAAGGTGCAGGTTTAACATCGAGGCTGTGCCTCGTACGTTTTGAAATAATCTATCGGAAATCGGTATGTGACATGCGCTTAAAAAGGCTGATTTTTCAAATACCCGATCTACGTCGCTTTCGCGAATGCAGCTGTCTCGAGTCTCGGAGCATCCTCGGCCTTTTTCGAGCAGTCTGCTCAGTGCTCGATTCTCGGCTCCGGCGACGTGAGCTTGAGATACGTGCCGTCGTTCTGCGCTGCAGGAAAAAAAGAGTCGCGACGCGCCTGCGCGGTGCGCTCTGTCTGATGCGCTGTTGCAAGAGCGGCAGCGGCGTGAGTGGGGGGCGGGGGGGGGGGGGGGGGAGATGGAAAGGCTTCCCGCGCGACTGCGTTACGTCACGCGTGTACGTCACGTGACGTACGTCGTAGACACACACCGGTCGTGTCCGCGATGTCCACGACACCCTCTAGATAAGCCCGATAACGCCGTCCAGGCCAAGCGAGCTCTAAACAAAACGCAGGAAATCGCGTCGAGAGAGAGAGAGAGAGACTCCCTTTCTCTCTCCATGTGTTTTCTCTATGAATTTGGCGATAGAAACGCTACGGGACGGTAATCTCTCCCACCTCCATGCCACCTTGTTCCGAAAAGTTATCGCGCCCTGACTGAACATTCAATTGATTCAATAGATTACATGTAGCGGGAAGATTTTTAAATGTCATTGAATGAAATCGTTACTCTTATCTGATTTTATCAGATCGATAGAAGTAATGCTTGTTTATTAACGACCCGTTTTTTCCCCGCACGCAGCTTGTCGTCGTACGCGGCGGGCAGCAGCGGCAGCAGCGAAGGAGGAGGGGTGAGGAGGGCAGCGGACCGGGAGTCGGGCTCGCGACTTGCTCCTGCCGATTCATCGCCGGCGTCCGGGAACCGACGGCGGCTGCGGCTGCGGCGTCGGTGTTTGCGGCTGCCGCGACGCCGGCGGTTCGATGCGGCGGAGTCAGAACGATCACGATCATCTGGCGGGTGTTCGCGAATCCAGAGACTCGACGGAGCAACAGCAGGAGCAGCATCACCGCCGCCATCACCAGCGCGCTCCCCACCCCTCCACGCCCGTTGGGATAGAGCAGCAAACCGGCCGCAGGATGAGCCTGGAAACGTTACTGCAAGCGGCCTACTATGTCGAACAGGAAGAGAAGAAGCGGGAGCGCCTGGCGAGCACCTCGTCCTCCTCCTCCTCCTGCGATCAGCACTCGTTCGCGCCTGCGCCGACTCACTCCAATCACGCTTATGTCTCCGGCGAGCCACGTGGTGAGTACCACGCGCCGCTTCTCCGGCGCGACCTTTTACGACGCGTCACTACGATGGAGAGATGCAATGGCGTTACGTTGCGTTGCAATCGTATAAGATTGATTTTGTGCAAACCTGCTCGATTGCCATGTGATTTTACGTACGAATTATTAATTTCGCGAAAAATTTCCAGAAAGCCAAACACGCGTTTTTTCTCTTAATAATTTAATTTCTTTTGCTGTCAAACTTAAGGTAGATTAAAATATTGCTATAATATTATCAACTTCAAAATTGAGTTCTTTTCGCGATTTAAATATGAATTTTACTCTCGGAAACAAGAAATGTCACGTCACGTATGAATGACATGTCATGGCTGTCAATGTATTAACGTTAAATCTGTACGCGAAAACGCAGTCTCAGCTGCGCTATGCTTTTTCTTGCGAACGTAGATAATGACGCATGAGTGCCACGTGCGTTTTCGCTCTGCCATTGCATTATCAGTCGCGACAATTGCTTATTTTTCTGTGCCGTGAAGTAGCGAGTAATCTACTGATAACCGCGTCCGCTTCTCGAGACGCAGAAATATCGATCGAGCCATTGCATTGTGCGAAAATTCAACGTGTCAAAATGGGCAAGGATGCACTGTTGTGTCTGAAAGATGTTATCTTTATCCTTCCCCGATGATAAGACAAACAGGTTTTGAAAGTAGCACATAAACGAAATGCGATTAAAATTGTGAGTTTTCGCTAAGTAGGCGCACGCGTGCCCTTTTATCATATCTGCGAATAAGAGATGTGTAGAAGGTAACGCATATTACCCTTGCCTCTCTTTGATTAGATAGAGAAATCGATGAGATCGATAAAAAGAATTGTATAACTGTGAAACTGCAATCTTCCGAAAAACATATCACAATCTCTTTCTGAATGACGGATTTCCGGGATTATACTCACAAACAGATACATAAATACGAGTTATCGTTTCGAAACGATAAATTTTTCGCAAACGTGCGATTCAATCAGTTTTCGGTGAAAGATATTTTTGTTTCAAATTTCAGTGATATATGTAGTTTTGCTACGAGATATTGGCAAGGTTGGCCTTATTAGGGGAAGTAGGAGACCCTTTCTCTCTATGTCTCACGCAGATAAACTTGGCGAAAACAATAACACGTTGCGTTAACAATCGTGTCTGAGAAGCACTGGCACGCGTAGTTGCGTGCGATGACCACGCGTTCACCGCCTCCAAATTAGGTATGATTTACCTCGTGGCAGTGTTTCTCAACCATGGCGAACACGGGGAGAAAGTAACGAAGACGAGCCCAGCGCGTCAGATAACGTGCCTTGGAACGAGAGAGGCCGGCCTACCTTGGCCTTGCATCGACTACGTTCCCTATCTTTTATTTTATCATCGCAAAATGGAGATGTAGTATAAAATATTGAACGTTACTTTTGTGCGACTAGTGACCAACTTCGTTAGATATAGCCTATCAGTCGTCGATCGTATACCGTCCCTGAACGTTTATGAACAGGGAATTAACCGAATCATTGACATCGTATCCCTTCGGTTGCCATTAAATTCTCTCAAGTTGACTAGTCGCCACTCCTGCAAGACAAGTCCCTCGTGAAAAAAGCTGTCCAGATGACGACACGTGCGATTAAATCGTCGCTTTCTCTTTTTTTTTCTCTCTCTCTTTCTCCCCTTTTATCCTTCTTCTCTTTATGCTTCGCGGAAATCGTCGAGAATTTGTGACAATTTGAAAATTTCTCGAAAATATGCAAAACGTGATTTAAGACAAAAGAAACGCCACTTTGTTGTCCCGTAATGAAAGTCACGAGTACTGTCGTGTGACGTGCGTTTTGCTACTCCAACGTTAATCCCGCGCTCGCAGTCGCTGGTAAGTCGAGCTTATTACACTTCCCCCTCCTGCCCCCCCCGAGACAGCACCGAGGACGATGGAATTTTCCCTTTCTCGTGACGTAGACACGCTAGACACGCGCGAAAGTGCATCGCGGATAAAGGTGAATATTTACAGGGGTTACGAGAGAAGACAAAGAAAACGAGATACGTGTATGAGAGGGGAGAGCAGGCCTTAGGTTCGCTCGTTGGACGACGGTAGGGGGCGGAGAAGGGAACGGCACGGAGAAGCGCAAAGGATCCGACCAGACCGACTTGCCGGTGCGCTTCGCATCTCTTTGCTCGTGCGGCAGAATCAACGTACGCGCGCATTCGAACCACTTGCACGCAGAGCGAGACAGAGGGTGGGAGAGAAGGAAAAGGGGGGCAAGAGGGGAGATACGAGCGGTGAGGGAGATCTCGGAGGGTGGCGGAAGTCGGGTGACTCTCAGACGGAAGGGGGGACGACGGAGAAGTGCTGTAGATATCCGACGAGGTCGAATCATCGCGGGTACGTAGGGAGGGAAAGGTAAAGCGGTAAACTTGGAGGCGGGAGGAAGGAAGAGCCCCGATGGCGACTGTAGAGTAGAGGTGATGCGGCGACGCAGTGGCGGGAAGGGGGGGAGGGAGGGTTGGAGCAGTGGAAGGGAGGGACGGTAAACCCGGGTACCGCGCGCGTGTTCAGTCGCTAAACGAGGAGAAGAAAGGCGAAGGGGAAGGGGACGATCCGGTCACTGACTCTGAAACTACGGTGCGGTGGCCACTCGCGCTTCATTCATGAGTGCGCCATCTACTCGTGCGCGCAGCTGTTAATGCTTTCTCTCCCTCCCTCCCTCCCTCTCTCTCTCTTTCTTTCTGTTTCTTTAATCTTTCAATAATATCGTGTTGACACATTGGAAGGGATTGTCTATTAAAGTCAACGCGCGCATGATTAAAGTCAAGGTATAATGAGCGTATGTTACGAACTATATATTTGTATTTTATAAATTGTGTATACAGAATTTAGTTAATAAGAGATCCCTTTTTGCCTCAGAATGAAAAAGTTTCGCGAGTGTCGTTCGCGCGCGCGAGACTCTGGTCGTAATGCGGATGGTTTAAACGCCGTAATTCGCTCTCTATCTTCGCGCATCCGGTCTGTTATCCTGGTGCGCGTGTTGCGCCGGCACGACCGGCGCGTGATTATACCTGATGTAACCGGCAACGTGTGTTAAACGATCATTTAAGACCATCTATCGTGCACGCGGCTGAAGGATGCAATTCCACTTTATAACGTCGTAATGCGACTGTCTTCCCCCATATTTTACGCCGCGCTACGCTATGATATGCGCACGCTGTCTCTATGAGAGAGAAATTATACGATTTCCGGCGTCACCTGCAGCTCGTTTCATTTACTTGGCTAGTGAGAAACATGCGTTTAAATCCTTCCACGAATATATGAATTTTCTACTTAATTATTTTATTTTCATACCTGTGATACGTGTCCTGGCCAATCACGAAACGTTTGCATAATTTTAAAAATCATTGTGTTAAAATCTTATATATATTTCTTATGAGACGCTTGAATTTTTTATCTCAATAACAGAATTACAAATCTGATAACGGTACATACACACATGCATATGCACGCGCGCGCATTTATATCCGTAAGCAATTCCAATCTTTATTCTTTATATTTATAAAAACAAATATGTTATTTATCAGCAGAAACTTTAAACTTTACAAACGGTAGTTACTCGTCAGAGATTAGATAAACTGGACTTAATTATAGGTTTAAACGAATTTGTGTATAGTTTCAGCTCACAATCAGTAATCAGTTTAACTAAAATAAAAGTCCAAGCTTTCAGTTTGTGGAAATTAAAGATTAATTGTATGTTATAGTTTGAAAAAGAGAAGAATGCATTCATCCCGAAAACTCGACAGAATAAATACAATACTATACTGCATATCACGACAGAGTAGAAGTAGATGTTAATAATAAAATCAGTTTTATTTCTGTGCAAGAGAGAAGTGTAGCCTGTAATCAAACTAATTTAGAAAATTTTATTTTGCAATAAATTTCCTATTATGCATGTGTGTATGTACATGTCTCGAAGAGGTAGAAGGTGATAGAAGGGAAGTATGGGAGTGCAGTCAGCAACGAGCGGTGAACACGCGGACGAATCGGCCGCCTGAGTACGCATGCGCTTAGTCCCCGGCTAAACCCCCACCCGGTGTGACGGCCGCGTGGCGTCCTGATCAATTTGCGACGTTGCCGGTTCCTTTGCGGCTGGGGAGGGGTGACGGGCGAGCGCGAATTGAAGCGAGACAGAGCTGCTCCGGCAAGTTTGGGTGCCTCCCCACCCTCGTGTGTATTACACGCTCGTGCGGCCCCCACTACTAAATTACAGCTCCCACCCGTTGCATTGTCCGGACCCTTCTAGGGGATTCTCCTCACCTAGCACGTGGAGACCCGCTTCTTTCAATTTTTCATACCTTATCGACCTGTGGATTCACCAGTCGCCTTTACGGCGTGAGATGCTCTTGCGAAAATCTGGGATATAGATAGGGAGACGAGATATGGAAGGACGCGCGAGAAGGCGGCGCGCCCCTCTACACATGTATGCGTACTTGTATACGTTCGTGTATGCCATGCATTTGCGTTGATATTCTTATCATCGGGAGGAAAATCAAAAATAACTTGAACCGAATAATGATTGTTAGCAAAAAAAAATGATTGTAAAATTTGAGGGTATGTAATATTCGCAGAATAGAGAAAAAAATGTCTGAGTTAAGTCTGCAAACAAATCCAGACGAAGATAAGCTGAAATACAGATGCTATATATGTATAAAAAAAAGTTACTTTTCTGTTTTATGTAAAATAACAAATCTTAGAGATTTGTGTTGAGATATAAAGCATCTCTTGCAAACGATAAAAATTTGACTTCGAATGAACAGCCACCCTTATCTTGTCTCTATCAGGATTAAATAGCACCTTAATTTCACAGTTTTTACTTAATTGTTTTGTGAACAGTATATACGCCTTCATAATTTTTAAATTATTTTATATTCATTATTGATAAGATATAACATGTAACGAATAAACGATTTTTTTGTTCTCTCTCAGGTGCCAAATGTAAGAGAGAACGCACAGAGTCAGACGATCTCTTTTGTGAAGAGAAGATGCTGATTATCGATGGTGAGTATATCTCGCATTGTTATTAAATCATTCAAAACTGCGTCGTAAATTAAAGATGATAAAGTGAAAATCTTTTTCTTGGAAAAAGAGGTCTTGGAAACGGAGTATGTTGAAAATTTTGATTACGGAGGCACGTGCCCGTAGATAAATCCGGCACTGGAGATCGCTGCAGTGCCCCAGATAGAACGTGCGCAACCGGACGGATTCCGGAGTTATCTCGAGTGCCGACGTGTCACGTTGTTACGGAAGAGATCCTTCGCGCGATAAGGACAGAGTGATCGCGCCGAGTGGTGACCGGAGCAGTGGAGCCACTGAAGGCAATTCTCGCGAAGACGGGGATGTCACTTCTCGCGGAAGGGATAGGAGGGGAGTTGCTGCCGCCGCCACCGCCGCCGCCGCCGCTTACCGCCACCACCGCTGTCTGACGAGAAGGGAGGCACGAGGACGTCATCCTCGGGCTGGCTGGAGACGGCGGCACGCAAGCTTAGATCTCAGTCGGTGCCCGTGACTCACGCGGTACTCGAGTCTCGCTCGATCGCCGCGATCGATTGGTCGCGATCGCCGGTTTCGGAACCGAGTCGGGGAAACAGCTGACTGGCGTTCGCGGAAGTACAGACGTATCGCGATCACTCGAATTAGAAATTAGAACGACATGTGTACGACACGTATTGCCGATCCGTAGAGTCACGGAGTGGCGTGAAGTGCGAGACTGCGTTGAAACTGGGATCTGTTCTTCGCCATCAACGTTCCTTTCTGCTGCAAAGCATTTATCGAACTCCGTTTCGTTTAATTTAAAACAACGCGTGACGCGTATCAGATGCACGAATGACGCAACGATTGGCCTTGACACGGGCGCAATTTTCATTGGGAAATTCGCGTTGAAAGATGTTCCTTCGAGGATCACCCCGTGAGAAATGAGGTGGACGAGCGGCAGCGCGACCCTCGAAATCGCTCGAGCGGATTCGCTATCTCGCGGCGAATGGGTTTCGAAAGTTGAGCTTTTCTCTAGCGCGCCAACGACCTTGCCGTTGTTAGTCCTCGTCGTACCCTCCCTTCTCTGCCGTGGTCGCCGTAATCGTAACCGTCACCGCCGCGGCACCGCGACGTCAGACCTCTCTCCACGTTGTACGTTTCGCATTCCCGCGACAGTTTTTCTGGCGCGGCCTTCTCGTTCTGGAGAACGGACTCACTCGACCTGGGCCAGTGACAGCGAAATCTAACGATTCGGCGACGACGACGGCGACATCGATGACGATGATAGCGGCGAAGAGGCGGATATAGCGTCCGGTCGATCGACTTTTCCCACAGCGAGAGCTTAAACGGAAGTTTTCCGGTCGCGCGCGTTCCGATTTGCGCGATCTTAAGAAGGATGGGTGTTCTCCTGCTACCGGACGGTATCACGTCGCCGGTAATGCATTCGCGCGCGAGCCTGAGCGCCGTCGTCGACGTCGTCGCCGAGACGAACAACAACGTGAGCGACCTGACGGACGCGAATAACCCACCGTCGCCGGCGCCGACGCGGATCGTCGGTATAATCGACGTCGTCAACGGTGGCGAGACGCCGCGACACAGTAGCGATTGGACACCACCTCCACCGAAGAAAAAATGGATACGGCACTACCTGCTCGGTGAGATCCCTACCGCGCGTGTCCTGAAAATATCCTGTTCAAAAAGTCACCCAGAGGGAGAGACGTACGTCGTCTCTCCCTCTCAACCCTTCGTCTCTTTCGTCAAACCGGTAGTCTTTATGAAATTTCAATTGATAGTTTTTAAATTTAACATGTGAATTTACAATTCTAATTCCGGGACTGTGTTTCAAGACAAAAATAATCAGCGCGCAATTTGCTGGGTGGAATATAAATTGGATGGATATAAATTCACACAAAAAATATTAATAGACTTAATTAAGATCCCGATTGAAAGAGGCGTATCTCTATTTATTTGTGATATTCACATATCGATCGAGTTCCACTTATTATTAATTAATTTGTATAATCTGTTATCGAATTATTGAAACTGATTCAACATGACGAGTGTTAATTGTTTTGAGTGTTGTGGTCTCTGAAAATACCTATATTAAAACGTATTAATCGTTCGACTTTATTTCACGTATAAAATGAAAAGAATCTAATTACTTTCCATGTGCAATGAATACTATTTTCGCGGAATTCCTCTTGAATGTCGGAAATATCGGCGCTGCCAAATCATTAATTAATCAAACCGATTAATAATTTAACAGATAGATTATTAACTCTGTGCATTACTTGCGTGAGGTGTAAAATACTCCAGTCTTAAAAATATATTCACAGAGTAAAATATGTATTTTTAAGAAGAACTTTTACATTTATCTTTGCGAAATATCCGGTTCTGTCGCGTGGCATATCTGGCACATACGAGCGCATATCAGTCCTTTACTTTTCGAACGCGCCACGTAACAGTCGGGAACAACTATGGAAACAAGACTTCGTAGATGCTAGATAGAGCGTTTCAAAGATGAAATGGGATCTTCTCACGAAATCAGATTTTGCAACGATCTGATTTATTCTGCTTGACTTCCGAGTTTGAATTGTCTCGCAAACGAGATTCTGATAAATGGCGCTCCGATTCTGAAATTTTATCTTTAGACGGACGACCGCGATTGCCGTCGATTCTAGTATCTAAAAACATCTGTCTTCGCGCTTTACGTTAAAGCTTCTCTCAGAGCATTTAATAGCGTATTTTATTGCTCCGAAAAATTTATGTTTACGACACAGGCAAATTTTAATCGCTCGTATATCGTCTGCCGCTGTTTTTCAGAAGCGTCTTCACCTCGAAAGAGTTGAAGCAAGGATAGATGCATATAAATTCAATTTTTGATCATACGCGATATTGAATCACGCTAGCTTAATGGTCAGTCATTTAAATTATACACTTGCTACTGACCTATTGAAAAATGTCATAAAATTTATGTCTTTATTTACATACTATTACTAGCAAACACATTTTCTTCAATTGCGTTTAGAAGGCATAGTATTGTGTTATTTATCGATGTGAAAAAATATGGTAAGAAGTGTAGCAAGAAACCTTTAAAGTTATCGCAGAAGCGAAAGAAAGAAGAACTTTTTCGTAAATTCAAGTTTATGTATAAAAAAACTCTTTGAAAAGCAGCAAGTTATAATTAGATGAACAATTGTTGGTTTTTGTAGCGGTGTCTGCACGGGCGTTTTTATCTCCCATAGCATTGCTTATAATTATCCTCGATACTCGTATCGTCGAGGTAAACAGCAAAGAGTATTGGCATGCATTTTCATACTGTTGTAAATGAGATATTTCGCACGAGCTACACGAAATCACGCCTCGCGCGCGCAAATGGACGCGTGTCGACGATATATTTTCGCGGATTGTGCGAATATTTCGGTCGAAGCTGGCAGTGAAACGTCCGCGCGCGGAAAATGTGGCAGAATGTGTCTGCGGCGAACTGTTTTCAATTTTATCGAGACAGGAAAATGGGAGAGTGACTTCTCGGATTTCATCTCGCGGGCTAACGTCGCTAGTCGCTACGCTACTATTCGCTCGCGCGTTGAAAAGTTAAATTGTTATTTGCGCGAGAATCGTGTCGAATTTTAAAGGAACCGACGATCATTTTCGAGTTGGAAGTAATTTAATGAACATTCCAAATTATCGTGCATTTCAAGCGAAGTTTGTCGTTTGTTTAGATGAGTGGACCCGATCTATTTAATAACCCGATAAATTAATCCAAGAAAAAAAAATCTATCTTTTGAAAAAAATACGTATTGTTCAGAAATACCCGATATTTCTGACTTTTTCAAGTTAAAAGTTTATGCCACAAATAGATTCCTGTAATCTTGAAAAATCGTGTCTTTGCTAATTTTATTCTTTAGATGAATTATTGCACGGATTATCGGCTCGTTATCGGTGGTTTTAATATATCATTTCGAAAACGACTATACGCTTTGATTAACATCCCATTACCGCATTTTCTGCTTGTAGATTCGATTTTTTGTCGATCTCACGCGAATAAAGATCCTCGGGCTTTTATCGTTATTTCTTCGCGAATTAGTTGGTTCCATTTTTTACTCTCCCTGCCAGCTATCGATACGGAATGTTACAATCCGGATAAATATTACTTTCACGATCCTCAGTCCTTACTTTCAGTTGGGAACTTGGGTTGTTTTATCACTACTTTGCAATGCATGCATTTTCTAAAAACGACGCGAATTCGCCCAGTGTGATTTCGACGAGGATCGTCAAGGGCCATGAATTTGAAGTATGTCTGCGGATACAAGATATGGAAATCGGACTATTTATAGTTCGTAGAGTATTTCCAAGTCAAATAACTCCTATACCTCGCGACTATCAAGTTGAGCGTGCGAGAAATGAGATATGCAAAGTGTAGAAAATGCGAGGAATGTAAATATTATGTTATACGCCAGTAGGCAGTACGGACCGCTGATTTTTAAGAAAAAAAAACTCAAGTTGGCAAAGCAAAAGAAGAAGAAAGAAGGAAAAATTGCTTATCTGAACTCGATATTCATAGATGCAGCGTGCCTGTGCCAACATTCGTGAATAGAGCGAGATATTTTGTATAATACGATCGGTGAAATTGGTGAAACCAACGGTTCTACCCAGCGTATATAATGCGGTAAACAAGATTTGTTTATTACTAATTATTTATTGACAAGTGCAGAACTGGCGGGCGGCTGCTACATTTCTCTCTCTCTCTCTCTCTCTTTCTCTCCCCTCTCTCTATCTTCCCTTCCACGCGTGAATATATTAATAAATCTTCGTAAAACATTGTAAAAGAGTTGATAACGTTTCACGTAATTGCTGACGGGCAAATTCTCAGACAATCGATCCGACGAAAATAAGGAATACATGAAAAAGAAAAGTTGATTTGTTTAAATATTGCTTAGTACGTGGAATAAAGGTGTAAATTCAAGAACGACTAGTACAATAATATAAGAATTATATATTTAGGTCCATTTCACGGTGTTTCGTTTAATCGATAACCAACGTTTCATTGCATCTGATTGCTTAAACGCGTGGATTATACGCAAATACGCGGCAGATGACTACAACGTGGATTTCTTTCTCGTTAAGTGAAAAGAAAGGGAGAATGGAACGGTTTTCTGAAGGACGCGTTCTCTAACCGGCGCAGTCATTCTCACGAGGAAATCATATGTTACGTCAGCGCAAATGACGTGCATTCTCGAACGTTGCTCCCGCGAATGGATTTTTTTTTCCCGACGGAATAAAAGTTTCGCCGATTCGTCCAGAAATCGACAGTCCATCGTGACTCGCGAATGTCTGACTTTTGAATTATCGACCGCGGACAGTTCTTTAAAATTCCATTCCCGATCTATTTCTATATTTGCAGGGAACGCTGATTAACGGACTATTGATTAATACATATATTAATTCAGTATCTCGGACAACTGATATGATTGATGATATCCGCCCAAGTCCGATGTATGCAGAATACAGTAGAATCGACATTATTCCCGACCTCTTATTTATTTGTGTCATCGTAACAATATAATATGCAATCAAGCAATAAGTATAACGTGACTTTTACACGTTGGAGTTAAACATTGTAATAGAAGCATGCGTACGTAACACTTGTCAATTAACAAAATTGGAATTTCTAAATGGATGCACATTCGATACTTTTTATGCGTAGATTCGTCAGTGACGTTACAAATTTACGCAATTTTAATGTAATAAAATTCTCTAATGTGAGAAACGAGAGTTTTCGAGTTATCGTTTAACAAGTTTCTATTTTGAAATATTCAAACGCATATGCATCGAAGAGTGCAGTGCGTACCGTATAAGCTTTTCAAGAAATCAGACACGTAGGATAGGACGATAATAATACTTTTCAAGTAGTCCCGGCGCGGTTTTGCGCGGATGCGACGCTATCCTGTAACATATATTATACATTCCTCACGCCAAATAAACTACTGGACACTCGTGTGCTCGCGAAAAAAATCCCGTTGAACCGATTGGCATATCATTTGAAAGGAAAATCACGCCGCGGTTTTGCTCGCATGTGAGCGAACATGCAAATACTCCGAGTACGAAATTTATTACTGCAAACTAGAGAACGAGTGGCAATTCGCTCTGGACTTGCTAGTCTAATAGCGTTTTGTGCATTTTTGTATAGAAGATTGATCGAATGTATACACGGGAAATGTTTAACACTTTAACTCGCTATGCAAAAAGTTGAAGAAAAGATTTTGTGTCAATTCAAAATCGAGGAACATTTTCGACTCGCAGCGATGATTTATTAGACTGACACTTCAATACTACTTACAATTGGTGATAGGATTAAGTATATTATATAAGTTTGAATTTGCCGATGTAGTTTCGAACTCTCTATATAATTATCGAAAAAAATAAAAGCAATACTTTCAAGTAGATTCGACCTTGGACGAAATGAGTTTGAATTCTCTATGAGTACCTCGAAAAATAAGAATATTATTTCCAAGTGCACTTGAACCTAGGTCAAATATGTTGGAATCTTTTATGAGTAGTTTACAAGAAATTTTACGTCTATTCGAGTTAAAACATTTGTATAAAGCGACAATTTTTTTTAATATATTATTTTTTAATAATTACAAATATTAGATTATTAATCGTTGATTATAATCGTAAGTTGATTTAAAATCTTTATATGTATATTTATACATTTTTCAAATTAACTTTATTGTATTTAATTTTAAGTGTATTTTATAATCTTGATTCGTAAAGATTTACACGAAAATGTGTGTGACGAAAAGATAATTGAAAATTGTTATAAACACCGATCGCATTTGACATTTTCACCGACGAACAATTGATTTCAGATTTATCATATATATGGAGGGGTAAAAGTCATAGTGGTGTAAGTCAAATTTTTTTAAATTTTTTCTCGCGTGCATAGATGCAATCCATACAATATATAAACTTCATCTGCGCATACAAAAAAATATTTTTAAAAATTTGACTTACACCACCATACCATATAATTGACAGCACAATATCGAAATGTTAGTTTAATAAATTATTAAAGTGCTCTGTGAAGATTTCTCGATTGCGAAGCGACACAAATCAGCATAGATACATGCATAGATGCATACGTTTATATATTAGGAATTAACCGTCTGCAATTAATTTCGAAAGGCAATGGATGTACCCAATGCCGTCGTCAGTTTCTCGGTTTCTCGTTGTCCTCTCTCGCGTGGATATACGCTCGCGATTCACGTCTTCGGGCGTTAGGAATAGATTTAGGAAGAGACGCGAGCTATGCGACGGGGCGGCCGCTGCCAAGTCGACTCGCACATGAATGGACTAGCTGCATGTGCGTACACGTGCTGCGCTAATTTATCGTACCGAGGATGGAGAGAGGAAGCTTCTTTTCGTGCTCGGTAGCGAGACGTTGCGGCCGTTCGCGAATTTGTTATCCTCTCTCGTCCAGGCGAGGCATAAATCGCTGCTCAAAGATTTGCGCGATACTCCTTAGGGCGTAAGATATTCTTGCGTAAATATTCTACGCGTGGATATTCCATGGGCATTACAAGCGGAATTCGTTTGAATGTTAAATACGTGGGTAGCTTGGCCGTTGTTATCTATGTGAAAATTATTACTTTGATGCCCGTGATGATCATTGGGCGATTTATATCACAATGTGATTAAAAATTAATTATATTGAACAATAACAGGAGAATCTCGCGTTATTATTTGATTTTCAAAACTGATTTTCTCGTAAATAAAATCCCATGCAACAAAATTATACTCCATATATTCGATTGCTATTGCACGTATAACAAATCACGTATCCGATTATATATTTTTAATTATTCTAAATATTATAAATAAAATAATATCTGATGTGTTAAGCTGCAAACATGGCCAAGTGAATTATCAAATATATTATAATTTTCGGTGCTCTATGCAAGAAATAAATCGTTGACAAAATGATTGGCTCGCTCGAAGCCATCGTCACTCCAGAGAATATCTGCGCTAATCTTAGGCGAAAGCGTGGCCATTCAAGCTCGAGAGCGTAGAATAGAATGGCAAGCCGGGAGCTTTGTCGTCTGCATCTGTGGAATGCCAGGAATCGTAGTGCCTCCGTGAATGTGTGTCTATATCCAGAATGAAAGGGATAATACGATAAAGCCGGGGCAATAAAATTTTGGCTGTAGTGTTGTCGTCTCGCCTCGAGAACTTCCCGAATGACGATGCGCGTCCCTCTAATATAATACAAAAAGTTATGCGAATATATATATATATATTTTTTTTATTTTAATTGAAGAGCTCGTTTCTGAATCGTTTTAAACCTGTACCTTGAAAAAAATTAAGATTACATGTTACTAAGTACTGGAAATAATTTCTGAGCTTTCTAAGACGGATAAAAATATTTTGCTAAAATTTATTTCTTCGAAGTATGCAGTTAAGTTCTTCAGTTGCTTTTTAACGGTCTAGCTAAAGTCATTCTAATGATGTTGCAGAGGAAGAACCGTTGGAGAACAGCAGAATGAGTTTTACGATAGCTTCCCGAGGTACCTCCGTGGTCTCCAGCACGCGAGCCACGCCATCGTCAACCGGATCAAATTCTGTTCAACTGACTGCGCTCCATTCCGTGTCTCATCATCCTCATCCTCACCATCATCATTCACAACAGCCGCAGCAGCAACAACAGCAACAACAGCAACAACAGCAACAGCAGCAACATCACCAGCAACAACAGCAACATCACCATCATAGTGATCATCATAGCATACATAATAATTATATGGAGAATCACAATCCGAATCAGTCCCAGCAAAGTACGGGTAATCTCGTTGTCGACGTTGAAACGAACCACGACAATAAGAAACACCGATCCGGGTAAGCTCGCCTAACTTTTCTATTTTTCTTTACTTTATCTTCGCGTCCTCTCAATCCTTCTAGAGATATATTGTAAATCCAGATTATTTTCCATGGTAACATTTAGGTGATTTTGCGACGGAACAATTCTATTTTCAACCGTATCGCGAGCTAATCTGGTCTCGCCAATATCAAACTGAGAACTGAGCTATTGTAAGAATTAAAAATTGGACTAAGAATCAAACTAGGAGGAGGCTTTATTAATTTAGTTATTTCTTGCGTTATGCCTTATCAATGCTGTTATATTCGAATCCGTCTAAAATAGACGCGATAATGTCTGCCTATGATGGACACATGCTTACGCGGCGACACCGACACATTCCATCGCGAGTCGATACGTCAGCCTGTTGCTTCGCGCGTTCTCGCCTCATCTTCTCTCCTTGCCGCTCCTCTCCGTGCACGAGCCGACGCCGTCGCCGACGTTACAGCCGGCTATACCTATTTACGCCGTGCACGTGTCCAGGGTGAATGGCACGTGCACGACGCGTCGCTCAGCGTGTTGCATCGCGCGGCGGTAATGCGTGGCGTTACACGATCGCGTCGTATAGATCACGTAGAAAAGCACCGTAACTGCAAAACCGCTACCCTAAATTCATAAATATAGGATTGAGAGGGAGAAAGGGAATTAATTCTTTTATTTATCCCACCCAACTTATTGTTTTACGATTCATATCTTCTCATTGCAGAACATGCGTGATTCGGGCCGGCACCAGGGAAGTACACAACAAGTTGGAGAAAAATCGAAGGGCGCATCTGAAGGAGTGTTTTGAACTTCTAAAGAAGCAACTACCGGCGCAAGACGAAAAGAAGTCTTCAAACCTCTCTATTCTCCATGCAGCGAACAAGTACATACAGGCAAGTTGCAGCCTGTTACGTAAAATGCGATAATTTTTATAGTAAAGAACGAAGATCTATTTGGATAGGAATAAGTCTTTTTATTATCATGTATTGCGAGTATTTCGAGAAAAGATTCAAAGATTGCAACACAGATTTTAAAACAAAGGTTTAATGGGATTTTATATTTTAGCGATGAAATTAAGTATCTTACAAGTATAGGTTCAAATCTGTTGGCGTACTTTCGAACAGTCTATGGTTATTTCGAAAAATAAAAGCAGTACTTTTAAGTACAGTCTCGAACTTGGACGAAATGGAAAAACAAGAGTATTATTTCCAAACGGACTTGAATCTGAATCAAATATAGATCAGATATGAAAATGTTTGAATCTTTCATGAATACTGTACTAAAATTTTTACGTTCCTTCGAATCAAAACTTTTGTATAAAACAATTTTCAGATTTTAATATATTATTTTTTGATAATTTTGACAAATATCAGGCGAAATTAAACATCGTAAAAATATGATTAAATTAATATTACTCGAATCTTAGAAAATAAAACTGATTATTGGATTTTTAATTACATGTTGAACTTAATCCCATCCCTAATTATATTAGACATTATTTGTTAGGGAAATTCAGAGAAAAAAAAGACTTATAGTTAGAAATCTTAAAATCCTAAGATAACAGTTGCGGCACGTAACAGTGCGCATTCTGAATTCCTATATTCATTGTCGAATAAATTTACAGTTGCGTGCAACCGCGCGCAAAAATTCTGCACAGCGATTTAACGCGGACGCGTGTCGCATCGCGAATTAAACTTATACCCGCGAGATCTCATTCATGGTCGATGTGCAAATTGTTGAAACTCATCGTCGAGAATAATGTATATCGTTTTAAAAAGCGGCCGTCACAAGACAAACTGTGATCCTCGAGCAACAATTGTCAACTCGAGACGGCGTGACGTGAGGGAAAGACACTCGGAAGCTGCATCTTGCACCACATTTCGACATTAATTGTAACCAATTTCTCTACGTGAAAATTCTTTTTCCCTTCATCTCGCGTTGTTTCTTTAATCCTTCCCCTTGTGGTTTCCGCGTCCTCCCTTTTTTTCTTCCGTGTATATCGTATCATCTCCGTGCGTATTGCATTTTTGTACGAGAGGCATTACCTATATCGGTTCCACGTGACCGCCGGCCATCGGTGTCACGCTACGCGGCACGTAACAGCAACCAGCAACGCGCTGCTCTCTGGACTTTTATCGTCCGACGCCGTCGCAGTTACGCACGATGCATTTCGCTACAGTATCAAAAGTGACAAGGGCGTCAACGTCGAAGTTATCTAAACGTAATACAAAATGTTTGAAAGTTGTACAGAAAATATTTTTTACATGACGAAAAGAATATTAGACACTTTTGTTGTCAAAGAGGAGCCACTCTTAAATGCAATCACTAATCTAGATAATCTAGCTACAATTTTATCTATTTTTTCTAACGGACTCTTCAACCTATCTCTTAAAATAGTCACCAGTTCAATTTTGGAAAAAAAGCTTTAGGATGGTTTAATAAAAAAAATGGACTATGTCCAGTCATTTCATATCAATGAATAAAATAATAAAAATATTAAATTATAATGCATAAGTTTGATTTTTTATTTCATATAATAGACATTTTTAATTAATCGTCTCAAACTTTTGGTCGGCAGAGCTAAATATCAGAATAGCATATTTATTAAACTATTGATAGACTAACTACGTCCATTTTTTTAAATTAAACAACGCTATGTTAATCACAACTGTGTTAAATATACAATATGCCCATTTACTTTCAAATTAAGAAAAAAATATTAAATAAGGCATAAATTAGACTTTTAAGTAGTTAGTGTTTTACTGGAATATTTTTAAATGTTATATGCAATTTCAAGCTTTCGGCTAGCAGTATATACATCGAAGGGAAGAAAAAAACATTATAGTTGTTATATAAAGGTGTTATGTTAATGTTTGAGAGAGAATGGTTTTAATAATGCAAAATGTTTCTTCTCGTGCCGCAGGCATTGCGAAAGAAAGAACGAGATTACGAACATGAGATGGAGAGGCTCGCCAGAGAGAAGATCGCGGCTCAACAGAGATTGGTGGCATTGAAGAAAGAACTCAATGCAAATTGGGATCCTATAGACATTAATTCTCTTTTGCTGGAACAGAATCCCGGGACGGATGCGGTGACCGTAAAAAACGGTGAGATATATTTGTGATATTAAAAAAAATTTCGTCATGTCACAGAGATTACTTTTTATGGAAGGATTTTCACGAGTAAAACTTCTCCTTTGCTTTGCAGGCAGATTTATATTTCAACCCTCTTTTATCTGAAGTTTAAAGACGTTAGCCATAAAAAAGATAGCGAGATATTGTTAATTGTTACCAAAAATATTCAATGAAAAATCTGTGGAAATGTTATTTTGAGAAAAAAAATTTCACGATCTTATCTCTAATATTTTCTATCCTACTCTCTCTTAAATGTCCACTTTTGATTTGTTTATTTATTCTTGTTTGAAAAGAGTTCTTCTATATTGTCAAAGTAATTTTTCTTTATTTTGTGAAAGAAAGTTCATTTATTTTATCAACATTTTTTTAACCGACAATCTCCTTTAAAAAATCTCAGAAAGTACGGAGGTTGATGTTACTGGACTACCACGGGGTGGCACGAGGTACAGCAGCACGAGCAGTCTAAACAGCGTAACGACGGCCAGTTCCCCGCAAGCATTGCAGTCCATTAGCACGACTTCCAATATTCATAATCAGACTACGACCGCGGGTATCGTTTGCCAAACGCAGGATCTTGCGCGAGGTTCCAGGGAGAGCCCACCCGCGAGTTCGACTGCTGGAACGGTATCCGCACCCAGCATTTCTACTCCAACGCAGGTACGTTCTCCCCTCTCCCCGAACTGGACGAAACGACAAGTTATTTTCCCGCACCACATCCAAGGCGAAATCGCAAATATTACGATTTTACAATAAATTGGTGCCACAACAAATCACCACGCGTTTGCAGAGCCGCTTACAGATTGTTGACTGGAAATGGCTTTGAAAACGTGTGACATGCCTTCTTAGTCACTTCATTTCATATATATATATTTTTTTAGAATTGCCTACGTTGGATTTGAAACCAGCATTGAACGTCGTATAAATATTTCTTTTAACTTTTTATTTGAAACGATAGTTTCTCACACTCTGTAATTTCATATTGTTTATTGTGATAGATGTATTTAATGGCCTGTTATCTATCACTAAAATAATTATTTCGAAACTATCCAAAGTTGAACGATTCCCGTAGTGTAACTGACAATAATACTCATTGTGCATACTTTTTCATACATCTGTTTAGACCTAGCTGACAAGGACAAATGATCACGAACTAGAGTTGTTAGCGGTCAAGGAAAACTGAAAAAAGTCAGGGAATTAAATGATCAGGAAAAACCGTGAAATGAACTGGGAAAAGTCAAGGTCTCAGAGAATTTATTAGCCTAAGATAAAATTAAATTACGGTAATATCAATTCTAAATTTTTAAATTGTTTCTTTAAAAATTATTGAACGGAATTTTTAAAATTATTTAAGGAAACATATAAATATATTTTAGGATTTTTTAATGAACTTTGCAGTGAGCAATTTGCAGAAAATTATTAACAGATTTAGTTTAAAAAGAAAAAATTTAATATCTTGACTTTGTAAAATCAAGATATTAATGACTTTTTGCAAATAACTCGCAAAAAGCAAGTTTATTCCTTCATTTTCATTTAGCCCTTTACTGAAACACATGTATGAAAGCTCGTAAAGCGCATCCCAAGTGAATTTGCCAAAATGCAAAAAAAAATATATATGTATATGTACATATATAGATTCATCAGCATTAAAAGTGTTAAAGATTGACCTACAGAAGGATAGACAGAATGGTGTTTTCATTTCAGGAGAAGGTCACTACGTCGCCTACCGCCAATATAGTGCAACAGCCGCATCAGCTACACCTACCGATCAGCGCCCAGATGTTGAACACGAGTCAGGGTCTCGCTACCATCGTGCCAGCTTTGCAGCACATCGGACCGGGACTAAGGGTAATACCGGGGGATACGCGGCAGCTTTTGGTCACCCACACCACCGGCAACAACGAATCAAGACCCTTGACGTTGGCGGTGCAGAACTCCTCGGATCAGTCCAGACCGCCGCTAATCGCCGTGCAGTCGAACACTGGAAGCGAACCGAGGCCTGTACTCGTCGTTCACTCATCCACCGCAAACGACAACCGAGTGACATTCGTGCACTCCAATCTGTCCAACAACGACAGGCCGCTCGCATTGGCCGTGCAGTCATCTGCGAGCGATGTTAGACCCGTTACCTTCGTGCACTCGGGGAATGAGGGTCGATCATTGGTTCTCGCCACGCATTCGCCCGCGCTAAACGTGTCGAGTGAGTATACGTTTTTGTAGGCAGATTTAACATAGACGGCCTGATCTCGCAAGAGTCCGCACATGAGCTCTGGATTGCTCAAATAATAATCGTTTCTTTATTGTAGACGCCCAGACAAGAATAAGAACGGGAGATACGCAGAACACGCATAAGATGGTCGGTGGTGTAACGCTCGTCGGCGGTAACGGCTCGGAATTGGCAAGACTTCCCGGTGGTGCGGAATTAAACATACTTCCAGCAAATGGTACGTATGACAGCGCAACGTGCATACTAGTTCCATTATATTCGAAATATTCGTTCACGTTTCTACGAATGTTGTACGGTACAGCACGGCAAAGAAAGCTTGATACGTTTATTTAGCAGATTTAATTTTATAATACAAGTAGTCAAATCTGTTGGCGTAGTTTTGAACCGTCTATGATCACTTCAAAAACTAAAAGCAACATTTTTAAGTAGGCTCGATCTTAGACAAAATGATTCGAATCCTCTACGAGTACCTCGAATAACAAAAGTATTATTTCCAGGTGCACTTGAACCTAGATCAAATATGTTGGAACCTTTTATGAGTATTTTACTAGACATTTTATGTTTCTTCGAATCAAAACATTTAAAGTGACAATTATTTTAATATATTTTTTTATAATTACAGATATTAGATTGTTAATCGTTGAAAATGATTTAAAAAATAGAATAAAAATTATTTAAAATCTTTACACATTACATTCTTTAAACTGACAACTTGATTCTTTTGTTAGAGTTCGAGTACTATTTGTAAAAGATTCGATTCTTCAGAAATTTATATGTTAAAGTACATTTCGCAAATCCTGCAGGTATTCAACTCGTTTAAAAATTTGAAAGTAACTAATTCGGGATCGATTATTTTGCAAGTCTAATGTATAAAATATCAATATTATTTCTTATGAATATTATTCGAATCCTAGAAAATAAAACTTGATTGTTGGATTTGACACTTGGATCTTTAATTACATATTGAACTCGATCCCATCCCTATGCTCATTATCTTGCGGTTACAGGATTAACTTTAAGTCACGGAGTGTCACTTCAAGCCGCCGCAGGTAAACCAGCCTCGACAATGATGCAGAACTCTCCGTCCACAGAGAGTATAGCCCACATCGTTAGTCAGCACGCTCCTCTCTCCGGCCTGACTCCGATCGTCACGCCAATGACCGTTGTCTCCCAAGGTAGCCAGGTGACCGCTCACATCTTGGCACCGTCAAGCCTTGCGGGAAAGATGATCACTACGCCGATTCTCAAGTCCGTGGGACAAATGCCGCTCGTAAACACTCAGTATCTTAACACCACGACTTTAGTGAAACCGGTTGTCGTGGTGAGCTCACCGTCAACGTCGACGGCGGCCTCAACGACGGCGGCAACAGTTTCCAGCACGCAACCCTCTTCGACCTCAAATTCGACCGTCTGACAGACTCAAGGAAAGGCGAAATTAATCTGATCGCGCTGGAATATCAAAATACGATTTGCCGGTGTTTTTCGAGTAAATCTCTACGTTGTCTGAAGTAAATCTATCTTTTGTCATCTGTTGGAATCGCTTAGATGTGTTAGCGATGAATTAACGAGAATAAGCGATTTAAATCTGGAATTGTTTTACGACAGATAATGAATACCGTGAAGGAATGTTATGGGAGAAGAATGTTCATCTATTGTGCTACTTCTAATATCAAAATGGTCTTGCATTCTGAGATGTCACTTGTGTCCCATGAGGACTGACATTCGAAATACGAGCTCTTCCGAGGAGTAAATCGACTGAGAAAGTGTGAGAAAAAGTCCTTGCTCAACACATGCGATATATATATTATACACGGTACCTTGATTTGATTAAGGAGGATAGTTTATTGCAAGTAAATTAAATGTAAAGTTTAAACAATTAATTTATGACAATAGCCCGAGTGTCCAAGAATGAACAAGCTTTCACGTTAACGAACGTGGTGACGAATTGACGCTTTTAAAACTTTTAAGGCTTCCGGTCTCGTACGCTATTTGGATCATTGTTTCGTTATATTCTCGAGTCGGGAATTTCTTCATTATGCTTACTTTGACAGATAACCCTTTTTTTAAGTGTTTTATGTTACTTTGTGAATCCAAAGTATTTTTTCCTATGAAACAAAACAAGAGAAGGCTTTGACTTGCAATGGAACAAATTTTATTTTTTGCATAACTTTTAAATTGCTTGACTGTATTTTGTAAGACTTAAATTGACAAGTTTCATCATATCTTACTGCAACTTGAAGAAGTATCACAGGAAATGATAATGACGGTACACTTAGAATGATATTAAATTAAAAGTAAAGGCTCATGTCTAATGAAATAACACGGAATGGTTTGGATTTAATTATTTAGTGAGTGAAGGTTGAAAAATCGAACATTACGATGAGTTTTGTGTCTTAAAATTGATTAAACGGCTGTGGAGAACGGATATTGAACTCTATGTAGAGATCCGTCTGTTTAATTTTGACAATTCAATCGCAAGATGCATTAAATCTTGTTAAATCGATGATAAAGGCAGAAGTTATTTAGAAACGGTGGCAACAGATTATATAGGTTTGTAGTAATACATATTAAGTATTTATTCCTCTGTATTTATTATATGTTTACATGCGTATTACGAATCGCTATCGCGCTTTTCACGAATGCATAATTGCAACGCGCTACGAACATATTGATTTCTTCATGCTCAGATTTCGTCACATGGAAAGGATTTAGAAATGTATATTCTAAGTCGCCGTCATCATTGTGATCTGTCTCGTGAATACGTGTGCATCTTAACGTTCCATGCTTTTGTACAAACATTTCATTTCTGTAACGCGATCTTTGCATAATAACCGAGAACATCTCGAGTAGAATAGAAGGGAATGATAATGCTCACAACTGTTTGGAAAGCTAGAACGATCGCACGCATTTATCGAAATATCTATTACACTATTTTTCATTATTTTCCGTATGCATGAGAATCGTCCAATAAAGATACAGATCAAAACTACATGGGGGAAAAAAAACCGGGGGAAAGATACAATAAGATCTACAAACGTTTATTGTCGTTTGTGAAATGTTGGGTTAAATATCTTAATGTTAATGATGACTATATGGAAAAATAAATAACACAAAGTGTTTATTTTAAAAATAAATAAATTTGAACGTAGTTCTTATTATATTTTTTTTCTGATCTTTGGAAATAAAAATTCGATGTAATCGAGGGTGATGCGTGGTTCCGTGTGAGAGAAGCTGACTTGGATTCGATTCAGATCCCTTCGTCTTACATATGCCACAGTTTTATATGAAATTTATTGGAAGGTGGAAAGTTGTAGGTGAAGAAGTTGCGAGGTGAATGACAAGCCGTTTATGGAGTGGGAAATCTCAATTTCAATTTTAATGTAATTTTGATCTGTTCCTTATCTATCGAACGATATTTCGTACGTTTATTCGCTTTTGTAAGATCGTATTGTACGTCTCTGTTTGGTATTCTAGCGACGAGATCGTCAACAGTGACTGGAACAATGAACTCATTGGAAGTGCACATTTATCACTATGAAACCATGTAACAATTGATATTCTCATTGTGTGACGTTCACGCAACGAGATACTTTTCCGATATGATTCAACGTATGATTGTAGCAACGTTTCCTTGCCTCCTCGCACGCGCGATTGTTGACGATCTCTCTCTCCCTCGAATGCCAGTTCTCAGTTTGTGCATATTACTAGTACCTATCTCCTATCCGCGTGCAAACTTGTTTTGTATCCTTTAAATTATTTAATCGCGAATGGTATGATTAACGATTCAAGTTAAGATGTAAATGCGTGCCTTTTAACGGGCTACAAGGTCACACAAACGTATCTCGATTGAATCAACATTGTTCAACATTCAAGGCAGTCAGATATTTCGCTGACTCGACAGAAACTCTATATAAGAAAAGTTCTTCATGCTGTAGATTATAGAATTTGTTTACGTTAATCAATCTGTAGACTTCTTTCTTTTTTTCAAATCTTAGGTCGTTATATTCCAAGTACACGAATCTCCCGAATTGTTATTTAATCTGCTGGCGCCTCAATAGAAAGAGGAGAGAAATTAATCAATTACATTAATGTGCTTGATAAATTTAATTGTCCATTGTCGTATCATGCGCTTCTTAGTGTTCGGGACACAACGGGAAAATTCAATTTGCAATAAGGTGAAAGACCGAGCAAAAACCCGGTTCGAGGTACTAGTCAAGAAAAGAAAAAAAAAGAAAACGGTTTTGTTGAATTATTTTCGACGCGGACGCTTTCATTTGACGAGACCTCAAGTCGTGCAATGGATGCAAATGATTGTACTGCATACTCTGTGACACATGTACACACACTCACCACACACATATACACACAAAACATGCAGGAACACAACTGTAACTGTGCGGGACTGAAACGGAAAAAGGTGAAAAGAAAGAAAAGAAATGTGATCGAGCGGGAAATGTTGCGGAAGTGACATTTCGCAATCAGCTGTTTAGCCGCGACTGAAACTTCTGTCGGTTAACTATTTTAAGCGATGTAATAGCCTCATGTAAATAATAATTGCGTTAGCGAGGATAACCAAACGGGTCGAGAGACGGAAGGAAACTAAAGATAGTATAGCACTGAGCACTCAAGCTAAATGAATAATGTGAACAATGTGATATAAATGATAAATAAAAGATTAATTAGCACGGTAGCGTTAAGGAGAGAAGAATCAACTATTAAATCGTTTACGGTGTAGATAGAATGCTGGTAACTATCATTTACTAATATCTTAAAAAAAGAGAGAGAATGTCAAAAAATTGAATTGTACATAGGAAATACAAGAAGGAGAAAAAGAGCGGAAGAGGAGAGATAGAAAGAGAGAGAAAGGAAAAGAACAAAGGGAGAGACTGAGAGAAAGAGAGAGAACAAACAAATACTGCACCGCATGTGATGCTCATTGTGTCGGCGGTAAGAACCGCCGACGCCGCGAATATCCCATGTAACGGTATCTACGAACTGTATTTGATCGACAACGTGCGATGGATAGGGGTGCGTGAGACCGCGTGATTGGGTGTGTGCGTGAGAAGGGTGTGTAGTAAAAACGTTATTATTGTTGTAGTCTATATCGAATTTTGTTATATGCCTCGACTAGCGTGCGAAACGATGAAACGTCTCTTACGACGCGGCTCGTTGTACGTAAAAAAAGAATGAGTTGAAGCAAAAATGGTGAGAGAAAGAGAAAGATGAATGAGAAAGAGTGAGTGAGAGAGACAGAGAGAGAGAAGCGTGAAAGGACGGATGACAGGCGTTGCGGAAGAGACGCGCACTCGCGACACTTTTTGTTAAAAGAGGAAGAGCAAGAAAGTAAAAGTGTGCGATGAAAAATTCAGTGCAGTCTATTACAATAAAGATTAAAATGTGAGTGTGACGGTTGCCCAATTCTCCTTGAAGTTGTCTAGTATCCACGCCGATTCCGAGACTCTCGGCTCGACTGATATACGAGTAACGAAGAAGATAACGAGGACGATGCATTCGTTCTGCATCCTGCGAATTCTTTTGAGTATAATCATGTAATTTAAAGGCTCGTTTAGTTTATTCAAAGGCTCGTTGAAGCGATCTCAAACGCGTGTATCTCCGAAAGAGAAAATTGCATTAACCATATATATTTTTTAAAGGATATATATGAATTTAAGATGGTTTCGAGCGAGCAAGTTCCTCGATTCGCGAGACGATTAATCTGATTGAAAACCGGGAATCTGCGCGACGTAAAAAATTGCGCTCGAATGATCGGGATGAGAGTAACGATCTCGGCGGGACTCATTATGCGCTTTTACGTACGAGATAAGTAGCGATCAAAAGATTTCAAAGGAAGAAATTCGTAGTAAGCGATTTACAGGATGTTTCTTAAAGAGTACCTACTAATCATTATATAATGCTATCAAAAATTAGGTCGAAAAATCCTGATTTTTTTCTATGATGTGTAATAAAGCAATAATTATTGAGTAAAGTTAATCTAATTAGCACTTTTAGACTGATGTATGTCAATGATGTCCATTTCTACTAATATTGATTAGCTTTCATCTCGGTTTAACTTACTTTTTACCTTTTTCTAATTCTTAGAACTAGAAGAAGTTAAACCAAGATGAAAATTAATATGCCTTGAAAGGACAACGTCGACTGAATTAACTTTACTCAATAATTACTATTCTACTAAATATTATAGAAAAAAAATGGTTTCGGGTTTTCTGACTCAATTTTTGATAAGGAATAGTGCTATATAATTATTGAACATTTTTTCAGAAATACCCTGTATACTCCCAGCTCGAATCGCGGCGTGGGAGAGCGATGTGACATTTGGCGCGGAGAGCCGATCTGCCACCCTACGACCGCACGGCGATCGCACGTGCTTGCAATCCGCATTTTTGACTATCCGATCGCCGGTCGAGCAAGCGAATCGTCCTCGAAAGCAGATCGGGCTGAAGTGCGAAAATCAAAATCGGGTCTGCCTTTTCTAACAGCTAGTGTTTAGGGATTTACAAGGCACGTTCAGATGCAACACCTACGCGACCGTTCCATCACGTATCGATTCTTCGCGGAAATCGGGGACGAGGAAACGTTCTAAAGTCCAACGCTGAATACAGCCATTCACGCCTACCACCTTCTTTTTTCTTAATAAAGATGGAAAAAAGCTAACGTGCTCAGAATTACAAATCTTGGGTAGCATTGTTCTAAACAAATTACAAATTATTCGAAATTGGGATAAAATTGGAACGTAATCTCAGACTCGAGGAAGACCTTCAGATTTATTCTCTTCGCTATAAGGTGTTAATAGAATCGCTCCATATTTCCGATCATGTTTTTATTGTAATTCTTAACTTCGTCTGCAATTCTTAACTTTATTTAATGGAGATAATTTTATGGAGTTATGCGTAAAATGTTTTTCTGAAATGTTAGAGATTTTGAGTTGTATAAATTATTCTAGTTACATAGTTTTATCGAGATTGTCAAAGCATTCGGGGCACAATCTAAATCGAATAGCGGTTGATGGTGCGTTCGCTGCTGTGCGCTGCAGCTGGAACTGTGGATTTCTAGAAACTAAAAACTCGTAGCTCTTATCCGATTCATACATATGTAAAATCGAAATCTGTCCCCTCGTTGAATCATGAAATCGATCGGCGCATCTTTCCTTTGTGGCTGACTTGCACACGAATAAATTGATGAATAGTTTAGTCGTTGTTTCCTTGAACTCGCAAACCCGCAAGTTTTTCTTAATTTATCACTCATGTAGTCATGTACAACGCTTGACAAAACATTCGTTGCAATGCGAAATTCATCCAATTTGGAAATATTAAAAACATTTAATCTGAAACAAACCGGCGGCCGCGGTATGACAACAGATTGGCAGCGGATTTGCTCAAGTATCGCAACAGATTCGGTATCTACTGTGTCCGCATTAAACTTGTATTTTGCCGGCAAAGCCTGTCGATACAATCTGACAGCGGATTATCAACAGAAACCGAATGGAATTTGTCATTTTGTAAATATTTCAATAGAAACATCATTTAAATAGCTGCTTAGATCCAACAAGAAACTAAAAGCAAGGACCAATCATATGTTATAAAGAATCACTAAGCGCTTCTGCTTTTTTTCTGCTGATTTTTATCTAATTTTTACCCGTATTCCTACCTATCCGTATCTCTCTATCTGATATACCTACAGATATGACCGCGATCACCCGAAATAAAAAAGCGCAAATATGTATATTTATCACTCACCGACCCCGATGCGCAACAGCGGAATTATATCTGCAATCGTAGCTACGTTGATTCTGTAATAGACAAATATAAAATTCATATTAAAACAATGTTCAGAAAACTTAATGTTTTAAAACATAATTCTTATACGCATCGAACATTTTATTTATTCATTATTCAATTATATTTATTTAAATAATTGTACGTTTTCCGAAAAAGGTCTTTACACGAATTAATTTTTATAAAATATTAAATTACTCCTTTTCTTCTGTTATTTCTAAATTATGGTGAAATAAAAAGGCTGAAGAATAAACAGGAAAAAAATTACTTTTGCCAAAAATAAAAAATGATATTTACCGCAAAGTTGTTCCGCTGGTGCCCGATGCCTCTCCCAGGCCTCCTCCTCCTCTTAGGCTGGTCCTCGCAGGTTGTCAGCTTGGATTCCCTCGATGCGACTCTTCGTGTTATTTTCTAAAACATTTAAATAAACAATTCGATTAAAAGAAAATAACCAAAATTTTTTGTATATAACATAATATATAAAAGTAAATTATACTCACCACTATCTCAGACTGTTCGGGTTGTTAATTCCATCCTCCTCGGGTTCTTCCATCTAAACCCTCTTTTTTACGCATCACACAACAGAGGAGTTATATTGACCTGTAACATACAAAAAAATTCAATTAAAATAATGTCTAAAATAAATATATGAAAGAATAATTTTTGCAGGCAAGTATACCACTTTATTCGTAATTTCAACAAATATTTGATGAAAGACTAACGTCTTAATAAAAATGTCTTTTTAGATATCAACTTGTACAAAAAAAATCTAATCCTGATATAATTTCAATCATTATAAATTTTAAATATTTAGAAATATTTTATATATTAACAAGTAAATATTTTATACATATTTATTAATATTAATCATGTTATAAATAATTGATTAAATATTTAAAAATCTCAAAATGACCCAAAATATTTTATTTATTAAACAATATATTAAAGATGAAATACTATACATTAGGATGCATATACTATTACATTATATAGTGATCTGAAAACGATACGCAACTACTGAGCAAATAAATATTTATTTCCATCAGTAACACTTCATGGAAGATATAGATTATGAAATGCTCACCTCCTGCTGCACCTGGCTGCCTCCTCGGCTTCTCTTCTCTTCTATCCCATTGCTATTTGATTTCATCGTAGCACTCACAACGTATCCTAAAATAAACAAAATATTGATTACAATTGAATGCTATTATAAGTAATCACTATACTAGAATATAATGATCGCGTGGCTTTGTCATACTTTGTATGATATTCTCCATATTAATGATCACACACGACGCGTACTTAATTATATTGCGACAGCGGAGAAATAAAAGTAGAAGAAGAAATTATGATACGTTCGATATCAGCGATATTTCACAAATAAAAATGCAACAAAATGTATTTAAGATGACGGAAAAAATTTTTTCGCGCGCCAAGAGCGACGTCAGCGTCGCTAGATTGATCCGCGCGATAGATCTTCGGCCGAACAAGGCTTTCAAAATACACGTTTAAACAGATTATCAATATCCAAATGCCGAATCTATGCGATAGATTCTGCAGAAAATAGATGCAAAGTTAATACATGTTACATGTTATACTTACGAATTAAATAAATCGCGATGCCACCTCGTTCCGGATTCGAGCCGATCCGTCCCGTGTCCGCCGCGTTCTGGAAATAAAAGAACAACGCAATTAATATGGCGGAGCCGCTTTCTCTCCCGCACGGACAACTCGCGTCTCGTTCTCAACTTCGTGATTATGCATTTATATCCGCGATACTCGCGATATTGGAAAATACGATCGTCACTGTCGCGATTGCCCGCGCGACGCGCCTTCGGCTTCGGCCGAATTAATAAAGTACCGTGAAATACGTATTTTTACGAAATATCAATATCCAAGCGCTAAATCTACACTACGCCATGGATATTACAGTGAATAATTATGCATGCAAGGTTAATATGTGCTATTTTTACCAGTTAAATGACCACTCGTTCCGGAGCCGATCCGTCTCGTGCCCGCCGCGTTCTGGAAATGAAAAGAGAACGTAATCAATATGGCGGAGCCGCTTCGAAGCTTCGTCTCCCGCGCGAGCAACTTCTCGTACCAAGAGCGCCGTCATGGCGCGCGGCGTCGCTCGCGTCTCGCTCTCGCGATTATGAATTGTCTGAACTTCGAAAATGACTCAATATTATAAGTTCAGCTATTATTACGACTGTTATTTTGTACTCTAGCGAATAGGCGTATTTTGGGCAGATATCCGCCGCGATATTCGCGATATTGGAAAATGCGATCGTCACTTTCGCGATTGCCCGCGCGACGAGCCTTCGGCCAAGCAAGTACCGCAAAATACGTATTTTTACGTAATATCAATACCCGAGCGCCATAAATCTGTACTATTCTATACTACGCGATAGATACTATAGTGAATGATGCATGCAAGGTTAATATAAGTTATTTTTACCAATTAAATGAGTCGCCGCGAGGCCGACTCGTCCGGAGCCGATCCGTTCCGTGTGTCCGCACTGTCCGCTGCATTCTGGAAGTGGAAGTGGAAGGAGAACGTAATCAACATGGCGGAGCCGCTTCGTTTACCGCGCGCGCGGTCAACTTCACGTGATAAAAACGGCGCGCGATAAAACAGCTAAACATTTTCAAATTACGCTTTCAGATTTTTCTGGTTAAAACAGGAAAACTGTAAATTGATCTTGCCAACTACCACTGATGTTATTCAAGTTTCATAATCTGCATTATTCTTATTTAACGTATGTAGTTTATTTGAAATAATGACAGCAGCCACGCCTGCGTTTTGCTTGATACCGTTTTACGAGATAAAAGTCACTAGTCGCTACTGTCACTAGTCACTAGTCTCTTTTTTTACATCATCATGCATATGGTCGCTCACAGGATTTTCTCTCTGCTTGCTCTCTGGTTCTATCGTGATATATTTTACGTTATTAATAAAAACACATAATCAATCACGAACAAAGTGTTATCTGTCGGTTTCGCAAATTGTGTGTTTTCTCAGGGCAATCAAAGATACGTTAACGTGTTTGCTAAATCAGTATATTCGAGCGTAAGCTTTGGTGAACTGTGGTCCTTGAAGGTTATATTGTTGCACGAAGTGATACAATATTGATATTTGTAATTAGTCAAATAATACGTCAAGATGTCTGAGGACGAAGTGGAGAGCTTCGAAATCACCGATTATGATTTAGAGAATGAATTTAATATAGCTCGTCCCCGACGCAAACTCTCGAAGAAACAGCAAATGCTAGGTATGACAATCGATCTGCTACTATTATATTTTGTCAACAGATTCCGTTCTATTTCTGCTAGCATTCCGGCATTCCGTTGACAAAATTTGCAGCGGACACTTTTAAAATCTGTTCTCGATATTACTTTTTTGTAATACGTGGCTTCTTTTTATTAACAGGAATATGGGCAGATGACAGCGATGAAGATGAATCATCTGCCAGACCATCTTTCAAAACCTTTAAAAAGGGTCCCAAAAATTATACGGCGCCGGTTAGTTTTGTCGCTGGTGGTATCCAACAGGCGGGACAACCAAAAGAGAAAGAAGACAAGGATGACGAAGAAGATGACGAAGAGATGCGGGAGACAAGGCACAGTAGCTCGAGGTACAGTTTCAACATAAATATTTTCTAATGCAAACCAATTCTTTTATTTCTCTATAATTATTAAAGTAAACTTTTATGATACTTTGAGTGCCCAGCATATTTCAAACGTGAGCCCTGTGGATCCAAAAGTAATTTTTGATCGTTTTGTTTTAAGTATATATTCATGGTACTACAAAACTGAAGTTTTATTATTTTTATTCGATATATTTAGAAATATCTAACGAAATTGCTCCTACTTAAGTAAATAAAACTCACTCAAATAAATGGGTAATGAGCCCTTGCAAAAATACGTCATCCATACGTAGGTGATGTGGTACACAGTACTAAATATATATATTAATATCTTTTATTTAGTTCAGAAGATGAGAGGTCAAATAGTTCCAAACGTCCATCCTTTGCCTTGACCTTGGACAGTGACATCGCAGGCCTGCGTAAAAAGCGCAATCAAGTTAATCCATTGCTGATGAAAAGCGGAATGGGTAGTTGGGAAATGCATACAAAAGGCATTGGCGCTAAATTATTGCTGCAGGTATTTTACGAGCAACGATCGTAATTTGTTTATAAATCATAGCAAGATGAAGTAATGTAGCAAATTAATAGAAGGTATATTTTTTATATAGATGGGATTTGAACCTGGTAAAGGTTTAGGTAAACAATTACAAGGAATAAGCGCGCCAGTGGAGGCACATCTCAGAAAAGGAAGAGGCGCGATTGGCGCGTATGGTCCCGAAAAGACACCAAAGATTCCAGAGAAAAAGAAGGATGACGATGGGGAGGAAGCAAAAGAATCCAAGTCCAAGGTATCTCAATGGCGGAAGGGTGATACCAGTAACAAGAAAAAAGTCAGATACTGCTATAGAAGTGTGGATCAAGTTTTGGAAGATGGAAAACTGAAGCCTAACAGAAAAGCTCCAGTGTCCAGCGATATGAGTAGAGTTAAAGTTATCGATATGACAGGGCCAGAACAAAGGATTCTTAGCGGATATCATGCGATAGCTGGTGGTCAACAGTGTCCTGACGAGACCGTAATTACGTCCGACAAGAAATCGAAAGTGAACTTTGCCCTGCCCGAATTGCAACATAATTTAAATTTACTCGTGGACATGTGTGAGCAAGATATTATCCAAAACGATCGGCGAATGAGGCATTTAAGTGATAGAATGGTTGCTTTAGAAGCGGAGAAAAAGAATTTATCCAAAGTCGTGGATCAGCATAGTCAATTGATCGACACCTTAGAGAACGTGCTCGTAATTGTGGATAGATTGATGAATGAGACGGACGAATTGTCGCTGCAAGAAACCGCGGAGGCTTTCAAAAACTTGCAAGACAATTATTACGAAGAGTACAAAATGTACGAACTCGGTGAATTAGCCAGCAGTTTCGTAGCACCAAAGATAAAAGATTGTCTGCTCACTTGGAATCCATTGATGCAACCGAAACAGCCAATTAAGTTATTTGAACAATGGAAGAGTATTTTAGAGAATGGAGTTAGTACGCTTCAGACACGGACTATGCATTCATACGATCAACTAGTATGGAATGCTTGGATGCCGTCGATCAGAGGAGCCATACAGTAAGTACGTCCTATAATAAACGTTAACAAATTTATATATGATAATTTAAAAAAGTAAAATTAATCGAAGGATGTGAGAAAATATTGACATTTTTAATATATGTATATAAATGGTTCTTTCAATATATCTATTCTCTAATATTATTCATGAACAAATTAGGCAGTGGACATGTAGGCAGCCCGAGCCTTTAATTGAGTTAATAGAGTACTGGATGCCGCTATTACCTACGTGGATCCTGGAAAATATACTAGATTTATTAGTGTTACCGAAATTGACACTGGAGGTGGAAGAATGGAATCCTCTTACCGATACTGTACCTATTCACACATGGATTCATCCTTGGTTGCCGTTATTACGTAAATATATATATTCTTTACATTATGTATTAAACTATAGAGATGACGTGTCGTTGTAACAATAATTATTTCTTGCTGTTATTTAGGAAATCGTTTAGATACGTTAATTTATCCAATAATACGTCGAAAACTCGGATCTGCATTAGGAGGTTGGCATCCGTCAGACAGATCCGCTAGATTAATGCTGCAACCTTGGGCAGAGGTGTTCGCCAAGGGAGACATGGAGGCGTTTTTAGTGAAGAATATTATTCCAAAATTGCAAATAACCTTATCCGAGTTCGTCATAAATCCACATCAACAGCACTTGGATCAATGGAATTGCGTGTATGAGTGGAAGGAATTGATCCCTGTTCATATCATGGCAGGATTGCTCGATAAATTCTTTTTCCCCAAATGGCTACAAGTCTTGGCACTTTGGCTCAATCATTCGCCTAATTATGATCAAGTTACAACATGGTACATGGGTTGGAAAAAAATGTTGAGCGAAAAGTTACTGGCGGAACCAGTAATAAAAGGTACGTTATTTTGTAATGTTAAATTTATATCCTTTCTTCTTTCTCGTAGTTGGAATTGATTAAAATATGAGTCAAATATGCGATTTACAGAGCACTTCAAGAAAGCATTGGACATGATGAATAGAGCCGTCAGTGGGCCACAAAATCATCAACCTGGCTCACTAGAACAGGTTTCATATTTAACAAGTTTAGAGAGAACTCAGCCGACGATGTCTCAGATGGCATCGATTGTGCAGCCGAGAATGGAGGTACAGGAACTACGCATTATATTTATTTAAATTGACATTATTAAATAATGACTCAAGTAATATTACGCATATTGCTATTCTCTGTATTATTATGTTACTGTTTCCTTACAGATACTCGCTGAAGCGGTACGAACGGCCTCGCAGATTCCGCAGGGTTTCAAAGATTTCGTACAAAAGAAATGCGAAGAGAGAGGTATATTATTTATGCCGATCCCGAACAGATATAAGGAAGCTAAGCAAGTGTACAAAGTAGGCAATGTTCAGGCATATATCGACAGCAATGTCTTGTTCGTATGTCATAATGGTACAACGTGGGTGCCAACGCATATAAATACTTTGCTGGACATGTCTGAACTTTAATATTTCATTTAATAACATGATTAATAATACGATGACTGTCTAAAATATATTTTTAACTTTATATTTATGTTGTAAATATATTCTATTCTACTTCTCCTAAACATCATTAGAAAAGTTGATTAATTACCTTATTAGTTTATATTTATGTCGATTTTTATTCGTGATGTATGTTTAAATCTAAATATATCGAAACTGAATAGCTTCACTTTTTATATAATTAAAATTGTACAATAAATCAATATAATATTTTTCGTATATGTATTTGTGTGTTATTCGTCATTCTTGTTTCAAATTACTAAAGTTATTATTTGAGTGGTATGTTATATTCATATATTGGGTGGCAGGGTGGTCTAGAATTTTTTTGGCGATTTCTCGCTTCTGACGTCATTGAAATAAATAACGAAACAATTTTAAACTAAAAAATAATTGTAGATTACATGTACATACATCTCTATTACAATATTTTACCTGTGCACGGTGATAAGACTGATAATTATTACATTATCGAAGGATGGGTGCAATCCCTTACTTTCCGACTACACCGAATATGCCAGCCGCGAAAAGATTATTTTAGTTGCGCGCAACGCCGCCGACGTCGTTCGCGACGGCAGCCGAGTATCGACGCGTATATCCGACGTGTATAAAATCGCAGTACTTCTGCACTGCACCTGATCGTCAGTACTGCTTCGAGTTGGATACATATCAAAGCGTTTTGGCACGTCTCGACAAGTTCGGCAAGTGCCCGGTGCTCCGCGTTAACTTTAAAGAAACTCGTCGTTCTCCGCGCTGTTCTCGTCGGTCTCGAACGATCGAGTCCTGGTGTCACGCGTCAGTCGTCACGCGCTCGCAATCGTTCGAGCTCGTCAACCTCACGTCAGTCGTCGTGAGTCGTCGCAGGCGCGAGTACACACGTATACATACATACATAACAGTGCCGTCGATGCAGTACGCGGTAATCCGCTGATCAACCGTTCGCTCTAACTGGCTCTAACCGCGCCGGCCATGGACGCCGGTGATTCCGTTGAACGTTGAACCGCGTGAGTTTCGGAGAGACAGATCGGCCTCACCTCTCACCTCGCTTCGCCTCGCCTAAACGATCATTATGCTCGCGCCGATCCGCGTGCGCCTGTTGCTGTTCCGCTACCCTACGAGCGATCCCGAGACGAGAGGTAATGACGGCACTTGACTGCGATTTCTCCCTGTCTCTCTCTTTCTCTCTCTCTGTTTATGCTCCTCGCTACTCGCTCCTAGTTTGCGCTTCTCTTCCGCTTTTCCTCCGCTGCGCAGCATCGACGTAGGCAGCGTAGGCTCCGGTAGGCTCCAACAGCTCCGCGGTTCATTTTGGAGTAGGTTGTAGGTATAGGAGAGGAGTGCGGTCGCGAAGATGGATTCGCCGTCCGCTCCCGGTCGTCAACATCGACAAGACTCCGCTGCTGGAAGGCGAATTAGGGCGAAGGGCGGAGTACCTTGGGAGTTGAGACGAGGCCAGATTGCACACCTGCCGCCCTTTGCCTCAAGAGCCCCTGCCGGCACTCGATATTTTCGGAGCCGGGACATCGTACGCCTTTACCGCCTTACGCCGCGAAATTGATCGAGCAATAAATTGCTTTCAGCTCACGTTCGTTCTTGATTCTTCGTTGGAGATCGACGAGCACGTTGCCGCTTCACTTGCCCGCTGCCCGCTAATTTCACGTTAACCGCTAGACATAAATAGATTACATTTTTAGAGTACCGTTTTTTTTTTTAGTTTTTTAAATAAAAATCAGGAAGCAATTCTTTTCTCATTTGTTGTATTCAGAACGTAATATCTTTTTCGTAGTTTCAATGTAGGGAAGGAGGAATGGAACTAAAATTAATAGAAATCCAAAGTAGTGCGGAACAAATTTATGATATTTTCGAACGTTTTTTTAACTTGCTCGTTTATTTCCTTTTTTATAAATGTATCCGCTTGCTGGCTAATTTTTAAGTTGCTCTAGAAATTGTAAAATCAGGTTTCGGTTCCGATGCATTAATTACCACATTCATTTAGCAGCAAGGAAATGTCAGACTAATGGAAATGCCAGATTAAAGTTTCATAATCGAAATGAATAAATATAAGATAAGAAGATATCCATAATTTACGAGGTTTATTTCAGATATCTAGTCGCGATTCTTTATCGAAAGTCGATTTTAAGTTATGTGGATTTATATTTTATTATTTTCGCGAGAGACTTTTTAATGATTTCGAAACACAGGAATGGATAAAAATAAATAATTCTGGTGGTTTTTAAAGCTTAATATTACCAATCCAATATTATCTGGAGACGGCGCAACGTTCTCCGTTCCACGGGCCCGATTTTGCGCCTTGGGCTTTGGGCTCCTGTGCTGTTATAAATAAATCTAGATAAGTCTCCACTTCGCTCTAGTCATGACTAGAAACAGGACGCAAAGTGCAAAGTGGAAAGCCGCGTTCGAGATCGTTTCAAAGTGAATCCGGCCTATTAATCGTTTGAGGATAGTCGTACATTCATTCTGCTGGTCTGACGATGCCGATGCGGTGATATAAGATAATAATAGTCGTCTGTATTTACGTAGCCTCGCATATGTAGCCATGTAGCCTCGGAAAACGGCGAGTCTAGGCCCTCCAGGCGCGATATCTGTCGACAAATTAAGCTAAAAATTTAGCGCTCCGAAAGTTCATCGATCGTTTTAAAAGACGCGATGTTTGACCGTTAATTTTGCTTCTATCTACGCGCTCGAATCGTTCTTACGTCATTTACAAAGGATTAATTAATTTAAGAAAATTCTTTCTACCGCATCGTGAAAAAATTAACACCGTCTCTCGTATCTCGTATTATCTTTGAGATCACGTCGGGCAGAATCGCGTGTTTACGCGCGTTTACTTAGCAGGCACGCATGTATTTCATTTGTTCGTTTGTTCATTCGTTCATTTATTCGTTCGTTCGTTCGTTCTGGTCAAATCACGCCGAGTGTCAATTAGCGATGCCGACGCGAGCGGCGAGGCTCGAGCGTTCTCGCTTCTCGCCCGCACGCTGGAACGGACCGGCACGTTAATTTTAGCGTAATGGATCGATCTAAGAGGAGTATGCGTTTTTAAATAGCCTTCCCCGAGAGATCTATCGCGCACTCGTTATTTCGGAACCACCGTGTCGACGATGAAAATATGTATCTCGGTGTCGAGATCGTAATATCCGCTAAATAAACGTAATGTTTGCATCGGAAAAGCGGCGCTAAAATTTGAGGCGAGATATAGCGATACGAACGTGGGGATTAACGGCGTGATTTAGCGTATTATTCATAAAGAAAAAAGCTTCAGCTTTATGTCGAGTAGATTAATGAGTCAGCATTGCGATAGGAGTAGCACGCGCGTGAACAATGTTTCTTTATATTTATTGTCAATAGAAGTTGAAGAAGAAATTGTGAGCGTTAGAGTGTCCGTAATGATTTACGACGATTTGTGATTTATTTGAAGAGCACGTAATGCTATCAGTAAAATATCACGGAAGCCAAATGTGTATCCGTAACGTTAATGTAAAGTCTTGTGAATTTATATTTATTTAATATCTAAATGCGCATAGAGCATCAGTTTATGTGGCACCCGCGTGTCATATCGTTCTCGCCGTACATTGTTTCTACTGTTCGTGCCCCAATTGTCCCTCTGCGCAAGATACGCGATAATTGTCTACAATTAGCAACGTGAATTGACCGTAGGATGCAACGAAGTCAGCTGAGGGACATCTCATCCTGGATGACGCGTCTGTTCCCGGAGCCTGGAGACGGTAGCAGTCGGATGGTCGAGGGATTCAAAATGTTCGGTTCGAAAAACAGTTCGGCCACTAGCACGTTTTACACGGATCTGGAAATCACGGAGGATAAGCAGGAGTTTCAGCAGGAGGACGAACATTCCAAACCGGCAACGCCAGGTTTGCCGGAGCAGCAGAGCACGACCAGCGAAAATGGCAACTCGCAAGATTCGGACGCAGCAACAGGTGTTGAGGAGCAACGATACGTCAGACATTCCTTCCACAGGATCGCCAGCTTCGGTGGCTTCCCGCGATTTCAGTCGTTCGTCATGTCCGCTTCCACGCCCGCTGAATGCATCGATATCACGAGGCATGAGGAAACTTCAACGGAAACGTCCTATATTAAAATGTCGCATAGTGTCCTAGAATATAGAAGTAGCAGGTGTGTGGAGATCTGATGAAAAAAGAGCAATGTAGTTTACATATCTTTGTTTAAAAAAATTTTTAAGCTTGTATTTTTAAAAACAAATACAGGTACGTAGCTTCGGAGAGGAGGTCTCATCAGTATACATTAGATACCTACGCGGTAAGCGAGTCCGAGAGCGAAGAAGAGTCAGAAGAAACGAGATCTTCGGAGACGGACTCTGCCATAGTGGCTGATCATACGGAAGAGTCGATATCGGAGCCTAAACTGCTCGTGAAGAAAGGTTCGCCCGATTCGAAGCGAAAGAAGGCGTTACGTGTGGCGCAGGAGTTACTAGCGACTGAGAAAAATTATGTCAACATTCTACATCTGATCGACCAAGTGTTCCAATTCAGGGTCGATCAGGAAAACCGAGCGCATCCGATGTTCCCTCCAGAAACTGTCCAGCACATGTTCTCAAATATTAAATCTATTTATAAATTCCACAACGACTTTCTATTGCCGCAATTTGAGGAGAGAATGCAATGTTGGGATTCAAATCCGAGAATCGGTGACATAATGAAGAACTTTGCGCCATTCCTCAAAATGTATACGGAGTATGTAAAGAATTTTGATTACGCCATGAATTTGATAAGCACCCTGCAAAACAAGGTTCCCAGGTTTGCAGCGATTGTTAACGAAATTCAGAAGCTCGACGAATGTGCTAAATTGTCGCTAGCACATCACATGTTGAGTCCTATACAGAGACTGCCGCGATACGAGTTACTTCTCAAAGATTATTTACGAAACCTCACTGAGGACAATCCGGATTATGAAGACACAAAAAGTAAGTATAATGTTTTCTTATGTTTTCCGAAATATTGCTGCATATTCTACATTTCATAAATTATTTATTGAGAAACATTTGTAATGTTAAATTACAGAGGCTCTGGAATTAGTGTCAACCGCCGCAAATCATACAAACGAGGCAATGAAAAAAATCGATAAATTTAAAAAACTTTTGGAAATTCAAGAGAGTATATATGATGCGACTGATCTAGTCAGTGCGACTCGCGAACTAATAAAAGAAGGACGTATAGTGAAAATCTCAGCGCGTAGTGGCGATCATCAGGAGAGACATTTGTTTCTGGTAATTATTCATTATTTTATATAGTATATTAATATTTGTAAAATATACATATATTTTTTTTCAATTAGAACTGTTTATCTTTTCAGTTTAGCGATTTATTATTACTCTGCTCAATAAGACTGATACCCGGTCCAATGTACCGATTAAGAGCTAAATTTATGGTGGAAAATTTACAAGTAGTTGAGGGAGACAATCTAGAAACCGCAAATACTTTTTACATAAGGGACGAAAATAAAAGCGTCGAGTTGTATACACATGCTGCTGCGGAGAAGGCAGCGTGGCTGGACGCGCTGTTTCAAACGATGCAAGAGATCATGAGACGCAAGGCCAGTCTGAAAACTGGAAGTGTTAAAACTTCTTTGGTTAAGGCTGATGACGTAACTAGGTGCATGGTTTGCGAAGTTAGTTTTTCTGTGATGAAACGAAAGCACAATTGTCGGGCTTGTGGAATAGTGAGTATTGTGTAGTAAAATTAAATCTTTCGTTATACACATTATTTTATAAAAATATTTATTCAACATTCTACGATAATTCCGTCGTTTTCTAGGTGGTTTGTAGTAAATGCTCAAATCAGAAATTATTATTTGAAGACAATAAGAATATGAGAGTGTGCAGATTATGCCATGCCGCGCTCACTCAACCGCTCACTAAATCACCGTCGTCACCGTCTGGACCAGTGCCAAGTTTGCTACAGGTATCGGCGAGTGCACCATCAGTATTATCCGGATACCTGTTACTGAAGACGCAGGCCAGTAAGCCTTGGACAAAACGATGGTTTGCGTTGCACGTTGACTTTGTTCTGTATTCATTCAAATCGGAATCGGAGAGCATGGCCATGACAGCGACGCCTATGCCAGGCTTTATGGTTACGGAAGGTACAAAATTACCCGATGAAGACCCCTTGAACACGAAAGATCGAATAAGAGCATTTAAGATGCATCATTCAAGAAAATATTACTATCTTCAAGCATCTTCTCAAGAGGATAAAGAAAAGTGAGTGTAAAAATTGTTTCGACAATCTATATCTTGTTTAAGCAAATAACTAATACTAATAATATATACTTGTGGGATTTTTAGATGGATGCACACATTGGAGTTGGCTACGAAAGCTGAACTACCTCATTTTACGCAGGTGGAAAACGAAAGCGCACAAGAAAGTCAATCGATGAACGATGTACAATGAATATTCGTACCTTTCTATCTACCAAACTAGCCAATTTTTTACTATTATACTCGTAAATGAGAAGACGATATGGCAATGTAAGATAATCGTTAGTAGTTAATTAGCTATATTTAAAATGACGTTAACTTATGTTATATATATATATTGTTATTAGTATATACATTACAAGAGAGAAATCGAGTCAATAGCGGCTGCTGCCGAGAAACGCTTGTTGTTTTGTATAATGTTCTGTTATAGTATATTTATAAATATATATGTCGTTCTATCACGATACGCTGTGCTGACCGTAATCTGCAATGGAAGTCGATACGTTGCGACGCTTGAAAAGTTAATTACGCGCTTCAGTGATAGTATGTTATTTAAGCTACGGGATCGTTTTTATTAAAATCGATTCTAAAATCGATTTTATTAAATACGCAATGGATTCGATAGTTTTATCAATAAATTTATTCCGTCAATTAAAAATTTTATAGCTCTTAAATACATCTCAGTAGTTCCTATCTATTTACAGATTATCGCAATAATTACAAATTTTATTACATTCACTAGAAACACAAAAGTGCATTCGGACTAATTATTCCGCACCTGTACATTTATCACGTTTCTTGAATTGCACACATAGACCGTCAGCTGCGTACGTGAACATGTGAATGGCATCATTGTCATTTAAAACATCCTTTGTTCGTTTCGTAGCAGAGTTTCGTGTAATTCGAGAGGATCGTGATTAACGTCACTTTCGCAATTAGTAGGGATTTGTCTTAAAAAGTCTTTAAGGCAAATTATCGTGTAAATTCATATGTCCAGTTGATATATATGTATATAAAAGAAAATTACGACATATCTCTTTTTTACGTGATCAAATTTTTTTATAATCGACCTACGTTATTAGAGCCTAATACCGAATGCCAAAGATCCACGGAACTTTTTGTTCCTTATTTCTGTTCTCAGGAATGGAATAAAGTTTTGTATATTAGAAAAGTATTTAGAATTTGTCGCCTTTCGCAGAGACATATGTCTTTTTTTCAATTATTAACCCAAAATCTGGTAACGGGCAATGAGAATGTATGTTGTAGACTCAAGATTCTTTCCCCCATTAATACATTTATATCTCACTGTACAAAATGACTTGATGCCCCGGATATTTATTTTTATTTTATTTTTTATGAAAATGTAATTGTATGCAAAATGAATGCGAGCGCAAATGCGGTCGTAGTTTTCTTTGCCATTAAAAAGCGCGTTGTCGCTGAATGACAAGCTCTATAACATATATTATCGAATCAATAATATTAATATTAATAAATCTTTTATAATCTTCTCTTAAGAATTGATGAAGGTAAAACACACATACGCGGAAAGATATATTGAAGTTTGTAGCAACCTGTAATAATTTGTACATTGTAATAACTGTTATACCAATGGTTTAAATGTCGATAAAAAAAACATCAGTTACGTAAATCTTGTATATAATTTAATGACCATAATCCAATCTTCATCTGAAAGTAAAATGTAAAAATTTACAGGATACTTGAAAGACGCTTGGTGTAAGAAGACAATAAATCATGATATGTAAAAAAAAAAATCGACATTAGCTGCTCGATATAAGCTCATAAATGTAGAAAACACGTGAAAAATAATTAAGAGTATTATAAAATATTTCTTTTATACAATTTTCATATCATTTTTAAGGCTCCTGTTCACTCACTGCAGCTGTCTTGGATTGACGATGTCAAAAGTGAGAAAATATATCATAAAAATTCTTGCAACGCGCACATTAAAATAAAAATGTTTTTCGATAAGATAGCATGTATAATCGATAGAAAAGACTTGTAAAATATACCGAAAACTTCTTTTTTATTTGGGTAATTAATAAATAATTTATATATTTTGAATTATGTCGAATCAAGGGAGAAAATAAACTGACAGCTGCTGAATTGAAAAATAAATACTTACTTTTACATATTATTACATTGTAACAAAATGCGAGTCTTCAGTATATTTTGTCATATATTTTATCACAATAATTATTTTAAATTTTGCGCTGTACGCGCGTTGCAAGCTTTAGTCCTTATACGTTACGTCATTTCTCACTCCTTAAAGTGCATGGTGCATGGTGCTGGTGCATTTCAGTGCATTTTCACGAGCGCAGCTCAAACGGCCGTTCGAGCGACAAAAAGTTTAATTTTTAGGACTACAAAAAGATAAAAAGTAAGTTAAAAAACCAAGTATAAAGTTAATCTACATTGGTACAGGTACAAATACTATATAGACGTGGTCTCAGTACTGCTCAGTATATACATACACGCGATCAACATAGCACCAGTACCAGTGTTTCAATAATACTACATTTACGTGAGCGTTATTTCTGTAATAACTTACGATAATTCACTCATTTACACGGAGTGAATAATCGTACGTTACTACATAAGTAACACTCGCGTATAAACATATATAGTAAATGTGTCTCATCGCCTAAACTGTGTAGGTATTTATTATAATTATATGTGTATAATATATTCTGCATTTTTGTCGTAATGTTTCATTGATTAGATCAGTAAAGAATTTAATGAAAAAATATATATGTAAGAATAAGGAACATTACTAAAAAAAAAATAATCCATGCAGTTACATAATCACTCACGAATATCGTGATTATCGCAATTTTTCTCATATCTCTCATAACGTTTCTTGAGTGAAAATGTTGCGTCTATATAGAATCTGGCATACTCCTATTATATTTCGACGAAGAAAGATGTATCAGGTCGTCGTCCCGCAAAATCATTTCCGCAAGTAGTGTAATCTATCGTTATTCAAACGCGCGTCATTGGCATTTTCGTAATGAGCGACCAAAATTATCGATGAGCGATGGCCGTTTGGCTCATTCTTCTTCTTCTAGACTCTAGAGAATGGCGGCCGTTGGCTCATCGGTGATAATAGCGTGGCACCGACTCCTCGCACCCGCGTCCGCGTCCACCATGCGGGGCGGAACGGATAAAAAGAAACGAGCCCCGCTTCGAAAGAAGAGAAGAGAAGAGAACGGGAGGAGACGCGAGGTGAGAACGAGGGCAACGTCGTTGGAGGGCGAGGAGTAAAGGACGAGCAACGCTGCTAAGTCGAATGTCGAGTGATGCCAAAGTTAATTATAAATGCGGGCCGCGAGAGAGAGAGAGAAAGAGAGAGCGTCGCGACGCCCATCCTGGATCGATGATCCAGCGCCGGGACCAGTCTCTCTGTGATTCGCGTCGCGAGATCCGGCACAGAAATCGCTCTCTCTTCCTCTCTTTCTTTCTCCCCGTATTTCGCTATTACCCCGATTTTACCATTATCGATATCGATTAAGTTCCTCACTCGCGATCGGTTCTCGACGAACCGTGAGTTTTGCAGTGAATATCCAACGAAAGAGGAAACGACAAACGAGCAAAAGTGTGATTTTCGGCATAGAAGTTGATTTCAATTGATGAGATCGATCAGAGTCATTGAGATCGTCAGTTGGATCAAGCATTCCTTGGATTTGCCGGTAATTTATGTTATATGTAGGTACTTAAGATATTCGATCATAATTTTGCTGCTTCAAATTGTATAATCTCATAGTAAACTTTTTCTTACCTACAATGTTGAAATATAGTTTCGATAGTTCTCGAATTGCAAGAAATTGAAAATTAAAAATTCTTCTATTATTATTATTATTATTAAACACTGTAGAAAAATTTATATTATTAAAATTATGATTGAGGGTCTTGGAATGTCCTGTGTTCACGATTTGTGTGGGTGGCTGTTTGCTTGTGTATGTGATGATTCCGGATGGTTGCGTAATTTATAAAAATTTTATTAATCATCATACCGTAATAATTTCAATCTAGTTAATTATTTATGATACTAAGATTTGGATCCTAAGACCCTGTTTGTGCTCTGTCACGGTAGATGTTGATAAAATAAGTCTCTTGTTAAAAACGTTTTGATACAACACATTTTACACGCTTTGATATAAAAAAATTGTTATATTTACCAAACAAAGTTATAAAAATAAAATTACATATTAACCAGAATAATTCCTCCAATAGCTTCAGTACATTACATTTATCAGGAGTAAAAATATTTTTGATTTCTTTCTAAAAAATTTTAGATTACTAGCTTTATCTAAGAACTTAATAAGTAGATGATATTTTGCAACAATCTAATACATACAAAGTCAAGTTTAATGAACCTCGTATGCATTGAAGTTGAGTCATCGCAAAGCTCGTTAAACGATAGGTACATAGCATCTGCGTTTGATCACCGATAATGTCACGGGGTTGATAGATGAGGGTGAGCGCCAATAATAATTGCTGACCAACAAGCCGGTGCGGACGATTCTGTCAGCGACATCCATTCCGAACGCCGACTATTTCTGATCATCAATTCAGTAGAGAGATCTTATTTTTGGACGCAGCATCCGAGGTCCAGGATCCAGCGTGCCACTAACGTTCGACTGGCCTGTTGATCCGTCTTCGCATTAAATTTTCCAGCGATCTGACAGAGCTTCTTGGCTTTCGTTCTGTCTTGCGTGACCGAGATCAAGATTTCGCTCTTTCAAACAGCGAGCAAAATGCGAGCAAAATCTGCTATCGCAATTCTAATATTAACGTTTACAATTTTATCGATTGGAAAGATTTGGATTAATCGCAAATTATTTGTCGATAGCAATTCTACCTTCTCCCGAAACTGCATTTTTTATTTTTATGTAGCAATATCCAAAAATTTCCGATTCAAAGATATAAAAGAGATGATAAAAATAGAGCAATCACACACACATTTTTATTTTTCAATATGATATCACCTTTCTAATCTGTTTTTTTAGAACGATAAATTAATTTTTCTATATCACTAAAGAAATATTCTAAATTTTTGTCCTTAAAATAGTTTAAGTAAAAAGATAGTTTGTGGAAAATACTTGTTCGAAATTAGCGTTTCAGTTGTTACTGTGATGTTCTGTTAATTCTTGGTGTTTTACATTGCTAAAATATCTTAAAGTTATAACAGAGAGAGATATATGTCATGCACGCGCATGATGAGGTACAGTTCATAAAGAATGTCTCGACAGATTCCCACAAACTCTCAAAAGAAACGATATAAATTATTGTAAAATTACAAACTAGCACTGTGGTTTTTGCAATATGTTTGCTGCAGACAATGGAAACATTATAACTTCGTCCGAGCCTCAAGTCTATCATATATTACATTCTGGTTTATGCCGGTTGTACATCTCTTGGTACATAACTAGTCGAAAATCATTCTCAAATAGCAACAGATCGCGATCAAGATTTATTTGCGAGATCGACCGCTGTATCGACGATACCTTCGGGATTACCTTTCGCACTCCACGTGGGTGGTCAAACCGGCGGCGCGACCGCGATGGGCGATTACAGCTGTTAATATCCGTGTCAGTTGCCGAAATACCCGACGCAGTCATTGCGAATATACCTGCCGGCTTGTCGGGCGCGTGTATAAACGCCGCGCTGATTAAAAATAGAAATAGCGCTATATTTAGCCGGCCTACACTCGGTATCTGGCTAAAAAGCTTAAGACTTTTCGTCTACGCGCGTTTAGAGCATGCAGACTTCCTCTTTCGATTTCACGGCGCGTAAAATAGCTTGGTGAAACAATGGAAGGAGGCGTAGAAATACCTCTCATTGCTGCTAACCACATGTGTTGCTAAAGTCATAAGAGACGGTGAGAACGATTCGCTGTTCGAAAATCTTGGCATTATTATTCGATCTAATATATTGTAAAGTAATATCTACAAAGAAGAAAACTGTTCTATCTAAATTCCTAACGTTCAACAGAAATATATTACGCACAAATATGACGAATGCGATAATTATGACCGAGAAGGCCGTGACGCATTCGATGCGTCTGGCCGAAATTAAATAGACGCCGAAATTGAATAGATATAGACAGCCGTTTCCAGTTGCCAAGATCTCCGGTATCAACGAACTCTACGGCCGAAATTTGTCGAAATGGCTTTTTAGTGTACATACTTTCGAAAATACAAAGCTTATTATTATAACTGGCAGATATTTTCAAAATTTACATACATTACATCTGACGGTGTTGAAATGATAGAAATCCGATTGTTTTATCGTATCAGCGCCGCGGCGCCGTGACTTCTGTTTATTATATACCGCTCCCGTTATTCGTTCTCTCGCGTGTCTGCATTCTCTCTGACATTTTGATAATTATACGCGGATACCTTATTTCCGCATTAGTGTGCAAAAGTTCATAGGTACATACGTACAACAGTACTTACCTATTTCGAGAAACTTTTGGCCATGTGCCATGTCGAATAGTCGACGCTATTATGCGATCCAGAGTTCATTTAGTGTCTTACAGTTCATCCGTGGTCTTTTGTTTTTCTGGAAATATTCGCTGTCAATCAAACGTCAGAATCAGATTGTGTCTCATTGCTTGTTTTTAACGAAACAATATTTCGCGATTTTACTCAACACAGTACGTGACTGAAACTTTATTGACAAATACATCCAATTGAAAGAACAGTCAATTAATAATTAAATTTTCAATTTTTTTTAAATAAAATTGATTAACATTAGGATTATTTTGGCTTACAAAATCGACACATGATTATGCAACATTGCAATATTTTTTCTTTATTTAATACAAATGTCACGTCTAGATAGGATCGGCAATACTCATTGTAAGCGACTGCTCCGACTGAAAATGCGTAATCAACACAAATTTGCATTTAGAGCTGGAACGAAGATATCTAATACACTTTGAATCTTATATACCTGGCGTTTAGATAATCAAGGTCTAATTGCTCTCTTCCTTGTAGCGATGCTAGCCTATAAGCGAGGCGAAGCGGCGAGCAGTTGAAGTGGTCCGAAATGTCGCAACAGCATCCGTCGAGGCCACCCGGAGGAGGCCATGTACCTCCGGGTAGCTGGTCAGGACGACCTAATGCGCCAAGCGCGCCGAGTCCCTTCAGGCCCGCTTCGCCGTACACGCCCTCGTCGTCGCCGCATCCGCAAGGACGAATTCATCGCGGGCCTCCGACTCCGGTCCATCCAGCTCATCCCATGTCACCGCTCGTATATCCTGGAATAATGATGCATCCGATGAGCCCGGTGCCGATCGGAATGCCAATCTCACCCGGGATGTCGCCCGTCTTCGGCTGTCCGACTTCCGGTTACATCCAGTGCCCAAGGCCACGGTGGCCTTCGCCGATTCCTACGGGTAGTCAAGCGCCAAGGCCATTCATACCAATGCAGGTACGCAATGTTTTCATGTAACGCGAAGGATGACAGATCGATAGTAATGTGTCGTCGATGTACGTCTACGTCGCGTGTTGCAGTACTTGTCGAGTTGTTTAGACTCGAGTGTCTAATTCAATATAACACGAATAAATTGTCACGTTAATGCAAAAGATGTATTTAAATATTACAAATCTACTAGTGAAAATACACTGATGAGACATTAACGCTAAATCTAAAACGTTTTTTCATCCCAACTTGCAGAGTTCTTTCAGAAGTGATTCGGCATCACCGGTACCATGCGCGCCGCCAGAATATCTGATAGCACCCTACAGACCTGGGGATTACGAGTATATTGGCGTGCCCTTAGATCATACGCAGACGGACGAGGAAAGCAGCGGTCCTAGCACAGCCGAGATCATCGCCAGTCAGAGTCAAGATTACGTGGACGAAAAGCTCGCCGAGTACCAAGCTACCATCCAACAATTGCAGGGTAAGTTTTACGAAGTCCAGAAAATCGATTCGTTTTGCGATGGAATGGTATCGGTCACGTTACAGAACGCCCAATAGACTATCATTAAACCCTCACTCATTCTCCTATAAAACCCTTAATTATAGACTATCTGCCGATTCAAATCACGCGCGAAGCGTTGTTGCGCACGCAAATTTCGACCATGGGGATGTAAGTGCTCAGATTGTGTATCGTGTCTGCGTGCGTATCATAAGGGAGCCATAAAATTTTCGTCGATTTCCATCAGGGGAACACCATTGGGAATTTATTTCTTCTATACTTCTCTTGCGTTTTATTGATGAAGCTATAATTTTGAGATTTCGCGGAAATCGATACATTGAATTCCACACGAATAAAATATGTGATTTCTCGGTATTTTGAAAGTAATGAAAAATTGATATAACCAGAAATAAGATTAAAATTATTTAAAATTATCTATTTCTGATATATCTTAAAATAAAGTAATTGCAGCTTTAAGAAACTTTTCATAGTCATTTTTGGAAGCAAAGATGCATATTTGGAAATAAGGTCCTTGCTTGCAGACCTAGATTTGTCGTAAAAAGATGTAAAAGGAGGACGCATCGTTACTTACGGATACTCTCGCGATGTGTGCATTCGCAGGATCGTAATTCGTCTACGCTTCTTGCGCAACGGGCCGCGACGACGGCGACGGGTCGCGTCATGCGTCTCGCATACTCGTCGAATCGAACTGTGGTGCAAGGGAAAATAGGATAGAATCCGCGGAGACGTGAACGAGTTATAAATAGACATGACGAACACCTGCCGCGCCATTCGCAATCGTTACGTTCGCTTTTCCTGTCAGAGACACCTCGCTGTAGGCCCCGCTGGACGAATCACCTCACCGATAGATTGATAGCACAACGTTTAAAGATCATCCTCGATTCGCAAAACAACGTGTCCCACAAATCATGCTCCGAGTATCCGACTTGATCGGTTCAAATATATTCTCCAAATTTTCTTTATAGAAAACAAAAGAAACGCCATTTTTTCATATAAGGGCGATGAGGTATATTTCGTATATTTAAAATGCGTCGCGCTATATTTAAATTCTTCACTATCAAGTTTCAGAATGTTTTGAAGGAATGATGATAATTGGAATTTGACTATTAATAGATCGTAACACGCTCATTAAAATTTGTAGCGCGTGCTTGCGCATGCTTCACGCGTGCTTAATAAATCTCGCGGCTTCCTGTGAGCGAATCCACGATTCGAGGAGATAAATGCGTACGAAATTGACATCACGCCGAGCGATTAAATTCAACGCTAGGTAACTCGATTTGCAAATTGATGATCGCGCGCTGGATATCGCGTGCCTGATTAAGATGCGGGATGCATGCTCTGTAATTGCGGGGACCGCTTTGCCGCAGATTGCAACATGTCAGAACGACGTTCGCGCGAATGGAGCTGATGAGTAGTCCGTGACATTAATGATCGTGTTAAGGAAATCATATCGCTATTACACCGATTATTAGCAAAAAGGGATTACTTATTGCTGGAAGCAGCATGACTATGGACGATTGCATAATTCTCACGATCGGCGAAATGGTCAGATCGAATAACGATCATACGCACTTGGTTGCCTTAATGCGTTGCAGGTACTTACATGACGTAATTTCATTCATTCCCCTATTTACATTATACATCCTAATAGAATGTATTTGCGCAATGTATTAAAACATGATTATTTGAATTTTTTGGATTAAATGGCTCAACCTCCCGTGACATTTACGAATTGTATTGATGCACAACTTGGAGTATATATTTTTATCTCTTAAGACCTTTAATCTTCTTTATTGCGTCGCGACGTCAAACGGTCTTAAACTACTCCAGTTTCGTCTCCCGACAGAGATATTTATTTCATTATATCTTAACTCCGACTTAGTAAGGATTAACAAATAAGTCTCCATAAGAAAAGCAAACAAAGGCTTTGATGAATTTCCATCTCTTGATAGCTTTCTTCTCGTGATAATTCTTTCAACTCGTTGTTCTTTAGAGTCTTAAATTTTTGAAAAATAGATCTTGCAAAAGCTAGAATACGTGTTATTTTTAGAAAAAGATTTCTGCGTAAATCTTGCACATTTATTATATCAAAGAGCTTCTTATTTTTGATGCATTATACCGAATCACACATGCCATAACACGTGTTTTATAACCGCATAATCATCGATTAATTCGAGTCAAAGTTTCCCCTCGTGAGAGAGGCAGCACCTGAAGCGAGCGACCGCATTGACGGTCGACGAGTTAGTCAATCTGCCGGCTGGCACCGTAGATAGATCGAGCGGGGCAAGGGCCAGGGAAGAAATAGGATAAAGGGATTAATCGAACGAGAAAAGTTAAAAACCCTTTAGAACAAACCGCGAGTTTCTTTTTGGAGGGAGTTCGCGGTCGAGTTTGCCTTCGATACCGGTCTTCTTGGTTGTCCCATGTCGGGTCGCGTCGCGTCATCGTCGCAGGCAAGTGGGAATGGCGGCGGTACGAGGTGGAGGAGACCGAAGGAGGAGGTCTCGACAGGCCGGTAGTATCGAACCGGCGCCCGTCGCGCACGGCCATACCGTATACATTCCGTATTCGTACATTCCATGCGCGCGCCTGCGACGCGAGCTATAGGTAGGTAGGTGCGCACTCCGCTGTCATGAGTGCTGACAGAAAATCAGCCCGAGATATACTCGCAGGCAGGGTTGCAGTTCGCCGATACGATTGATAGAACGACACGACGCGTCTCCAATTACTCGCACGCTCTTGATAATCACTGAAACGGAGCAGGTGACGCGAATGCGACAGATGCAACCCAGTGTATGGGGTGTGGTGTCGGGAAAACAGGTGTTGGGCTAGCAGAGTTCTCGGATATAAAATTAAGACGGGGGGAGAGAAGAGGGAAGAGGGAAGAACCGGGCTGACATGCGGACTCGATGAGCGAGACGTGCCGGCTGATGATTTCTGGGCGAAAACGATGAAGTAAAAGGACAAACAGCTCTTGGAATATGTCGCAAACGACACCACCCAGAGGTAGTCCGACTCCGTCGAGGGTAGACAGCCCTGGCGGTGGCGGCGCCGATGGTGGCGGCAGTCCGAGAACGCCACGTGGTAGCCGGCTGCGGGATCGGGTGAGCTTTTTCGAACAGGTCTGGTCGGCCGGACGTAGTCCTAGCACCGAGGATCTCCTGGAGGATTCGGACGCGCGCAGATCTTTCCGATCGCCGACACCTCGGCGACCGTCTTCCAGGGCGAGTGACTCTTCGTTCGAGGAAAGCTTCGAGCGACTGGTAGAGGAAGGCGAGCTGAATGGCGCCAAGGTCGTGAAATTTGAGAAAATCACCGTGAAGAAAAGCGTACGTGCGATCAGCACGAGTAACGGCGACACCGCGGTCATTCAGCAGCGCGCTTTGACAGAGTCGAGTAGGACTCCCAGCGAGGAGCAGATCCTCGAAGACTCAGCCTATCAGAGTCATAGTCACGGCGTGCAGAGTCATGGCAGCAAGTCCAGTTCGGTCACCTCCTTCACGAGGTTCCCCTCGGAGGAGAGCCTGTCGCAGAGGAGATCCAGCAGTCCTCGGGTTCAGCAATTGGGCCCGGACGAACGGCCGCCCTCGGAGTGGTACGCCGAGTATCGCAGTCAGAGCTTCCAGAATGTCGCCGCGAGAATCGAATACGTGCGCAGCAGAAGCGAGTACGACGCGCACATCGCCGAGATCAAAGGTACAGGTGTCTTGACCTGAAAATCAAGAATCTGGGCTGCTGTCAATCTCTCGTGTCTCGATATTTCCGACGTTCATGCCGGCCGGCGAGTCGCCGAGTCGCTCGCGACAGTCGTTCTCGTCAAGTATTGGAAATTTTCGCGCATTCAACTACCGGTACTCATAATAAAAAAATACTCTACAGGTTGTTGGTAATGATGTTGATTACCCGCACCATATTTCATATTCGATTAGAAAGGAGATCTCAGTGCAGGACGCGCAGGATTATTTAATAGAACATTGGCGATTCGATTGATCTCGATCGGCGATTTCACGCATCGCGATACATTAATTTTAGCTGACAACTGCATTTTTGCAAACAGCGTTTTGCAAACCTTGCAATTCTTAAGATATTCGCAGAATCGAACTGATTTAATTTTTTGAAACTGTCAAGACTTTTAAATGCTTGATTGATAATTGTACAGATATTATCGAGGCTTAATCTCAAATAACGCCGATACAGAGATCATCGATACAGTTACTCGCAGAGCCAAGATATCTCTTCCTGAAAAGTAGAATACAACAAACATCTTATAAAAATGTTTTTGTTTTTAAATCTGTCGAACTACATAAAAATCTCCATAATAGAGTAATCATTTATGGGATCATTGCATAACGTTGCCATTCAACGGCGAGCTGCGTATAAAACTTAATGCGCCTCGTAACGTGCGCTAGTATAATAGTTAACGATGACGATCGTAGGAACCTCGGTTCAAGGCTATCCTTCTATCTCAATCCACATCTTTTATCCGTTCTCTTGTTCCTCTAGACTCTAGAGTCCTTTTACGAGAGACACGAAGAGAAGTTCTGCGCAACCATATATAATGTCACATAATAAAATTGAATACACTCATACGGATGCAAAAATACAAACAAAACTCAGGATTAAATAATCACGGTTAGCGATGAGAATGCGATCCAAAGTGTTTTCACACTTTTAACACGTCACTTCTCGCGCGTGTGTCGAACAAAATTCTGTCATCGTAGAAACCCGTCGGATGATGAATTAATCGAGTGCGCCAAATTTCGAGGAGCAGGCTCGTTAGCGAGAGGGCACATCGCGCCCACGCGCGCGTTCGAAATACATATATATTCGCGCGTATGCAGCGAAAGGTTGATTGTCCGTCGCGTTAATGACAGCAAATCGAGAACTTCGGACGGGTTCGTTCTATAGCACTCTCGCATGCTGTAATTTTCATAGTTTGCCTGACAGACCACGTGCGCGCTCTGCAACATGCGATCTTACCTCATCGTTTATACGAAACATCAATTATCAAGCAATTAAGAAACAATTTCGCGTGCAAATATAAAACAAGTGGGACTAATGAAAAGCGATATGACTATTAATGAGTTTCAATCTTAAATAGTAAAACTACTTGCAACGAAGTCCTGTGTTTGATACTTGAAATCGTAATTCTATTTTGATAGCATGTAAGATAAATATCTTAATTGTGCTAAAATATGTAATGTGAAAGCTTCCAATAAATTAAAAATTTTACCAAGTACTTATTAAAGAAGAATCTATTTCAAATTTGTGTTTCCGAAATTTAAATTCGTTTCCACATACAAATTTATTTCTATTTCAAAGAAGCTAATTAATAGAATTTTCAGTGTTAGTGAGATATACATATCATTTCTAACTTTGCATGCATACGTGCATACACGCGTACATGCATGTCGCAACTTTTGTTTTTATCACGATTGTATTTATCAGGTTATTTATTAATATTATCTATATAATATCATCGTATCGATCAATGAATATTTGACACGCTAAGCTTCAAATTAAATGCCAAACGGCACCTTTCCATAAAGACTCATAGATATATTTGTACGTCTGATAAATTACTCGAGTTATCGTATGAATGTCAAGGCCATGCTCGGTTATCTCTCATCTCAGGGCTGGCTTTTCGATTGGTGCACGGAGTCGTTAAAACAGTTTTACTGGTCAGACGCGAAGTAGGTCAACGGTAGATCAACGGTAGGTTGACGATCAGACTTACCAAGATAGGATTGTTGTCAGAAAAAAGGCTTCTCTATCATAACAATGTAATATGTTCTATATATCTGGCTTTCAGCACAATAATAGAGTTGGTCTTACTTATATACTTGTTTAAATGCTTTTGAAGGACTGTTTGCCGAAGAACTTTTTCAGAACTTTAAACACATGAAACATATACGTAGGCCTGTTCGTTTTAGCTGAACTTTTTGCACTATTCATCTTTTCTCTTTTTTTTTACGTTGGAAAGAAAAGGAGAAAAGACATGAACTGCGAAAGAAGTTCAGCTAAAACAAACAGGCTTCATGCGTCTACGTATTTCTTTATTGATGTCTCAGCGATGTCAAGAAATAAACGTTTTACGTGCGGTTTTATGTGCGGCAATGGATTTATAATAAAAACTTTAATAACTTCGTTTTTATTCCCTAGCAACAGACTCATCAGCTTTTATGACTATGTTTACAGTGATCATTAATTTGGTAGGACAGAATTATAAAATGTTTGACTACAATAGTCGTAAACCTGGTCAAAATCTTGTAGCAATGTCTGAATATATCAGTATCTAAGAAAAATAGAAAACTAATATAATTTTGTAATACAAAATTGACAAATATTTGAAAGAAATAGATTAGAATTATATTATGGATATTGACTTCATCCGTAAATTTTGCAACAATTTTATTCATTGCAATGCATTTCCTAGCGACAATTATCGAGCGATGTTTTCTCGGAATAAAGTATAGTCGGTTATATCGATCTTCGTGAACGACATGATTTATATACAAGATGATTCGTAACTATAAATTGTCATTTTCTATTACATAAAAAATTTTTGCTCGTTTTCTGTCAGCTTAATTGGTTTATCGAACGTAAAAATGTTTTCTTAATTTCCGTTTTGCGTTTGCATGTCCGGTAAAATATCTCTTTAAATTGATCTTGCCACGAAACGCGTTTATTTTTCGTTGCTGAATCACGAACACACTCTAATTTACGAAAATATTTTTGCGCTTGTATTTGTAGCGTGTCGAACAATGCATAGCGAATGTTAAAACGCAAGCCATTTTGTCATAATTAACATACAATTATTCTTAAAATATCCATTTATGACTTTAAATGAACGTCATATCATAGTTCTCTTCTTTTTCTTTCTTTGAACACTCATGCGCGTCGATTGTTGCTTATTTAAATTTAACGAGTCACCACAATTGCATAATGTATCGTCGAAGTATTTTAATGACTTCGATTATAGACAAAGCTACCGCGTAAGACTAGTGTATAACAAGTTGTAAGATTTGTTTGATCATTTCTCTCTCTCTCTTTCATAATTTATCCCGTCTCATCCGAGAGGAGACGTAGTCTGACCTCATCCTCGAGAACTTGTCCCACTTTACTGATTCCCTTTCCTTTCCTCGCGTGGAAACCGGACATCTCGGATATTGCTGTCTTGCATGGCTGTCGTAATATTGGTCGGCGACCACAAACATGATCGTGAAATTATTCTATGGTATAAGCCTACTTGCGCAACGAAGAAGATTGGGATATTGCTGGCGCAGAACCAATTTTTCTGTGTTCCATGCATGAATATAAATAATAACGAGTGTCTGAATCCTTGGCTTTCAATTTTTAATTTAATTTTTTAGAAAGCTATATAACAAACAATCCGTCAGCGAGATGCGTTAGGAGATGCTCAAAGATGACTTCGTTACTGCAAGATTCAAAATTGCTGTAATCGAAAAGTATGAAGTACCATAATATGTGGTAGGCGTTTATTTCCTTCGGTGTTCTAGCTTTGTAATTTATTCGCACGACAGAAACAATCAGGGAAGTTCACGAACTCCGTAATCCTCTAAGTTTGAGATGAATCTATGCGTTCAGCTAACGTGTTGGTGGCTATCCGTGATACACGGTTCTCGAGGCGGCACGCGACTGTCTCTGGTTGCTTCAAACGTTTTTGCGTTAAACGGCCAATGTCTATTTACGTTTTCTTCCTCGCGCGACCGGTTGAACCATCACGACAAGTAACGGTTAGCGTGGCGAACGTTAAAAGCGATCTGACCTCCGTGAGTTGATCGTTCCGGTTCAAAGTTTCCCTATCGATCCGTGTTATGCCGTTAATTTTTCTTCTATCGGCCTATCTGCTTGCGTAAAAATACATCGATCGTAGCCGAGAATCGGCTATATATAGCACAAACTTGCGAACAATAATCGAAGGAAGTGAAAGTCAATTTCGGCTGTATCCATAATATTGCTTAAATAAAATAATGGATCATTATATATATTATGCAAATTTTATAATCAATTATTTTTAAAGTCATTGGAGTCATATGGTAGTATACAAAATGTTTCAAATATCAATTTTAATTTTTATAATAGATTTTGCAATGAATTTGAAACATTTTTAAAATTAGAACTGTAAATCTGGATTTGTTGATACGCTAACATTTATCGAATTATTCGATACTCAACTTTGGCTATTTGCGAATGCTATTGCGATATTATTTTGGATCTGAACTGTATTTATTTGCTATATAAGAAAGAGGAAAGAAAAATAATAGCTAATTGTAATACTAAATATTAAAATAAAGTTTATATCTAAAATTAATTTAAAAAATATGATCTTGCAATGTATTTAGTTTCCCGACTCGCAGGTCGCAAATAACTTCGAAATTTATTCAAGTCTGCTAGGAAATCTATCGTTAAAATTGAGACACGAGTTTTAGGACACTCCGCATTCGTTCTGGTTCTTAACCCGTAAACTTCGTCCATGGTAAATGCATAATAACTGAAATTTCCTGTTGCTACGTTGATTTTTACAGCCGCACAGTTACCTTCCGTGACGCCGTATAATGAGACATTAATATACGGTTTAGGTTTAGCCTTTGCCCATCTTTTTTTCGGAGTAGTAACTCACAGACGGACACGTGAACGAACGCACGAGTGCTCTGCCATCCTTTCCGTCACGAAAACTGAAATCACGATATTTGGTATAGAACCTGCTGAAATTAAACTTATGTAATCGATGTCTCGTATTTATGCTTACAAGGAAGATGTACTTATTCTTCACGTACAGAACAATTTAAAATAATATCGAAGAGTTAATATAGGATAAAAAATTAATTTTTAAGAACAATTTTTCAAGAGATAAATCACATACAGTAACATTTAATATTTTTACCTTTATTTTCTTTTTAATGCAATCAAAATTATGCGGTTGGCTCAATTTTAACGGCGCTAATAAGATTATATTCTCAAAAACTAAATACGAATCTTTTCGAACAAATTTAAATTTTGTAACTTATATATAGCAGCCAAGTTAAAAAAAAAACGTAAAATGACTTCTGAATATTTATCTACGAAGTAACATTGAACAATTATAAAAAAAAAAACACGTAGGTAGAAAAAGTGGATAAAGATAGAAGCGAGGAAGAGATATAGATGATATTGACTCCGAGACATCTGATTAATGTTATCCATATCCTCGTATCACTATTCCGCGATCGATATCTCTCGATTCCAGTAACCGAATCTGTTATTACTTGAGAAATATTTAGCATCGATACAGTATAAGTAAAAATGCACGCATGTTTCGCTAGTTTGGACGATTACGCGAGTACCGGAGTCTCGTTCTCACAACACCGATGACATAATCGCGGATTATCTTGTCCCAGAATCCTGAATGTTATTCACGAAGGCGAGAGTGGCATGCGCGTTACAGAATAACATTTCTGCTCGTTTAAAACGATATTTATTTTGGATGTCGTTGGCGGGCGTGAGTGCTTGACAAACATCGTGCAAAATTTACTTTACGCGATGCAATTTCGGATATTTTCGAGTACGAGAATACGTTTGGTGGACTTTTTCATGCGCCTCCCGATCAGCTGAATTTAAAATTAGAAATGATACAAACGCGTGCTTCTTACAAAATGGTGGAAATTACACACTAGATTAAATGACGTTGTACATAGTAAAAAACTCGAATGAATCATACGAATGAAGATTTGTTCTTAATTTATTGTAATCATATTATTATTGTATTTAGTTGTCATAATTATATTTAAGTATTATAATTATAATATAAAGAATTGTAAGTGATACTAATAATTATCTTTATTTTGAAGATCTTAAATATTAGAATCATTAAATAATAATTGTTATGTGGGCATATAAATTTTTCAATATTTATGCATTTTCCAGAAAATGTTAACTTGTTAAAAAAATTATTAGATATTGAGAAATGCCTGTAGAAAGATTATTTATCATTAAAATTATTTCATTCGTAATGAAACTCTTTGTATTCCAAAAATGGTACTTTGACAGCTATAATATTTGATCTATGTTATTTCGCATGATCTCACTTTTGACATTTACGGCAATGTAGATATGAAGGACCCTCGAAAATTGTGTAATTAAACGCACCACAGGCACTACGTCTCGCGTGTTTTGCCGAACGATTTACTGTAACCATGACACTCGCGATGAATGGTAATGAGAACGCGTGGGAATATCCTGCCTTTTCAATGTTACCGGGTTGTACTGCAACGCAACGTGATCTTCAACTTTCGCTCACACCCAGTAGCGATGATCAAACATCTACCACGGATAAAATGACGATAAAGACATTAAAGACTGACGATAGTAATTTCTTACAGTTTCCCATATATCGCGAAAGTTCAATAGGTCAGTATTCCTCATCTAAGTTTCTATCACATGTATGCAAATTCTACGAACTTTCCTCATTCTTTATTAAAACGTATCATCTTTCATCTATTTTAATAATTAATATTCTATAAAAAATTACACTTTTCGTAGCAGCTATTTTGTACAAGGTAATTCATAATCGAATGTTCTTTTAATGCTTTTTCTTTGATCCATTTAGGAATGATTTTTTAATACTTATTGAAAATACTACAGTACTTATTTTTATCGTGTCTTTTCAATTTTTAATATTTTTTTCAACTTCAAATTAAAATTTCATCAAAATAAAATATGTTTATTAGTTTCTAAATGACATTATTTTATAATTTATTTTCTTTCCTTAATTTTTATTTATCTCCCAGTTTGTCAATTATTAATTATTTCAAAACTATAAAGCTATTATTTCAACTGTCTTGTTGAGAAAAAATTAATTATTATAAATCGAAGAATTTGCAGTGCAAAGATTATTTTGTCTTTGGGACATGCACATAAAATATATTTAAATAAAATAATTATATATATATTACAAAAATATTTAAAATATTTCTCATAACTCTTGTATATTTGCTTTTAGCGAATACTGTATCGTCTTTTAGTGTTTTCTTATCTTTATATGTACGTGCGAGTTTGAGAATATGTCCTATTAATCTTATCGAAAGGAGAATTTGCGACGCGTAATGTAATTGCAAGAGCAAGAGCTCTTCCAATATCTTCTTAAACAAAATTCAACTGCAAATATTTCCCAAGGCAACTTTTGTGTCCACAGAAAAATTAACGAACTTGTGTCAAAAAGTCCGATTTATGCAACGTTGTCCGAAAGATCAAACGAAAAGAAACTTCTGACGATTCTCTGACTCGTAAAAAAAGAAGAACTGCATCGAATGAAGCACCGTGTCTTCGTTAATTATCGACAGTTTTGCTGATTATAGTCGCACCGCGCGTTGAAGCCTACCTCATGCGTTTGCAAAAAACGATCGCATTACGACACGAAGATATAATATACCGTGGCGAGATCATATGGAGGACTCGATGAAAAGGAACATTGTTTCAAGGCAACGGTATTGGTGCCTGTTGGTGACATCAAACGCCGTTTTATTTCGGGAACTGCAGATTTTTGCTTCCAGGAACCGTCGTAACGTCGTTTCGTAAGCGCACGTGTGTCGGCGAGTAAAAGAATCCCAGTTTAAATTGCATACATTAAACATTATGGCTTAGAATATTTTCATTGAAAGATAAACATCACCCTCGCATTTTTCATACGCAGAAATAAATGAGTTACCGTCTAAAATAGATGCTATCATCAAAGACAGATGAGATATTTCCCATAAATTTTCCCAATTGTTTTTAAAAAAACGTAATAAGGCAGAAATAACTTGTGAGAAGAAGCTCGCATTTTGTACAAGAGTTATAAACATCTCTATGCAATGAATCTCTACGCACACAATCTATTTCGCCGATCATATTCATCTGCTGACTTGTACGATTAGTTTTTCCTCTTGCAGTCAGATCGTGTTAAGAACGGACGTGCATATCGCGCAAATAAATTTACGTGACAGATTAATGTTCGTCTCGCGATCATGCGCCTGCGGGTGTATGCCAGTTGCACATTCATTATCGCCTGTCTGCCTCGTAGTGTGACGGCACCATAACTGGGAAGTATAGTAAAAGTGACGGCAGATTTAAAAATAAAACGGCGCTAATGTATTTCGCGCAATCCTTATAATTGATTTTGATGATTCGCAAATGCCCACGAAATCTACGAACACCACTGTGTGTTCCTTTTCAGCTCGACATTCATCATCCAATACACTCATCTGAACGAATAATTTATATCCTCTCAAAAACACGTGTCGCAATTTCAAGAATCAGCTCCTTAATTTCGTGGAAACATAATCTCCTTCAATTAATTTATTTTTACGACGCAAAAATTAATATTTGTTTCTCGTTTCTTCTTTCAGACGAGCAAGAACGCGTGCAAAAGAAAACCTTTATAAATTGGATCAATTCTCATCTGTCGAAGGTAAGCGTGTATCAAGAAATATATTTGTCATCTTCAATGAAACGCAATAAAACAAACATTCGCGCGTAGCAAATCTTGCCCTGATATCGTACTCCGTTCTACCGGCAAGTACTTGATAACGATAACGATAACGCGACGGTAGTTCTCGATAAGCTGACTCTAGTTCTTTTCTCAAAGTTACGTAATGCTCTCGATCCTTACGTGACGCGTTATAAAACATGACGCGGGTTGCCTCTCGTATCGTGCTATCGAAACTTGAACGGGCTGATCTAGCCCGTACCTGGCTCTTGAGTTTCGATACTCCCCTACTTCCGCATCCTTCAGAACTTGCCTTACTGCGGAAACTCCACTCGTCGTGACATGCATGCATCAGAGGCAACGAAGCTATTGAAGCCGAGCGCCTCGCTCCGAGCGCGTCCTCGTATCGAATAGCCGTTTTGGTAGAAAAACTGTGTATCATCAAACGAAGAACAAATAACATTGATCCATGTAACATACATCGCTATATAGATCGAGAATCAATACGATCGGAAAACAACGAAATTGTAGTTTATTATTATTATTATAGAAATTTTTTGCAGCAAACGTTGTATTAACTTAAAGATATTATACGCTATAAGCATTAAATTTCAAATAATTAAAGTATTAAATATTAATATAATAATTATTAAATTGCAAGTATTTTTATACGCATATTAAATTTCATATAAGCGGCAAAAATATTTGGCTAATTAGTTTGATTTCATATCTATTTTTGAGCAGTTAATTCTTGATTTAATGATGCATATACTTATAAATGTTTTCATGTACTTGGCGTACTTACATTTTTATAAGATTTTTCTTATTTGTATGTTTGAAGAATATATGATTCGTCGTGATTACACAATTTGTAAATATTCTTTTCTATAGAGAGTCCAACCGCTTCGTATTGATGACTTAATCGAGGATCTGAAAGACGGTACGCGCCTTCTCGCGTTACTTGAAGTTCTTTCAGGGGAGAAACTGGTAATGAAATATTTGCGCTGTTATTTATGAGACAAATGTTAAAACCAGTTGTCTAAAATGCTCGTGATCTTTCAGCCTGTGGAGAGAGGCCGTAATCTAAAGAGACCGCATTTCTTGAGTAACGCCAATACTGCGTTACAATTTTTACAGAGCAAGAAAGTGAGTATTTCCGTTATTCTATCAGCAAATTGTGGTAATCGATTTCTAATTTAATATTTTTGCAGATCAAATTAGTGAATATAAATTCGTCCGATTTGGTCGATGGACGACCGCCGGTAGTATTGGGCCTAATATGGACTATCATCCTATATTTCCAGGTATTTATCGTTATCGTTACGTTCAGATATGTTAGTCATATGTAATGACAGTTATGCAAAAGAGCACCAGTATACTTAGTATTCGGTAGCTGCTTAAATATAGCGCTCGTATCACGTATCAAAGTACTTCGACAAATATGCAGCAGCACCATATTTTTATACGCCGCAACGAGAGTTAATTTGTATTTTCTAATTTTCTTGCTCAAGCTATATAATAATTGACCTTATCAATTAACGTATTATTCGCGATTAAACAAAATTTTAATCCTGTGACATATAATCACATTATTTTATTCACAAAGTGAGTTTTAAATTACGTTAATTACGCGACTGGTAAATATTGGGAATCTTTTTCTATATAAATCAAATGATCGTGGCTGCTCGAATAAATTAATCCTCGTCGCGAGTAAAGTAAATTATGTCACTCTGCTAACCGTATATATTTCAATAAACAAGCTACGATCCAAGGATCGCAAGCGGGTGAGTAGTAAAAAAACAAGATCGTGAATGCGATAAATGATCTTGATCGTTCTAAAAGAACAAGACGCATTGCACTTGCATGACATTGCGCATTCTATTAGTATGCACGCTAGATTATCTTTAGGCTTGACAAGGAAAGAAAACATCGTACCAGTCCTCGGCTTTTTTTTTTAGATTGAAGAGAATACGAGAGCCCTCGAGTATCTTGGACAAACCTGGGGCAGCCAAAGCAGCCTCGAAAGCCTCGGCTCGGCGGCAAGCGAAAGGAAACGCATCAGCAGCGAAAAATGGAAACAAAGCGCACGGAAAACGTTGCTTCAATGGGTCACCAACGCCTTGCCCAAGTCAGTATTCTGTCGAATTGCTATTTGTGTAATACAATTACAATACAATTATGTGGAGTTTTCTGTTATTATGATGGATTCTTCAGGGACGTTGGTATTCAAGTTCGAGACTTCGGAGAAAGTTGGAGAGACGGAAATGCCTTCTTAGCTATCATCGATGCTATAAAGGCCAACTTAGTAAACATAGCAGCTATGAGAGAAGCGTCGAACAGAGCTCGGCTAGAAACAGCCTTCCAGGTTGCCGAAATCGAACTAGGTATTGCTCGACTGTTGGACCCCGAGGACGTGGATGTACCGCAACCTGACGAGAAATCGATCATGACATACGTTGCCCAATTTTTGCACAAATATCCGGAACCAGGAAACACGGCTCCTGATTCCTTCGCGGCTATACAAGAAGAATACGACGGTCTACTTAAATGGCTAAACGAGAGAGTCAGGCATCTCGAACAACTTGATAGAACAAACGCCTATCCACAAAGTTATCCGGTACTTTCATAATAAGTCCAACAGATTTAGCGTAAATCTTAATTTTAATTTTTTGAAGCCATTTATATAACAAAAAATTATTAAAATTAATGTTTAAAAGATCTCATGTTATTTCAAAGCTTAAAAAAGATAAGTATAAATAAAGATAAAAATTTATTATTTCTTATATTCTTTTTCAGGAATATATGTTGTTTAGAGCAGAGACTGATGAGAAATCAATTATATATAAAAAGATGCAAAGTTTGGTCGATACACCTAGTATGATAAGCATCACACGAGATTCTTGGAGACATATACAAATGTTATGGCAGCAAATGGAACTCTTTGTAGGTTTCTCTGCAGTTTCTCTAACTTAAACGAACAGAACCTTTAATTGTAGTAATTCCTTTTCAAGAAATGTCTCATTCTCTTTTCTAGATGTTGCACTGGCTTTGGTTGTTAGATTCAGTGTTACCGGGAGAATTAGGAGAAGTCGGCAGATGGTTGGCGAGAGCCGAAGCTCTCTTATACTCGGACAATAATATACCACAAGAAATGTCAGAAAGCACGGCAAATATAATCTCGAACAAACTAGAAGACCATAAAAAATTCTTCCTCGATTTACCGGCAATGACGGAGAAATTCCAGCATGTTAAGAACTCACCGTTGGCGAGACAAGTTCGGCCTGAACAATTAGATAACATGTCCGCGCGCTTTGATAGCCTGCCCGCTCACGCCGCTAAGAGAAGGGTGAAATTAAAGTTCTTAGAGCACAAATGTTGCCTGATCGCTTTCCTATACCTCGTTGAGACCAAACTGAAAGGCTGGAACATCAAATACGGCACAGAGGAGAAAGTGCACCAGATGTTGGAGCAGTATCGCAACTTTGTTTCACGAAACAGGATATTCCAGGAATTTCAGAAGGCTTATTTGGATATGCAGCAAGTTGCGGAGGAATACAAGCGTGACGGTGATATTGGTAAATAAAGATACCTTAGTCGACTATTAGTTGATATTCAATTTAACTGATTGCCAATAATAAATGTATGTTAATGGTATTTACAAGTTGCAAAGGATATTTATATTTACGTGTGACTATTAATTAGAATAAATAGTAACTAGTTAATTCAAACATAATTAATTTTTTAATATTAAAATATAATTTCCTAAGTGAATAGCCTTTTTCCTCATCATAATACAGTGATAAATTCGTGCTTTTCAGATCGAGAAGAGAGCCTCAATATTGATCGCTTTATGCGCGAGACGGCCGAAAAATGGAAGAACGTGTCGATGGATCTGCGCTGCGCCCAAAGTATGCTCGAAGAAGTTGTCGCATACTGGCGTCGTTGGACCATCGTCTCAGATGAATTCGAGGCATGGTTACTTCGCGCTGAACCCGCCTTAATTCTCCCAGAGGAAGAAAGGATGGAGTTTTTTCAAGATATCAGCGTGTGGAAGGACAAACATCAGCAGTTGTCGGACACTGTAAGCTTTCTGATCGCCACATCCGACGAATCTGTTGCATTTCGTCTGAAGGAGCGTTACACGAATCTGACAGCGAGATGGGAACAGCTCTTTCACGAAGCCAAACAGTATATGCACGCGGGTGATCTCATTCGAACGAGAAAGGACTACAAGACGGGAATAGAGACTCTGCAGAACTGGCTAAGAGATGCCGAAATTGCCTTATTGACCACCGGATTGAGTTCTACTGAGCGGATCAAGGCTTACGGAGAAAAATTGCAGACTCTTCACAACGAAGTTGAGGGCATTGAAAACCTCTTCAAGAATATCAGTAAAAAGTTCCAGAACCTTATTCAGGATTTGTCCCGCGAGGAAGTCGACAAGATGATGAACACTCTAAAGAAGGAGAAAGAAGCGCTTGTTAAGGTACGTGCCTTAATACCAATGCAATTGCACTTATATCACCAATTATTGGTGCAACAAGAATCCCTAGAAGCAGGGCAAAAAGAGATATCCGCGTGGCTAGACGAAGCCGAGAGTTTTTTAGCCAATATCAATCTCGCGGGTGGTAGAGACGCTGTTCTAGCTCAATTAGATCGTCATAAAGCTTTCTTTTCGAGAACGCTTTACTACAAATCCATGCTAGAATCTAAGAACAAAGTGTTCGCTAACATCGTCAAGGCTGTCGATAGTCACGCCGACGTGGAGACCGCCGAAGGTGGAGCTACCTTGAGAGAACTTAATGATCGATTTGTTAAAGTGTCTCAAGCGGCACAAGTCTGGGAACAACGTTTGCAAGAGTCTGTCCGACGCTGGACGAAGTTTAAAGAATGCGAGCGGCAAATCTCCGAATGGCTCTCGGTTGCTGAGACGATGATCAACGAGAAGCACATCGATAACCGTCAATCCGTCGAGTACCATAAAAATTTCTTCGGTAAAGTCAAGGAAAAATGGATACAGGATCTCGTGAAGGCCGGTCAAGATCTCCGGAATGTATTACCAGTTGATCAGCAACTCTCCATCGCAAACACGGTGGAAGCTCTTCAGAATCGCTGGAGAGAAGTCCTGACCTTTGCGCCGCTTCATCTAATGAGACTCGAGTTCCGTCTAGATGAGGCCAGCTTCCTTCAATATCTCAAAGAAATCGAGATGGAGATCAGTTCTGAGCAGCAAGCACTTATCAACAACGATGACGTGGACGGTATTCAGCAGCGCAACAGAGAATTTTTCGTGAACCGGGGTACCGTCCTCGAGGTCGAGCGTTGCCTACAGACTTTGAAAAAAATCAGTGATGCCTATAGCAAGCTCAAGCCGAGAGATACCAGCCTGGCTGATACTGCGCAAAACGCTGAACGTTTATGGGAAGAAACCGCGCAGAAAGTGGAGAACTTGAGGGAACAGTTGCGCGAAGTTCCACAACAATGGGCGACTTATAGACAGAAGTGAGCATTCGTTGAATTTTGTCTTACAAATCGGTGGCAAATTTTTTCTTTAAATACTTGAAACTTGTGCAATTGATTTTAGGTTCGATGAGATGGTGCATTGGATGGATCATGTTGATAGTACGTTGAGAACCATTTTACACGAGGTCAATACACTAGAAGAATTCGAAAAGGAGAAAACTATATTTCAGGTAAAATACCAGCCAGTTTCACATACAATTTCTCTATCACGTCATTTAAATATTTAAATACTTTGCTTCGCCTTTTCTGCATTCCCTCCGGATAGCTCCAGACCTTGACGGTAAATATCGCGCACCTCTATCTTGCCTTATTCCTTGTAGAAGTGCTAGGACGCGCTCAAGAGTTCAATGACAATTACTCTTGGAATAAAAATTTTTTAATACCGAATGAATACCGATTTAATCTGATTTGATCTAATTTATCTATAAAAGTTAATCAATAATCAGTCCTTTCTTTTATCATTTCTCTTTCATCTCTTTCATCAAAGGTTGATATATGACTTTAGTCAAACGTAATGAATATCGCAAAATGCTATTGACTGTTCGCAGAAAATCTGCCGTGAAGCTGACAGCAAGCGTGAAGAAATGAAATGGCTGGTTCAAACTCTCGACAACTTGACATTGAATCGTTCGGATCGCGATGCACTTACTGCACAGCAGAATTTGGAGCAATTGATAACTCGATATAAGAACCTGATACCGACGATCGAAATTACAATGACGAAGACAGACATCTATTCAAAGAGTTACACATATCGCAAAGAGGTACGCGAAGTGTGTACTTTATTGCGCAAGGTTCGTGAACAATCAAAAGCCGACGTCGCACCAGAAGTTCCTGAAAAATTACAAAGCGCGGTGGCTCATCAAGAATCCCGTCTTAATCAATTAGAGCAACAGCGAGCAACCATTGTCAGTATGTTACAACGCGGCAAAGATCTTTTGAAAGATCAACATGCCCCACCTTTCGTCTCTTCCGAAGTTCAGCAGTTAGAAACCAACTGGAACGATACGTACGGTCAAAGTATGGAAACGTTGAAGTCTTTGAAGGACTCGCAGAAACTCTGGAATACCTATCAAGAACAAAAGGACGAGATTTTGAGATTGATCGAGCAAGCTGAGAAAGAACTGCGTCAAATTGAATTGGCATCTTATTACGATGCCGCTCAAGTATCTGCTGACCTGCAGAAGAAACAGGAATTCAACGGAAATCTGAGAAAATCAGCCGAGGAAATGATGAAGAAATTACGCGAGACGTATACTAATCTTTCTCAAACGCTCACACCGCCAAACAAGAAAGAGATCCTGGAAAAGGAAGTGACGGAGACCGAACAAAAGATGGAGCATACGCTGAAAATCGTGCGCGAGAAAGTTGTTTATCTTCAGGAACATAGCACTCGATGGAATAAATTTCAATCAAACCTCATGGAGCTCCGATCCTGGATTCAGCAAGCTGCACCCCAATCAGTCGCGAATATCGAAGAGTCCACAGTTTCGCCTGAGGAAAGAGTTCGTCAAACGGAAAATCTACAAAAAGAGATAAAGGAAAAAGTGTCAATTTTAAATGCACTAGAAGACGAATCCCGAAAACTCATAAAAGGTAAATATACAATTTTTTGCTTGGCTCACAATATATTAAAAACATAATTTCACAATACACAAATTTCGTTTTTTGTTACTTAATTTTTATCATTATCATTTCTTATATAGCTATATAATTTATAGATGATATTTCTGCTATTTTCTGCTAGCTATTTTAACTATCTATTCGCATAAATAATTTAAATGTAATATATTTGAAAAGATTTAAATAAAACTTAAAAATAAACGTAATTTAATATTTATGCTATAAAAATGTTCTAATATAAAAAGTGATTATTTTTCTTATATGTATAGAAGACCGTAAGGATATGCCGGCGAAAAAACTCCGCGAGGACATCGAGAATCTTCATAAGGCAGTTGAATCGTTGAATAAGAGCATAGTAACTCAACGTCAATTGGCTACGCAAAATCTTGAAACGTGGAGAGAATACGAAGAAGGCATTCAGAAGATAAAACCTTGGATTGAACAAGCGGAGTCTAAGGCAGCTACGATGGGCAGCAAACCCACCACTTTGGCTCAAGCCACGCAAATGTTAGAATCGGCCAAGGCCTTTGAAGTTCAATGTCAGCAGCATCTTCCGAAGGTTCAGAGTTTGTCAACGATTAGCCAGCAGATAACCGGAAGAACAGTGGCACCTGATGAAGTCGACGCTGTATACACGCGATGGAACGCAGTTCATGACGTGGCGGTACAAACGACGACCAAGCTGGATAAATTAGTTTCATCATGGAACACCTTCGAATCAGAAGCGAAAGAATTTAATGAATGGTTGCAGAATAGCGAAAGGGAAGCTCTGAAGGAACCCAACGTTCAAACACCGGAAGCCGCCAAGTTGGAGAAGGAATTAGCGCTACTGAAAGAATTCAACAAGAGCATATCCGATCATCAGGCCCAACTGATATCGTTGATTCAAGTTTCCGATCATATCAGTCATGGTTTGTCGCTGGATGGCGCCTCCGCATTAAAGGGTCGCGTTGCTGAAATGAAGACCAGAGTAAGCAAACTCGCGGACACAGTTCGACATTATATTAATCGTGTCTCTGACTCGTTGTTGGCTCGACAAGAATTCCAGATAAAGATCAACGATTTCGAGAATTGGATGACAAGACTAAGATCTAACATCAATGAGATCGGGGACGTGAACGTGGACAACGTCGATACCAATTTGCAAACGATGCACGCTTATCTTCAAGAGCATTCGGAAAAACAACCGGCATTCGCGGCAATCTACGACGAAGTGAAACAACTGTCATCGCGAGGTTCCATGTTGGAAGCCGCTGCATTGAACGAAACTTACACATCCTTGGCGAAAAAGTACAAGGCTCTCGAAGACGATCTGAGAGAGAAGAAGAAGGGTTTGGAGAAGTGGATCGAACTTTTGAACTGGCATAATGATGCCAATGCACAATTGAATCATTGTAAATACGAATCTGAAGCCAGAAAACCAAATGTCGCTGATCTCGATAGACTTTCTTCGGAACTTCAAGTTGTATATACAAAGATCAACACTTGGAAGGAACAGGCCCCACAAATGGATAGCACTTTGGGGATACACGTTCGTGACAAGCAAGAGAGACCACTTACCGCGACTTCCTTATTGAATGATCTTGAATCCAAGGCTGCGGTACTGAAGACGGAATTATCCGTTAAACGCGACAAGTTGGAGAACCTCGGTGCTAAGTGGGATAACTTCAGAAAATTGCAGCAAAAAATTACAGAGGAAATCGTCAATACTCAGACGAGCCTGCAAAACATCACGTATGCCGTTGACACTTGCGAAAAACTCGCGCCGGCAATTGAGAAGATAGACGATCTGATTGAGGATCATCAGAGACGAGAACCAGAAAAGGAAATCCTTCATCGAGAAGGTGATAACTTGATGAAGGAGGATCAACGAGCGATAACTAACATTCAGGTAGTGGTCTCTTCGGTGGATGGTAATTGGGAAAAAGTGAATGAACTCTTGCGTGAGCAGAGAAGGAAATATGCTGAAATGGATACAGACTGGAAACAGTATCAAGAAGCCAAGGAGAAATTAAACAAATTCATCGATGAAGCGAAAAATCTTTGCCAGTCGGTCAAAGATGTACCAACCGACATCACCCAGGCAAATGTGGCTCTGGAAAAACATAAGAGAGCTTTGGAGACCTTGAAGAAGGGTAAACAATTTTTGGACAAGATGGACGGCAAGGCGCAACAACTGGCGAAAGAGACGTCGTTAATGCCGAACTTCAAGACCAGTCTGATCGAATCAGACCTATCCGATATACGAAAAAAATACCACGAGATTAACGCCAAGGTGATCGATCGGACTCAAGCATACGAAACGCAAGTCATCATCTGGAAGCAGATCGAAGAAGCGAAGTACGAACTCACAAAGTGGCTCGGCGACACGAACGAGGCGCTCACCGCGGCTTGTGAGCGTTTACTCGACGCTGAAAGCGGACAAGCGCTATTAATTAGGTATCGCGAGGAATTACCAGTGTATCAACAACTTCGTCAGGGTATCGCCACAAAAACCGAACAACTTATCAAACTAAATGACGACATGGACATACCGACTTTGAAATCCCTCAATGATTTATTGGACGATGAATTCAAGGTTGTTAAAGAGGCCGCGGATAAGCTCGCGTCGTTCACGTCAACTTTCAATGAGAAGGAGAAAGGTATTAGACAAGAGTTGAAGAAATGCAGCGACGCAATATCGAAGATCCGCGAAGAGATAATCAAGTGCGATGATCTAACCGGCGAGAATGCCAAGATTCTGCACAGAATCAATAAGTGTCAAGAATTGAAAGCCGAGCTGGAAAAGTGCGATTACGCACTTTCGGAAATTGACGAAAAATTGACGGATATGGCATCAGAATATCCAACTATATCGAAATCCAGCTTGCCGAAAGAGTTGCAGGCGTTGCAACTCCGTAGGGATGGCGTGGTCAGTCATGCCGACAAAGTTAATGCCACGTTGGTAGCCTTCTTGACAAAACTCTATCACGAGAAATTTGGCGCTCTACAGCGCATGGTGGCGACTCACAAGGAAAAAGTAGCCTGGTGCGAGCCCGAACAGAGCAGCGATCGTTACAATCTTGAGGTAAAAATGGCCTCGTTGGTCGATGTGGAAGACGGCATTGCCGATTGTGAAGCACGAAGAGCGGACACGGATAATTCGTTGACACTTCTAAGCACCGTCGAGAGTACCGAGACAATCTCCGCTCTCAGAGAGGAACGCGACAAAGTCACCGCCGATTTAGAGTCCCTGAAGGTCAATTATCGCAGGATCAAATCCGTGCTGAAGCAAAATATTGCTTTATGGCAACGGTACGAGCTCACATCGGAAAACGTGGTCATCTGGCTCAAAGAGAATGAAAACAAAATCAGAGTGGAGGCCACGATGCTCCTAAATCCGGACGAGATCGACGCAAAGATCACCGAGACAACGCAGCTTCAGAAAAAGGTTGAGAATTATGAAAGCGAGATGAAAGATTTGATTGCGCTTGGAGAAGAGATTGCCGAAGTTAGCCCAGAGTCCCGCGTGGCCCAATACGTAGGACATTTGAACACGCGTTATCATTCGGTGCTCAAGTTTCTAGTTCAACATCTAGACAGACTCAGAGAACTCAAACAAATCAGGGCTCAATATGCCACTAATGTGAAAGAGCTGGAATCGTGGTTACTAAATGCGGAACAGAAATTGAAAATTTTCGACGAGATCAGCGGCCCGAAACCGATGACCTTCTATCAATCTCGATTAAAAGAATTGAAAGCGTTTGGGGAGAAACGCGAAACTGGACAAGCGATTTTGAATCGAACAGCGGAAGCGGGCGAAACGCTTTTTACGAGGATAACACCAGATCAAAGAGAACTCATTAGAAGTGAGCTGAGAAATTTGCGTAGTCGTGTGGAAGCCTTGGCTGATCGCGCAAACGTGATCTATAAGAAAATCGAGAGTGACATGATGCATCGATCCTCGTTCGAAGACAAGTATTCTCAGGTAAAGCAGTGGTTAATTGAGGCACGAAAGAAATTGGGTGATAAGCAGGATCTGTTACCGTCACTTCAAGAGAAGAAACTCGCCTTGCACTTGTATAAAGCTATCGCACAAGATGTCGTAGTTCACCGAAACATTCTGGAACAACTTCAGGACAGGCTTGGAGCAGCACCGGACGACGAGGCCAGCGAGATGCTCAACAGCGTTATCGAAGCGCACGAGAAGCTATCAGAAGACGTGGATGATAGAATAGGTATAATGGAAAAGCACGTTGCCAATCACGAGGCTTACCTCCAGACATTCGAGAAGATGCGAGATTGGATCAACGCGGTGATAAACGAGGCGGCGCCCATCAGCGAGGATCTCTCAGTAGATCGAGATGCAGCGAAATCTAAAATTGCTTTGATCGAGAACGTATTGCAACAGAAGTCCGAGGGCGATAGGATTATAGCCGACTGCAACCAACAATTGAATATCATTTTGGAGCAAACCTCGATAGCCGGCCATCCCGTATTGCTGAGAGGTTTCGAGCAGCAGAAGAAAGTTTGGGAGGATTTCCTTCAACGATGCATCTCAGGCAGAGATAAACTGAATCAACTGTTCGACCAATGGTCCGAGTTCGAAAGAGTAGTCGAGCGTCTAGAATCTTGGCTCAAGCAGATCGAAATGCAGGTGAAAGATCAAAGCCTGAAGAGCACCGAGGAATCGAAACGCGCGCACTTACAGAAATTGAAGTCCCTGGAAGAGACTATCGTGGCAAAGGGCGCAGAGTTCAACGCGGCGGTTGAGAAAAGTCAAGGCGTAGAAGCGGAATCTGATTTAGTTACCAAAATATCTCGTCAAGCTACCAGGTATCAAGCGATCAGGAATCAGGCGAAGGAAGCTGTAACGAGGTACGAACAATACGTAAAGGAGCATAATTTGTTCAACGAAAAATACAATCAATTCTTGAATTGGATCAACGAAGCTCAGGAGGAATTGAAGAAACATAGCGAGATTGTTGGCGATCTGGCGGTGTTACAAAGCAGACAGAAGCACATCAGGGATCTCGGCGACGTACGGACTCACGAAAATGCTCGTTTCGAGTCCGTCATCGATCTCGGCGAGAAACTCTACGTGCACACTTCGCCAGACGGTAGAGAGATAATCAGACAACAGTTGAGAAATCTGCGCGGCCTGTGGGACGGATTTTCTGAGGATTTGCAGAACTCGATGCAGAAGTTGGATCAATGTCTGATGCAGTTTGCCGAATTTTCGTTATCCCAAGAGCAATTAACGGCTTGGCTGCGAGACGTCGAGCGCGCGATGCATCAGCACACAGAACTGAAATCATCGTTGGAGGAAAAACGCGCGCAATTGCAGAATCACAAAATCATGCACCAAGAAATCATGTCGCATCAGACGTTGGTCGAATCGGTTTGCGACAAAGCGCAACAATTGGTCGATCAAACCAAGGACACTTCTCTGAATGTCTATCTGCTATCCATCAAGCAGCTCTTCCAGAATATCGTTGCTAAATCGCGAGATTTGTTGGAAAATTTGGAGGACTGCTGCGAGAAGCATCATCGTTTCAATCTGCAATGCAAATGCTTCTCCGATTGGTTGAATGGTGAACGAGAGAAACTGGCAGAATGTAACGACATAACGGGCGAACGATCTGAAATATCTCGCAGATTAACGAGCTTGACGATGTTAAAAGACGGCCAGGCACAGGGAGCGGAACATCTCATGAGGTTAAAAGAATTCAGCGAAACTGTGGCTAATAGCACCGCGCCGAAAGGTCGGGAAGTTATTAACAAGGAAGTGATCAGCTTGGAAAATAATCTGCGCCAATTCCTGAGCGAAATCGGTAAATGTATTGCAAATCTTAATTTGTATATAATTTTAAAATTACATAAAATTACATTAAAAAAATTATCCCTATATAAGTTTATCTAATCCATGATTTTTATTTCTCGCAATCATTTCACTGGCAAAATTCTGTTTTTCAGAATCTGTAGAAGAGCGACTGAAAACAGCTTTGGAGAAATGGCAGAACTTCGAGGATCAGCTGGAAGTTCACACGAAATGGTTTCGTTCCATGGAGGCGGCATTCCGAGACCAACAGCTGCAGCCTACGCTGAAAGATAAAGAAGCGCGACTACGCGCATTTAAAGAAAAACGCGAGATTATCGTGCGGCAGGAGCGAGAGATAGACGAATTCGTAGACAAGTCGCATAGTTTACTGCACGCGAGTGGTATCGAACGCATCAAGCCATTAATTTCCCAAGTCAGCAACAGGTACGTCGAATTATTTTTAACCAGAAAGTTACTATCTTTATATTTTTCACAGTCTTGCGTATACATATACAGTAAAATCTCGCCAAATAAAAATTCAAAAAATTCATTCTCGCAAAATATGGACAGAAATCCTGAAAATAAAACATACGTTTTCAAAACGCAAGACTTTATTGTATTTGTATTTAATAATTTCTAGATAATCAACATTTAATTTCTAAGTAAAGATATAGGAAGATAAGAGTAGCAGTACATCACACGATAAATGTAATTAAATATTTAGATATCAACTGCTGCACGTACTCAGTAAGGAAGTGATAAACCGTTGCCAAAGCATCGTAGATGATCATCGTGCTTACGAAGAGAAATTGAAGGCCATCGATGTTTGGCTTACGCCTCTCGAGAAAAACTTGTCTATCTTGAAGAAAGATGAGATCGGCGGAGACCTCGAAACGAGGAACTCGCGTTTGCAAGTTTTGCTAGCCGAAAAAGAGCAAGCTGAACATCGTTTAGCTAGCTTAACATCTCTCGGCGAAAGGATTCTTCCGGACACATCCGCTCAAGGGCGTGAAGTAATTAGACACGAATTACGAAACGCTCGTGAAAGATGGGATCGCTTAGCAGAAGGGATCACCGAGCAACAGAAAAAGCAAGACGCTCAATCTTTACAATGGTCTAGTTATCAAGAGACTCTACAACAGATTCTGACCTGGTTGGACACAATGGAACGTGCAGTTAAACAAGATTCCTCGATTGTGTGGTCTTCCTTGCAGGAAACAAGATCGAAACTACTCAAATTGAAGGTTTCCCTACATTCTTTTTAATATTTTATGCTATTATCTGAGATTATATAAAAAGAAAACATAATGTGAAAACCGTTAATTACATTATTTGGGAAAATTTATTTCAGACATTACATCAAGAGATCTTGGCTCATAAACGTCTCATCGAAGGCATTTCCGAGAAAGCCAACGCTTTGGTTCAAGTTACTCAAGTTCCATCGGATGTTCATGAAAAAGTCGTTTCGGTTTCGAAGAGATATGAGAAGCTAGTGGATACATCTCAGAAAGGGATATCCAGCTTGGAGGCATTGCTCGATATTTTCCAGCAGTTCCACGATCTGCAGAAAGCTTATCAAGATTACCAGAAGCGTCAATGGGAACGCTTAGCGAATTACAGCGATTATACAGGAAACAAGACTGCTCTTCAGGCCAGATTAGCTAAAGTTATAGAGATACAGGACAGTCAAAGCGAAGGTGAGATAAAGCTGAATGTCCTTGGAGAACATGTCGCGCAAAGTGCGAGTACCCTACCACCTCGCTCGCAAGAATCTATGGAAAGAGATTTAGCCAATCTTAGGTAAATATTTTAAAAAAGAAAATAATAATTATTTTATTTATAAAAAGAAAATATTTAGGAATTAAACGAATGACTTAGTTGTCAACTACATAAATACACGTCGAATGATTTCTCTTTAGATTTGAAAATAAAAAATTCGCTACAGCTGTAAGCGATGTGGTACGTTGCATCGAAGAAAGAATACAACAATGGAGTGAATACGAAAATTCGTTAGAACGTTTGCTCGCTTGGCTTACTGACGCCGAGACATCATTGAAGAACTATTGTCTGAAGAACACGCTTGAAGAGAAGCAGGAGCAACTTGAAAAATACCAAGTAAGTTCGAAATTATTACAATAAAACGTTGCATTACAGAAATGCGGTTTTCTTTTGGCTTTACGAATATAAATTTGATAAGTGTCCTATTTAACGGATATCGATTATATAAAGATCGCTTTGTGTTTGTCCCCTATCACAAAACTTCCCTCATTTATACGAAATAGTAACATAATTTGAGGTGTGCACATTTAAAGTGTCCGGTTATAATTTCGATTAGATGTAGCTGTTTTCTCTACACGCACTGACATCTTTCACACACATGAATATAACACAAATGTAAATTTTGCAGTATTAATATGGCAGTTTTGTATTTTCTTTGTACGCCCCATACGATAGATCGTGCGAATACCTTTATGTCGACGAAAAAGAGAGGAGAAAGCCCCCATCTACGCAAACTTTTATCTCCACTCGTAGAGCATAATTATTTCGCACGCACAATGATTATATATAATAAAATTTCCTAGGAACTACAGAAGGTCGCCGATTCGCGAAACACGGATGTGACAGAACTGGTTGCGCTTGGTGACCATCTCGAACAAGTAAGAGAGTGATATGCGAACTGCAAATATCATTTTGTAACAAGGCAAGATTGTGAGAGAGGCGGATGATTGCAACGGCTTTACGAGGAGCCTCTTCGACACAATTGCTCTTTTCTTGTATAATCTTTCAGCTTTTATAGCTTTTGTCAGAGCAGGTGGGAGATGCCAACGCTTCGTCTTGTGATTTTATTAGCGTTAAATGACACGTGCGATTGGCAATACAAGATACGGTGATACGTATGCCATTTTATTGAATAAAATCAGTATTTTTCGTCGTCAATATTGGATCTGACTAAAAAAATATGAACAGCTAAATTATTTTATCTCGCTATACAAATATCAGTGTTGTACTAAACATTTTGTAATACTAAACAATTATTTGTTTACAATTATTTGCATCGGCAAGGTGAATTTTTGTTAAACTTTTGGCGGCCTACCTATTTGCGTTCAATAAATGCGCTTTCAGCTTCGAAATTTGCAGTAAGATCTGTTTTTTGCTGCACGAATGGAGAGCTTCTTTGACGCTGAAATTTACATCGAGATGAACAAACGAGCCCGATACACCAGGATGGAATATTAAACTCTATTTTTTTTATACTTATTGTTAGTGTATACTTCTTCGCGTTTAACATTTAAGTAATAATAGTCTAACCATCACTCAACTAGGCTTCTGCACGCAAGAAGAGAGAATTTTCTACTTCCTTTTTTCGCACATGAATTGTGCGGAACAGCTCTTTAATGAATCTCATTTAAAAACAGTCAAGATATAAAAGTATTTTTTTTTTCCAGTCACTGATTGTGAATCTCCGGCAAAATGAGGCTGAATTCGACAAAATGAGCGACGACTCGTCGGAATTGATGCAAATTAGTGGGGAGACTCGATTTTCTGTCAGCGTTCAACAAGTTACGTCACGTTTCCAATCGATCCAGGCGACAGCCAAGGTAGACATAAAGTTTTATTCCTTGTTTACACTGGAAGAGAAGAATTTTAGTATCGTAATGAAATTATTACGCTTTAGCGTATTTGATGTGAGAGACCAAAACTTTGCTAACATAATTAATTATTACAAATTTATTCTTAATTAAATAAAAGTAGTATTTTCTTTAAAAAATTTTTTTTTGTTTTGCTAATTGATAACAATATAAAATATGTCAGCAAACTTCTCTGGCAATGAAAATAGTTATATAATTTTGTTTTAGGAACTGGTAAAGAAATGCGAACAAGCGGTCGTAGATCATGCCAACTATTTAGATCGTTATAAACAATGCTCTGAATGGCTAGCGAGCGTAAGAGTGCGTTATCAGTCCTCCAAGGACGCCAGTGATACGCGTCAAAAGCTGATCTCGAACGTGGAAACCTTAAAGGAACTCTTAGCTCGTCAGTCTTCATCTACTCTTTTGATTAACAGCACCGTCGAGGCTGGGGAACGATTGTATCCCACGACTGGCACGGAGGGCCGAGAGATTATTCGTCAGCAATTGCTGGATCTTCAGCAAGCCTTCGAAGAGCTTTACGATGGTATCGCTTTGACCGAACGTGAGTTGCAAGCGAAGATTTCGCGGTGGTCCGATTTTGACGAGTGCAGCGAGGCCTTTGAGAACTGGTTGAAGAACACAGAGGCTCAGTTAAAGCCAGAGATCGAACTGAAAACTACCCTGGATGAGAAACGTGCTCAGTTGCGGATCTATCGTACCATCTTACATGATGCTCAAGATCAGCAAGATTTTTTGCTGAATCTCCGAGATAAGGCGGATAATTTGCCCGATCGTACAGACAAGATCGATCAAACACTGAATAATTTTACGAACAGACACAATGTACTACTGAAACGCGCGACGAAATTTGTAGAAAGATACGAAGGTATAGTGAGCGATCATAAGCAATACAGTAAGGCTGTCTTAGACACGCATGAATGGTTGGATGCCACGCACAACGCCGTGAGTCTCTGGGGTGACGTGGAACTGGAGAGAGTGTCCCTGCACACGAATTTAGATCGCCTAACGAATCTACTGCACAGTTTGCCGGAAGATGAGTCGCGAGTACAACAAATCAGATCTCTGGGCGAGAAAGTAATACCCGGTACTGTTGAATCAGGACAGGTGAATATCCGCTCGCAGATTGATTCCTCGCAGCAAGAATGGGAAAGCTTAATCTCAGCCGTCAAATCTACTATCGAGGCGTTGGAGAACAAACTTCAGCAATGGAATGAATTCGAGACATCGAAGGAGCGATGTCTAGCGTGGATGAGGGATACTGATACAAAGTTACACGCCGTCGATCTCAAGCCGACATTGGCAGATAAGAAGACTCAGCTTGAGAAATTACGCGCCCTCCAAGGTGAAGTTCGCGCCAAAGAATTAGAAATCGATGCTGTTGCTGAGCGGGCTCATCAACTTCATAAGACTGTTACTTCCCGTACTTCTTATATATCGGAGCTGAGTATCAAATATCAACAGATTTCTAGTAAAGTCAAAGACCTCAATAACCGTTGGCATCAGTATGTTGCCACGCATCAAGAATTCGATAATCAATTAGCGGAATGTACCACATGGTTGGAAGACATAAAAAATAAGCTGGCGTATTGCTCCGATTTAAGCGCATCTTCGCAGAAAGATCTGGAGCAGAAAATGGACATTGTGCAAGATCTATTGTTATACAAAGAGGACGGTTTCGCAAAAGTTCAGGGTATCGTTGAACTAGCCCAGGCTGTTTTAGCGAATACAGCTCCGGCTGGCCATCAAACGATTAATGACGCTTTAGCGAAACTTCAGGAACAATGGAGTGCCTTGGCGTCAAAGATGCTAGAAACTAAGACGAATTTGGATGACTCGATAAACAAATGGGCCGGTTTGCTGGAGCAAATACAATCTATCAACAAGACGGTGGAATACATGCAGACGTCGATCGACGAGATTTCGCAGTTTCAAACAACGATATCGGAGAAGAGAAACCAACTGGAGCGAATCAAGACGCTCGAGGAGAAGGTTCGTTGCGAAAATATCGAGGTTGACAGTCTCAAATGCAAGGTCGCCGAGATGATCGCGAGCGGTCAGCAAGGATTAGCCGCCTCGCAAGCCCAAGATATACTGAACAGATTCGACGAACTTTTCGAGAAGATCAAATCTCTGTTGGCCGAACGAGAGGAACAATATAAAGACCACCGTCTTTACAAAGAAGCTCATGATGACATAATCGGTTGGCTCAGCCGGGCTCGCGAGAAGATACCATCTATGAAGCAGAGATCGCTCAGCGATAAACTAGCGATCGAGAGCGCAGTGGTACCGCTCGAGAGTCTGTTGAACAAGAAAGCTCAAGGTGAATTGTTGGTGGAACATTTGCAACATACTGGAAAGGTTGTTTGCGCCAGCACCAGTCCCGTCGGACAAGAAGTTATCAGGAACGAAATACGAGCGCTCACGGAAAGTTTCGAAGGATTGTTCAAAGGTAAAAATTATTCAAATAATGTTTACTAAGAACTAAGAATATCGACGTTGTCGTAGTTTAATAATAAAGTAGAATAATAATCATTTTTAACTTACAGAAATAGACATTAGTTTAGTAATTTTACAATTGAACGTATTAACAAATAACCTACATGTATTAATAAATAAACTACATTCTATTGCAGAGATTCAGCACCAGAAGGATCAATTGGAGGCTACCGTGAGTCAATGGCGCGATTATAAGGACGAATACGAGAGACTCAGCGATTGGTTGCAACAGTTCGACATTCTCATCAAAGCTCAAAAAAATGCTCTTTTGCCGAATTTGAAAGAGAAGAAGAAACAGGTGCAGGAAGTGAAGGAATTGCTTGATAATTTAATAAAGGGCCAAGAGCAGATTGATAAATTCAACAAAACGGCCGCCGGTTTGCTTTCGTCTCACTTAGACACTTACGTCAACAATCAGCTGCGGCATTTGAACTCGCGTTATCAGGTGCAAGTGAATCTTGCGAAAGACGTATTGAACAAGGTCGAAACCAATCTGGCTCAACATCAGGAATATGAAAGTAACCTTGAAAAAGCTCGCGACTGGATCGAAAACGCCAAGCAAATTATACGTCAAGGAACAGAAGCTGCTTCGAGCAGCAGTCGCGAAGAATTGCAGGGTAAACTCGACAAGATCCAGGAATTGTTGAGAAAACGTGAGGAAGGCCAGAATCTGATACACCTGACCGTGAATTGCGGTGAAAAGGTCATGAGAAACACACGATCGGATGGTCGTGAGGAGATCAACGCTCAGTTAAAAGAAATTCAAAACGACTGGGAGCGGCTGGTAAAGAAGATCTCAACCACAAAGGTGCATCTCGAGACGAGTCTGTTGCAATGGGCGGATTACAGTTCGTCGTATTCGCAGCTGCAGCAGTGGATTAACGATCGCGAGGCCAAACTGCAGCAGGTGTGCGAGCAGAAAGTCTCCAAAGCTCGAAAAGGTTTAGTTGGACTGAGCTCTTTAGCGATCGGAGAAAGGAAAGCGAACTTGCGACAAACTAACAGCATCGTACAGGATATTGTGGCGTTCGAGCCTATGATTCAATCAGTCACCACGAAGGCTGAAGACTTGCAACAGGCGACGCCGGCCACGGAAATCTCGATTAAATACGAGACTTTGAGCAAGCAAGCTCAAGAATTGTACGCGAAACAAAAGGAGACCGTCGAACAGCATCAGGCCTTCATTGACAGCGGTAATGAATTTGTTCAATGGATACGAGCAGCTAAAGAGAGACTCGGCAAGTGCTCGGAGCCCACGGGAGATAAAGAATCTTTGGCCAGTAAAATCACACAGCTCAAAGTTTTGCAGAGCGAATTGCCCGAAGGTCAGAAGAAGCTGGAGAAAGCCCTAGAGCAAGGTAATGCCGCCTGTCAAATCGCAGATGCCGAAGACAAAGAGATAATCGAGGAAGAAGTAGCGCTATTGCAAGAAGAATACGATAACTATGTGTAAGTAGAATAAACAAATTTAATTTTGTAAATGCAAAAAGAAATGTAATAAAAGATTAGACTCTATATACTTTTGTGTTTTTACAATATCTATATGTATAGCATATTTTATGTACATATTATGATTTATATAACAGAGACTCGCTGAATAACACGAAGGGTTTGCTCGAGGTCGGCATAGTAAAGTGGACTGAATATGAGGATCAGTTCTCCGAAGCTACAGAATGGCTTACGCAAACTGAACAGTTGGTTCAAACGTTTAATAAATTGCAAGATGGTCTAGAAGAGAAGAAAAACGTTCTCGAGCAGTTTCAGATTCATTTGCAAACATTGTTTGACTGGCAAAAGGAATTAGACCGTTTAAACATGAAAGCTCAGATGTTGTTGGAAACATGTGCCGACACGAGAATTTCTAATGCAATAACACAACTTACTACCAAGTATAACGCATTGCTATCTCTGGCTAAAGAAATAATGCGGCGATTAGAATTGCATTATCAGGTAACTACAATTTATTATTTTCTAATTATACGTAAAGATTTATTAATCAAAATTTTTGTAATTTCGATTTTAACTATACATATAGTTCTTTATTATACGAATATAACATTATACATATATATAGATATACAGTAATATATTAATCATTTTTTCTAAAACGTTAATTAGGAGCATCAACAACACAATACCTTGTACCAAGAGTGTCAAGATTGGATCGAGCGCACGCGAGATAAATTGAGCGAATGTAAAGACACTCCCAGTACATTGACCGAGGTTAACAATAAGTTACACACGTGTAAAGCTATTCGGCAGACGTTAGAACAAGGTCAGAACAAATTGCGATACGCTCTGGAATTGAAAGAGAAAGTAATTATGAACACGGAACAAAATGGTGCGGCGAAGATTCAAGAAGATACCGAGAATTTAAAAAGCGAATTTGATAAGCTGTTGATCGACGTTGAAGATGTGAGACAAAGATTGTCAGCGAGAGCGAGCATGTTAGAGGAGCTTAACAAGATTCACCGACTTACTTCTGATTGGTTGGAGGAAGTTGAAGGCAAGGTTCAATCAGGAGATGTTTGCCGAAACGATCTCAGCGAAAAACGCGCTCTGTTAGAAAAATATAAGATCCTCCAAAGAGACATTCACGGTCATGGCGAGACGGTGGACCGCTTGAAAAGTCGTCTCGCTGAAAACCCCAGCATATCGAAAAGTCCTTACGAATCAACAATCACTAAGTATGACAGCTTGAAGAAATTGATTTTTGAAAAAATTAATGTAAGTAGAATTTTTCTTTTTGAATTGCAGGAATATAATATAGAGTGGACCGAAATACCTGATACAGCCAAAAAAGGGTAATTTTAATTGTTCAAAGCTTGTAAATTTCAAATTTTTCGCGAAAATAAGAATTTACTTTAAAAAATTCATTCTTTATTTTGACTTTTTTACAGCCGTAGAATCATTTCCTTCTCGGTTGTATCCCGTATTTCGGTCTACCATATAATATCTTTATAATAATATAATAATATTCTAATATCATTATTTCTGTTATTTTAGAACTTGGAAGATCAAGTCAAAGATCACGAGAGATTCCAACAAGCTCTAAATGAGGCAGGTGATTGGATGCGTCGTACGAAAGTCGAACTTCAACAGTACAGTGATACTCATGGCGAAAAGGAGCGAATCATCGAACGAGAGAATAAAGTCAATCAAATCATTTCATCCTTGCCGAAAGGCGACGCGTTAATCTCGAAGGTGATCGAACTGAGCGACGTTGTGATCTCTAAGACGGGACCCGAGGGTCAAGACTCCATTAAGCAGGACATGAAACAGATACAGGCTGACTGGAAATCCTTGCAAGCACAATGTCACGATTCACAACAAACTCTCGCAAATTGCATTTCGAGCTGGTCCCAATTCACGAACACGTTAGACGGAATGAAACAGTGGATAGATCACTTCCAGAAGAAGATCGCAGATGAACAGACCAAAGAGAACAAAACTCCTGAGGATTTAGAGCGTTGTAAACGTTTGGTGGAAGAAGCGGTTAAGCAAAAACCAGTCTTGGAAGACTTGAATGACAAATGTGAAGCTTTGTTGGAGATTAGTGCTTGCAGTTGGGCGCGAGATAGGACGGTGCAATTGCAATCGGCATACACGTCTCTTTTGACCGACGCGCAAGGGCTCGTTTCAAGAGTCGAAAAGAATCTAGCCGATCATACCGAATTTTTGAAAGCTAAGAAGGAGATGGAGGATTGGTTACGCACAGCTCAGGGTTCAGTAGAAGATTGCATCGGTGTAGGAGACACGGCTTGGGCAAAGGATAAATTAGAGACTTTGAAGGTGAGTTTTATCGAGAAAAATAATACAAAATATTTTAGAAATGTTCGATCAAATATATTACTAGATTATTTTACTAACCATACACACACTAATAAAAGAACATACCATGCAAAAGTAAATTTGCTCGTGTATTATTTTTTCTTTTGAATTATATTTTAGAACATATAACATTAGAATAAACTGCGAAATAAATATTATTTGATACATTTGATTAAATATGAAAATAAAATTTAAACAAATATACATAAATATCTAATAACGATAAAATTTTTTTAATTCACGCAATAGCTGGTCGCAACACGTGTGACGGAAGGTCAACATCTACTATCAACGTTGCAGAACGCTTTCGCAAAGGCAATTAACACGGCTCTTCCAGAGCAACAAGATCCATTACGATCAGATATGGCCAATTTACGTTCGAATTGGGAACAGTTGAGCATAGATCTCAATACGGTTCAAGCCAAAGTAAAATCGGTTCTGAGTCGATGGGAGGATCATGCGGAAGCGCATAATAAATTCGCAAGGTGGTTAGAAGAGAACGAAGGCGTCGTTAAAGATTCTCCAGATACGAAGGGCGAGTTCGGCGAAATGAAGACAATGCTCGAACGATATAAACACATTCAAGAAGAAATTCGCAATAAGAAGTCCGACTTAGATCATCTGATGACGGAAGCAACGGAACTGTCAGCATGGGCGAAAAACAACGCGACGCTAAACGAAACGAAACAACTATTAGATCGATGGAAGGCGCTAGCCGAACTCGTCGGCGAGAGGAAAAAGTTGATGGAAAACGAGATGCAAGAGTACAACGCGTATCATGCTGCTCTGCAAGAAACAGAAAAGTGGCTGTTGCAAATCTCCTTCCAACTAATGGCACACAATTCTCTCTATATCACCAACAAAGAACAAACGATCGAGCAGATCAAACAGCATGAAACATTGTTAGGTGAAATTCAGAAATATCAGGAAGTATTAGACGAACTAAAATCGAAGGGTCACGGTCAGATAGATCGATATGTCGGCGCAAATCCCACTATTAGATCAACCATAGAGACGCAGTTGCAGAACGTTCAGGACAGTTACAATTCGCTGTTGAATACTGCTTTACAAATCAAGAACAGACTGACGGAGTCTCTGGCCAAGTTCCAGGAATACGAAAACACCCTGGAGAGCATCATGAAGAATCTGGACATGTATGAAGCGGAAATGACTCAAGGATTGGAAGCTCCATTGGATAACTTAACTTCTGCCGAGCAGGGCCTCGAGAGTGCTCGCACTCTGCACAACAAGCTGCAAGCTGAAAAAGCTCGATTGGCATTAGCAGTGGAAGCTTGCGAGGCTGCGGCGGCATGCGTCTCTAGACCCGGGAGTCCTCTCGATGCTCCACCCATTCAAGTCCCCGCGAGAGAAGTCGAAGTCAGAACAAGACTCGATGATCTTATTGACCAGGTACGTGCTTAATTTCACTTATCAATCAATTAAATAAAATTAATAATTGTAATTCCGTAAATTGATTAACGTTGTAAAATCTAATGTAAAAAATATAAAGAATGTAAATATAAATAATTTGTTTAACATTATTTAATTTGGTTTTTATATTAAAATTTTTTTATTGTATTAAATATATTATGTTATCAATACATATAAATAAAACTTTTGAAATTATACATGCTTCCGAAGCAAATTATATTATAAGATGTATCTTCGATGTTATCAGATGCAAACGCATTTGGCGAATGTGATGAAAACGGTGGGTGAACTCGAGGAGCAACTGCGACAAAAGAATTCGCTCCGTACTTGGATTAATCAACAACGGGCCCTCTGCGCTGAATGGAAGTCTCGACCAGCGAAACTGCGAGCAGAAGCTGCCCAGGCCGAGTTGCAGGCGATGAATGAATTACTCACCAATGTAGGCGAACGTCGCACTCGCGCATTGACGGAGTTGTCGATTCGCGAAGAGGACCATGACATTGAGGAAGGATTGAACAAGCTGGAGGCCGAACTGACTGACGCAATCGCTGGAAAACAAGCGGCACAGGATCTCATCCAGAAGTACAGGTCACAAGTGCAGGATATTCAAACGTGGCTGGATGGCCTGTCGAAGAAAGTCGATATGATCGAGAAGGGTAGTGGACTGACTATCGGTCAGAAAATTTCAAATCTTAAGGATATCACGGGCGAATTTGAGTCTCAGGGAACGGAAAAATTGGCAGAGGTCAAGAAACTGGGCGACGAAGTGATGGATTCGGTCAGTAATCTGGACTCTCAGCAGATAGAAGAGCAAATCAAGTCAGTGGAAAGGCGATACGTGGACATTGGTAAGAAGTTACAAAGGAAAGCCCAGGTCTTGGAAATGACGGCACAGGGCATCGAAGCAACCAGGCGAGAGATCGAAGAGAATCGTGAGTGGATTGAACGGAAGAAGCAACAGGTAAAGATGCCCGAGTTGCTTGGCTTCGAAAGCAAACAGGCGGAGGAAAGACTGCTCACTCTTAAGGTAATTTTTTAATTTTATTTATTACTTTCTCTTCAAGGAATGTTAATATAATTATTCTTTGACCATCATATTATATTTGCACAGGCTATGCTGAAAGAGGCGGATGGAAAGCAATTAATTATAGATACGTTAGAAAAGAGAGTTGGAAATATGCAGAACGAGCTAGAAACCAGCGAGCAGCAACAATTAGAAGCCGACACGAAGTCTTTACGCGGGGAGCAGGTTGAGTTATGCGCCATTTTGAGGGAAGAAATATCCGTCGCAAGTGCAGCGGCTGATGCGCGTCGCAAATTAGAAACTGATATTGAAAAAGCACGAAATTGGATAAGGGCCAAAGGCAACGACTTGAAGAAACTCAGCGGATATCTGCCTCTGAGAGCTTCGAAGGTTGAGCAAGATATCGCTCAACACAGCGGATTGGAAACGGATATAGATTCCTTTAACGAAAGCAATCTTAAAGATATTCTTAAACAAGGGCACAGCTTGCTGAAGGATTGTAATGCAGACAGTCGTGCCAAACTCCAGGCTCTCTTGGACGACCTAAGTAAGGATTATGAGGAGTTGAAGAAGGAGGCAAAGGAAAAACAAGCCTCGTTGGCAGATCTTCTTCAGGGACGCAAGGCTTTCGAAAATGAATTGGATAAGTGTCAACGATGGATTAAGGAAGCTGAAGTGGCAACCTCTTCCGAATTGCGACCTTCCAGTCTTGACATTCTTCGAGAACAACTTGCTAAAGTATGTATATATCCTTTATAAGTAAAGAATTAATTATCCCTAAATTGGCTACAGAAATTATGTTTAAAAAGATATCCACTGGGATTTTGTATATTTTTTGCAATGTATATTTGAATATAAATATTTTTTCCTCTTTTCACAGTACGATCGACTGAAGAAAGAGGCACAAGAGTACGGTGATGACATAGAAAAGATAAACCAGCAAGGAAAATCAATTTTGCCGACTGTAAGCGACGCCGATAAGCAGGAATTGAGCGAACAGTTGAAAAATATGAAGGAAGCTCACGGACGAGTGGCTGGTGTGATAAATGAGAGAGCACTCGCGCTCCAGAAGAGCATAGACGAAGCCGAACAAGCTGCCGCGCGAGTGGCGGAGGCAATTCAATTCATGACAGATATTCAGAAAGAGCTTCATGATCTGAACAAGCCGATCGGTGCTCGCGTGGAAGACGTGGAGGGAATGTTGACCGCTTATGAAAGAATTTTGGACGACCTCAAAGCAAACAAAGCTAAATTATCCGATCTTCAATCCGCTAATGTGGGAGATCTACATGGCGTGCTGGCCCAACAAGACGATCTAATAAGAGCTCTCGAAGCGCAAATAGCGAAACTTCGTCAATTGCTACTACTACGACAACAATTTATCGCCTTAATTGCAGAGATTACTACTTTTATTGCCAAGTACACTGAAATTGTGCGGGATATCGAGAAATCCGGACAAACAACGGAAGACAAAATTAAAAGGTAATGTATTGTAATTACTGATATATGATATACAAAATAAATAATATATGGTAAAAATTTAATTGTAGGATTAATTATAACAATAGTTGTCTAATTAATTCAATTTGTTGAAAATTTAACAGATACGACGACGTTATATTAAAAATTCAGGAATGCGAAGCTACTCTTGCTAGTGCGACGGACAAAGGACAGCAAATAGCGGGAGAAGGTTCGGTCGTGGATAGGAACAACGTGACGGAACAGCTGCAGTCGTTGAAGCAACAATTACAGGCCCTCCGAAGAGCAGTAGAGACGCAAAGAGAACAACACGAACTGGCAGCAGCCGAGCATAGAAGACTCGCTAATGAATTGGCGGACATTCTCGATTGGCTTGAGAGCAAGGAGAAGGAAGTCAAATCCAGACCGCTATTAGAGAGAGATCCGACGAGTGTCGAGGCGGAGTTGAAAAAACATCAAGCTCTTTGCGCCGATGTGAACGAATATCTAGATAGAATCAGAAATCTGAAAGAATCACTGCGGCATGAAGAAGGAATGCCTGGATCCTTAAAGGAGATGTTAAGCGAGGCAGTTTCCTTGTTGACGTCCTTACCGCGAGAGATGGAAGAGCGTGGAAATTATTTCGAGAGTAACATGCAGATGAGATTGGATTACGCAGCTCTCACAGACAAGCTTCACAGTTGGGCTCGTGAAGCTGAGATTCGACTCGAAAGCAACAAAGAGGGTCTCGATTTTGAAAATATTCTTAGCGATTTGGAGGAACATAAGGTGAGAAGTTCTTCTTATTTTATTTTAACTAAATTATTTTTGAATTATTTAAATTAAGAAGTTGAAACCTAAGTTTTTCGATTATTTGTGAAATTCACAATTTCATGGATAAATAAATTTTATTGCTAATTTCTGTCGTGTTTTTATAGATATATTTCAGCACCGAATCTTCGATACGCGAACTCGTTTCACAACAGATTCAACAGGTGGCAGATAAGATCTGGCCGTCTTTAGATAGTTACGAGCAGGAGGAGTTAAGTGTCCAACAACAGCAACATACTCAGTTGTTAAAGAATACCCTCAATACGGCTAAGTCGCAACGTTCACGTCTGGAACAGGGTGCAGAAATGTGGAGAGATTATACGCAGAGTCTGGAACGTGTTCGTGCTGTCATCAGCAGAACCAAATTTACGGATAAACCGGTTACTGCATTAGCTGGATTGCAATTCAATATTCAGAAAATCGCACATGCTCTCAATGATATCCAGGTATGTTAAAAAGCAATACAGATATAATTTCTTTTTGTGAATAAATACATCTTTTAAACTACATAAAGTAAATAAATTAAATAAATTATTGAAATTACACGAATTCATATTCATGATGTTTGTAATTACACTTTTATGTATAAAATAAGAAATAATATTTTAAAAATTATAACAAATTTACGTGTAACATATCATATTCAATATTGATTAATTGCATTTTTAACGTTTTTTAAAATTATGGTTTTCATAGAATCAACAATTCGAGTTGGATCTTCTAAACGAACGTGGACAAGAGGTCCTCCGACTTGCAGACACTAATAACAAGAAAACAATAGAGTCGCAGCTCTCTGAGATTAATTCAGAATGGCGCGAATTAGTTTCGGGACTCGAAGGACGTAGAGATACTCTCGAGGCATTATCGAAACATTGGGAAGACTTGGAAACACAATGGACTCTTATTGAAACGCGAACGACTGCGACTGAGGAAAAAAGCAAGCTCATCGACACGGTGGTGCGGTCAAAACAACATTTACACGATACCGTTAAAGCATTAGAAGTAAGTAACAATTTTTCAAATACGAATAAAAACATAATTTTTTACCGGGGAAAAGTTAATCATAAACAATAATAAATATATGTACAATTGCTATCAAGATTAGTATCAGAATATAATTCAGCATATATATTATTCCACGAATTTAAATCACGTGTATAAAAATAGCTAAAAATATTGTAAATGGGTTAAGCATGTCCTGTAGTTATTAACATGTGCATAGATAGATATAAAACTTCGTATAATAATAGAAAATATGTACGTGTCACGCGAAGCATACTTTTTGATCTTTTAAATGGCTAGGCACTGTCGCATTTTATGTGGATACACTTTCTTATCGATTTACCGTGCACCAAGGATATACAATTAGCTCTATCTTTCTCTCTTCCTGGTGCACCCTCTTTATAAATGCCGAACGTGTCAGACTTGCACAGCCAGGCACCACAGGTGCTCGGCCGGCGGCCCTCCAAAGCTAACACTACTTTAGTCGCCCACGAATTATCAAGCCACGATGAACGCTCGTGAAGAATGTTTATATCAGCGTTTTTCTTTTTTCATTTTTATAAAATATTCCTGGACATTTTAACAAGTAGATATTTTTATTTGAAATTTAATATGTGTTAAAGAATTAAAATACTTAAAATTTTTTCGACATGATGCAAATTGATCGAAGATAGTTAACACGCTTTCTGACCTTGTTGTGGTACAGGAACTCGTAACAGAAGCTGAAAAACTTAAACCTGTAACGGAAGAAGTGAAAAATTTGGCAGGACCTGTGCTCGCATATCTCGCAGCGTTTACAGAAGGACCGGCACGAAGTCTCGAGGAACGCCTCGAGAAGCTACAAAAATCCGTCGAATCGTGAGTCAAAGTGCATCATTTTGTTTTTATATCTGCTCAGATGCATGGACCAGCACCATTTCACGTAATCGTCAGCCAACCAAATTCAATCCTACATTATCTTAGCTACCACAAATCGGATGATGGACATTTTTACAAATTTCCGATAGACTAATGATACAAAAATATAGTAAATATTCACTTTTCACATATTGCATTTTAAATTTATAAAGTTCTACTTTCGAATTTTTTATCAAGGATACATTGTAATATCAGAAATAAAATAGATGCATTTTTGTTACTTATTACTGAGAATGAAATTAATAGTATATAATCATAAAAGTTTAATTTCTAGTTTAAAAAATTGTTTATTACATTCGTCTTACTATAATATGTTACTTCATATGAAATTATAAACAGTTCGCGGTCTTTGGGCTGGCAATAAAGGTGCTACTAAGGTCCTTTTGCGAGCAGATTTGCATGTGCATGAATAAATGTGCAATTTGACGCTTCTGCTTATATGTTCCTTTTTCCTACGATATATATTTTTTATTTCAGCAATTCTACGTTCCATCATTATAATTGTACTGATGTATAATCAGTATTTCTAGTATTTCCTTTTTCAGGTGATCCCTTTCAGGTGATCATATCGTTTTATTATCGCATTAGCATATCGATTAAAAATAATATAATTAATGCAAGAGTATATGTCTCTGTTTCTTTAATTTCGACGTCGCACATTTAGGGGAAGATTGTGAGGAAATCTGAAAGATTATATTTTTCTTGATAAGTAGAAATACCGACATGACGCGAATGTGCTGTAATGTTGATAAAGGTTTTCAAGAATTTTAGTCTACGATGTTGCAACGTCATCCAGATCATTGCCAAAACACTACCCGAGCAATAGACCTTTCAGTCGCAAAGTCAATAGTAAAACAGTTGCTCAATGTACGAGGAAACTAAAGTACTCGTAAAGCGATAGTGCAATTGTTTCAAAACGATCTGTTATAATATATTATTAATCAATAACAAAGGTTATTTAAAAACGACCTATTAAAGTGTAAAGGAATGACAGTGAGAAACAATTTTGTGAAAATTATTACGGTGAATTTCAGTTTCTATATTGTTTATAATTATGTCTATTATTGGAACATATCAACGCTGTTATAGTAATTACGATAAAACGTTCTCCGATAAATTGTCAGTGCATCGTTATTTGTTACGCTATTCCAATTTACGATTATATAATATTGCACAAAAATTACAAATCAAATACATTATAATGACACGGGTATGACGCAATGTAAATGCTGATCTAATTTTGAACGTAATGCGACTGGCGCCACAAAACAGAGTTTTAAATAGGGTACAGAAATATAAATAGGGATGAGTTTTTGCAATCCATCTTGCAGACATTCTCACATATTATATATACAATTATCTATAACAATTATCACAATTATCTATAACATATCCTAGATTTAACGAATCCTTTTTCATTTATGAATTCTTTGGCTAATATAGAATCGATTTTACTCTAGCGAAAATATCAAAAAAAGATAAATTCCAATCTTTAAACATCTATGTAATTGATCTTCTTTAATGAATTACAAACTTTCTAGTTGTAGATAAAGTATATTTTAAATTCAACGAGGAATCAAATTTTATCTATGCGTATCTGTCAATGACATTTAATTTCTAAAAAAAAAAACCTTTATTTTTTATCGCTCGTAGCTTAAGAGCTCTCCCACGACGTTTTTTGTTAAGAAAAAGATCGACACAAGATCGTAATTAAATTGAATAAGTGGTGAACGCACGATTTTTCAATTCGAGAGTTGAAATCACAGGCACACAGCAAATACAATTGACATTTAGCCACGATCGCCGATGTTCATCGATCCATCGCGCCGCGCTACGTAACCACCAAATCTGTCATATGACGTAACACGGGCCGTATAACACCGTATAAACACTCGATAATATAAGATGGTTCGGAGGAAGGTCGATACATGCGTTTCGAAAGGAAAACGTGTTCATGGCCCCTACTATACTTTTTGTCGCCTAGAGTGTCATCGCGCGTTAGTTCATTTAGTCATCATCGTACCGGCATTGACGACGCATATCGTGCGCAATACTATAACAATCGTGCTTCACATTACATCTCTCTGCCGACGACGCATCATCGACGCCTGATCACGCGTTTAAGTGGCTCGCGGACCTCGCGGATAACGCCGGCGTGCGACGCGACGTCTTGACGTTTTGCCAAGTGGCGAATTGTCATCTAGCATGACGCCTCGTTCTGGCGTATTTACATCCGATTCCGCGTGTGTTGTATCGTCAGTGCGGGAGTGGCGTAATTATCATTTGCTCGCGGAACGCAACACCCGAATGAGAAACTATCGGACACTGACACTTGGATAGACATGAGTTTTGGGAGAAACGCTCTCCCGAGGTGCACGCAATTTTTTTTCTCTCTTCTTTTTCACTCCTGTTAAATATCAACGAAAAATAGAAGCGATTGTGTTAGAGAATTATTTTGTTAGAGAATTATTCGCGGATTACTTAAACTTGCGAAATCTCGTTTGTCGAACGGCGCAAACGTCGTAGTTTCGCATGCGCGCAAAGCGGAGCGAACTACATTAGCACGCCGACATGTACATATATCGCATGCGAAATCAGAGATAATTTCCAATCGAGAATAGTTTATAATTGCAGATGAGAACACTTAAGCTTGCATACTTTTGTGCGTTACGTATATTGTTATTGAGAAAATCCATAAGAAAATTTATTTCGCAAAATTCAATTTCTAAAGCATGTTCTGTAAAATACTGCTCTAAAATTGATCTTTAATTGATGTTTAAAATTGTCGTTTTTCTATAATTAATTAACAAAATATAAAAATATTCTGTGTATAGAGGAGATTTATTTAAGAATCGCAATGCATATATAAGATTTTTATGCTCTGTACAGTACGTTATTAGCGTCATCGGTATGTAGTTCGCTGACCGTTCGTGGGATGCCTCCGATGCCGATTAAATCCTCGTTAAATATAGATTTGATGTCTGAAACAAAATCAAACGTTGCTTTTAAATCGCGCGTGTGTGTGTGTGTGTGCAGCGTAACATACCGTGTACCATATATGACATAAGATGTGACATCACATGATATAATAGGATGCGCTGTAATAGTCGGCACGCGACTCAACGCGCGGCAACTTTTTCGCGTTAGAGAGCGTATAAGTTAAAACAAAATTTATTAATTTTTTATTAGCGTTGATTATCTAAAATATAATAGGAAAATAAAATATTTTTGATTACATTCTTGAATTAAAGTCTCAAATGCAACTTTTAATAACGTTTATCATATGAATTTCGCTATGAAATTTCTATAATTGAACTTATGATGAACAACATTAATATATTCTTTTTTACAATCGATCATTTCAATAGTGAACTTTCTGCTAAATGATATTTCGGATAAAATTAAAATTCTATTCATTTACAGTTTATACTACTCAACGACACATTTATCTGAACACTTTTAAACGATAGTATACGTGCACGTAATCTCAGTCGCAATTTTAATTGCTATACTATTTTGCGATTGTTGTTATGACTCGTGTTATTTCATTGTGATAGTCACGGTGCCGATTAAACCGTATGCAATACGAATGGACGCGTATAAATCTGCGGATTCAATCCGGCTAAGATACTGATTCAAACTTCCGAAGATGTCCATATTTTCATTAAGAAAGACTGCGCAGCAAATTATTCAAAAGACGCAAAGTCGCGCGAAGAAATCTGTAAAAGAAATCTGACAATAAGAAGTTCTGATCGAAGTTACAAAATTTCTGAAGTTGCGCGTTTTGTTACGGCCATCGCGCATTTTTCACGTCATTATTTAAATTCATCCCGTACAGTCTTCTAGTTCTCCGTAACCCATTGGCCTTACATCTTCACCGTCCGATTATTCTTAGGACGTTCTTGGCTAGCCAAGCCGATTCTAAGACCAGGCCGCATGCGTCGCAGCGCCTGGTCGCGAATGCGTCTCGACTGGCGTCTAACGCTAGCTTAGGCGACTATATCTCTTCAATAACGTTTCGAACCGCGAACGCTGCTGTTTGGCTTGATAGTGCCGCGCCATACTGTTGTCCGGATAAACACGAGAGTAAGGACGAGGATTAAAGAAAGATTAAGCGAGAAAAAGAGAAGAAAGTGAGAAGTTCGTGCTCGGTTCGCTATCGACTGATTCACGAAAACGCAAATATCGCGCGATTACTGCAACCGGATACATATAGGTACATTTATCGCTCCGGGTTATCGCTCAATTGCGATATTCGTACAGATAGATTGAGAGTGATTTCATTCAAACGTCGCGGCGTCGCCAGTAACGAGAAATTTTTGTGATATCCGTTATAGGTACAACGATTAACGAAATAGAATCGCGCGTAGCACATGATCGCAATCAGCGCGAGTTGCGCGATCGATGAAGCTATCGCGAGTTATACGAAATCGCGTGAGAACAAATAATCATTTCCCACCCAAACTCATAGCGCTGAAAATAGATCGCTGCGTGCGAATGTTAATAGTTCCTGAAAGGAAATTCATTTGGCGATGCATTTGCGATTCGGCTGTCGCGGCACGCAAATTTATCATTCTAATTTCTGTTATTTCAAATATGCAATTTTCATTACTGCGCGCGAACCTGTGAATAAATGTACAAAATAAAAATATTGTACAAATTCTATGAAAAGTACATTACATTCAACGTTACGTAAAAAAAAACCTATTGAGAGTGTAATCGAAGAAGTTTCCATGATTTACATACATAACTATATAATCTATTACATCGCAAATCTCTTTTTCCTTTTATTTTTTAGTTTCTTGTCCGTATTTCATCGCGTTGCATTTGCCGGCCGGCGATCTCGCATTCAGCCCGGCGCGATGATGTCATCGTAGAATAAGAATCGTTGTGCACAAAACATTGACATCGAAAATACTCACGGTCACGTATTTAGAGAGCGACGTGACAGAATCGGCGAATGTATAATCGTCAATTTTTAGTTAATGTTAAATTAAAAAATAGTATATTGTATAGAGCGGTACAATTAATTGCAGTAAATTATTATAATGAGGTTTTGATCTGTAACAAGTAGACCAAGAAAAGAAACGGATAGATAATAATAAATTTCCGAGTCCGAGAAACAAACGTACATGTCATCGTTGAAAAAATAGATCGCTTTAGCGCTGACGAGTCAAAATTGTACGCTTTCCTTCCGAAAGGACGATGACAGCATGCAAGTTCTTGGCAGATGACATCAACATTTAAATCATTCTTTGCGACTTATATTGATTGTGCAATCAGCAGCAAAAAAATCACGTAATTTGCGCTGGTCTTAGAGAAGACTTTTCTGCATTTATTTAAAAAAAAGAAGAAACATTCTTTACTGGATATAAAATGGAAAATATTATTATATTATATTAATATCTATTATTAATGTTTTATTAAAAAGTTGGACATTTTTATCTATCTTCTTTATTCGCTCCGATACAAATATCAGTAGCCAAAAAATAATAGCATTTCGTTTTGAGACACGCCGATTATGTTTCGTGTCGATGAAATAATCGTTTCGTAAAATCGTGTAGCTTCTTCTTCGAACAGTATCTTCCTCGTAGTATACCGCGAGTGTGAACAGTCTGCCAAGCTCCCGTCGGTACATACTTCCTTCGTCTACTTTTAGCCAAGGCTGCCCCGACTGCGCGACTTCGCCTGGGATCGGGCCAGCCGAAGCACAGCGACACGCATTTCCGATTCTAAATTCGTCTACCTCACCACGAACGATCGTTTAAGGCCACTGATCATTCCATAAAATTTTTTCCACGTGGAACTTAATATATTATAACACATTCGTCTCGAAGATATACCTGTTATACTTATCCGAATGATATTTCAATAAGTTATGTAGTACATGCGTGTACACGATGTTAAGGTCAATGATAAGAATAACTTTTTATAATTTATCATTATATGTAAACAGTTTAGCCATTATACTATTTATATTTCTTCGTGCAATTGATATTATTCAATTCTTTGTTCAAGAAGAATATAACATTACAAAGACAGGTATTTTAATTTCAAATATTAAACGATCGATCTTGCTTTTCTCGCCAATCGCCAATCTTCCCTTAAATGTTCAAATTTACATAAATTCAACGTGCTTATATGATAAAAGTATATTTTTAAAAGCTGCTCTCTGACCACCGCGAGAGAGGCTCTTTCGCAGAGAGTCACCGTTTGAATCGTCCTTTTAGACTCGTCGATTCACTTCGTGGGAAGTCCGAGAAGGCGAACGAGGCTCTGGAGGCGCTCGACAACATCGAACGTGAGATCGAGCGCCTACGAAAGCGACTGAACGAGGCGCGCGAAAGCGCCTCAAACTTATACGTTTACGGCGTTGATCAAGACGCGACCGAGATCAAACTAGGCGAGCTACGCTCACAGGTTGAGGATCTCGTCGACACCGCCAAGAAGTTCTCAGGAAACATTAAGGCGCGGTACCAAGCTAGCCAGCAGCTAGTACCAAGTGACATTACCCAGCATCTGACCGCACTCGAGCTTTGTGCCGAGGCAACGGCACAAACAATGGAGGAGAAACAGAGAGAGCAGAAACGTGCCAGGACCGTCAGGTCGGACTATCTGGCCGACGTGGACGAAGTGCAGGCATGGATCCGCCAAGCCGAGCTCAAAGTACAGGACAGATCGGTCGAGCCGGCCATCCTCAGGGAGCATCTCAGACAAATACAGAACGAATTGGGCACGATTAGCGACAAGCTCGAACGACTGACGAAGAATGGGCAAACCATCGTCAAGAACACGAAGGACGACGCCGAGAAGGAGCTGATCAATGGCACGATCGGCAATCTTACGGAACAGCTGGCGCAGGTCAGGAGCTGGCTGGAGGAGAAGAAACAAATCGTGGGCGACACCCTAGATGCCTGGCAGAGGTTCCTCACGCTTTACGAGGCCGTCAAGGCGTGGACGGAGGAAAAAAGACAATTCTTAGTCGAGCCACTGAAGCTCAGCACTCTTGTGCAAGCCAGGCAGAGACTGCACGAATATTCGGTATGTGAAGGAACGTTATTTTTCGCGTTCTAAGATATGTACGACAACGTTCGGCTGAAACTTCCTTCATTTTATAGACGGCAGTCAAAAGCTGCAAGCAGGTGAATAAGAATCTCAGTGATATGGGCAGAGAGTTGGAGAATATCGGTCAGGTAACTAGCGTAGGTGATTTACCGGAGAAGTTGGCCGAGGCAGAGGAGGGCAAGGTTCAGGTCGAGGGTCAGCTGTTGGAAAGGGTTAGTGAATAGTTTCTTCGGCCGAAATTTAAGCTATTATCAGCCGATTACCAAAAATCCCCATATTGCAGAACGCACTGCTGCAAGAGGCCAGCGAAGAGTGGGAGCAATGCGAGAAGAAGATGAAGGACGTGCGGAGCTGGATGGAGAAAGCCAGGCAGACATTGGAGTCGCCACAGAATAAGAAGAAACCGTTGCGCGATCAACATGCTATTCGCGAGAAAATGCTCAGCGACATCGCGATTCAAAAAACGAAGATCACAATCTCGGTGGAGAAGCTCGAGGTCCATTTTAGGTCCGGTATCGTCGGTGACAATCGGGTGAAAGACACCGCCGACGATCTGATCGCCGAACTCAACTCTCTTCACGGCACCGTCAAAGAACAGGCAACTTCTCTGGAAGCTTGTTTAGCGCAGATTGATCAGTATCAACAGGTTAGCGGAATGGAAGAAGTGGCCTTCAGACTACGATAGTACAATTTTTTTCTCCATATCGAGCGAGATTGTCTTGTTTCCGTTTCAGGAAATTCAACAGTTGAGACAACACATTGTGCAGGCGGAGCAACAGCTGAGGATGGTACTCAGCCCGACGTACATGCCGAATGACCGAGAAAAGGCTCTTCAAGAGCAACAGGTAGGCACAAACCTTCTTTCCCTGACTTTCTTATCACCTGCACAAGCGCGCTGAAGCAGCAATTGATTTTTGCATTTGCTCGATACCAACTCAAAACCACCACCAAGATAACGCGTTGTTTTACCGCTCTTTGAATTGCCATATCACGCGCGCGATTGTCGGGGGTAGTTTTCTGCGCGTTTCCGGGCGCGATTAAGCAAATGTCTCTTCTCATTTGAGTAATACTCGCGTGATTAGAACGCACGTGACCTATAACTAACCGTCGATCGAGCCACTATTAACCACATTATAACTACAATTAACTTTTGAGTTATTTGCCATTTATCGTCTACTCTTGCTATATCGAAAGACAAAAACTATTCTTATATGAACAAATTCTACAAATTTGGAATATTAACGGATACAATTAATTATTTTACTACATAAAATTAAGAAATGGCCAATAACTACACAAGCACAACTAGCAGTGAAAACATCTTAAATAAGACCTTTTTTCAAATTATTATCATATATTTTGTTTTAAAAATAATTGCAATTATTAAAACGATTAATTCAAGATGTTTCCGCTGTTTATATTGTACATCCATCTTTTATCCTGCATCCTACCTTTTTTTTTAAGCGCGTACTTAATTTTTATACTTTCAAAGCGTTTTATGCGCGCATCAAAGCTTCAATAAGTATACCAACATTATTTCTCACCGAGAACTTAATTCGTTAATTAATCTCTGCCTCGTCATTAACAGCAGTTGATTTTCAGATTCAAATTAAATTATCGATTCAACGGATGAATTTAAATTTTGCATAGAATTTTCTAAACTATCCGGTATTTTATTGTCAGATAATCATCTGCTATAATTATCTGCTAATATTTACTAAAATCGCCTATCTTGCACTTTTTATAGTAGACACAAGAACGCGGATTGGTAATTGATTTAATTTTGAAAATGAATGTTTATCTTTCTTTCTTTCTCTCATTTGTAAGTACGGTGATAAATGACACACATTCGTGAATTGGAAATCGAAGCTTTAAAATTTTCGATCTCGTGTTCATCATGGTGGTACATCGCTTACGGGGTACTGGTTGGTATCATGTTCTAACTATGTTGTTCCGTTTTCCTTTTCTCACATTTGCCCAACGTACACACGTCTAGTCTATTCCTCGTACGTATCCTAGTTCTTAAGATCACTTAACTTTGCGAAACTTTTGTACTATCGTTTCTAAAGGGGATTACTTGATTTTGCTTGTTTTCTGTGTTTCTTTTCTCTGGATTTTTATCGTTTAACTGTTTCACTTATCACGCGTGTACATCGCTACATCTTCGTATATATACGCTCACACGTGTATATGTATATACGTATCTTTCTCTTTACGTACATATTTCTGTCCATGTGTGTGCGCGCGCGCGTGTATGTTTACGTAATAAGTAATCACGCACATACGCCACTTACGTTTTAGAATGAAAGACCACGTAGCAAAACGCGAAGTACTGCCGCACATTCACGTAAAGCGTGTCATGCACCGTTTACACGTACGCATACCTTACGTGATCTTTGGATCTTTACGTTGGACTTTTGTAACTCGGAAAAATATAAGCCATAGGAAAATCAAGTGACCTCCGATGTCAAGACGCGTGCCGAGACCATGCGGGACACGCAGATAGAATGCTGATATTCTTTTTTTTTATAATACGTACTAGTTTCTGTTTATTATTATTTCATTGCATTTCATTTTTTTACCAGTTGTTTCATTTATAAATTTTTCTTTGCTGTACCCCTTACTCCTTCACACCCTTGTCATTTCCAACAATCGCCTGTGCTACTTTATCTCTGCCACTATCACATCTTCCTATCGCTATCTTCGTTATCGTATTTCGACCCTCTTGCGATCATCGTCGTCTACGTCGTCCACGTCGTGTCACCGGGATCGTCACCATTTCGTTCGTCATTCATCATCTCTGGTTGTGACTTTTTCGTGTTCTGCGTTCCTCTTCCTACTCAACGTCTCCTTCACCGAAACTATATCATGACCTAACCATCCTTATTCCGTCCCTCTCGCTCGTTCGACGTGTTAACGCTCTTGATTTGCCTTCACGATTTCGCGCGTGGTCAGATCCACCGAGAGAAAATCAAATCCTTGCAAAGTAAAATCCAGGCGCGCACCGAGAGGTCTAAATTACTCGTGCAACGAGGCACACCAGACTTGGAGCCCTTGGACCCATGACAATAGAGATCTACCCCCGTTGAACGAGTCCGGCTCTCGTTGTCGTTATCTTAGCTTAGCTTCATGAATAGAAGTTACGCTCGTCTATCTTCAGTTTAATCCTTACTCGCTACTATCGATGAATAACGACAACGATAGCTGTCGCGTGTCAAATTACAAAACTTGATCGAATGCAACATTAACGATAAAGGCGAGATAGAAAAAATATTAAGTGAAATCCGTTCTCGTCTTCGTCGTCGACGTTCTTCGATAAAATCGATAAAACGACTTTGTTTTTAATACCACGTAACTTTTCTAAGTAAGTTTTTATCGAGCACTGATTTTCTAATAGATATCTCTAAGATTATGGACGCGATTACGTTACCATGTATGACCGCGCGTCTTTTGTCCTAAATATCTGTGCTTAAATAGCCGTACGATGTGACTGAGTAAGGAAAATAAAAGGTCCGTTTAACTGTCAATCGGTATTCAAGTACATTCATTCACGAAACCCACTCATTTTATTTACATACACAGAGAGAGGTTTTTCGATGTATTCTAATGCGACCTGCTCAAGCGAAACCTTGGCTTTAAAAATGATACCGTCCCCTCATCCCACGATGAATGTAAAGAGATTCCTCAAAATTGACATAGTGTATGTATTCCATTGTTGTGCCTTGGCTGACCTTCCGTGGTGGATAAAGCAGAGCCTGCAACAACGGATGGAGGATTGGAAGGAACGCAGCAAGACACTGGTGGATCAGATACATGCGGTGGATCCATACTACGTACCCACCAGCGAGTACCGGTTCATAGGCCAAGTCTCGTACGCCGATATCGCAGCAGGACGTACCAATAGTCCGAGCTCGAGAAACTGTAGCCCGTATAGACACCAACGAGAAGCCACTCCTCCTACCATGACCGCGCAAGTGTTACGACCTGCGGTTATGCGAGCTCAAAAGTTGACCGTGGAATATCCTCCTTCGTTAGACGAGGCACAAGTCTCAAAAATGCAAACTCAGGAAAACAACGCGAACTTGAACAAATCAAAATCGCAACTGCGAGCCGAGACACGCATGCAGACGACGGACAATCAAGGCACAATCGAGGTGGAAGAATGTCAGCAAGATATACCTGAAGTTATTGTCGAATCATCTGTGCCACGTCGAGGACGATCGCTTACGCGCAAGACAAACTCATCTAGGGTGAGAGACCCCAAAACGATGGTGGATCAGGAGGAAGAAATCGACAGGTGTGATAATTCTCGTCCTGGCGCGAATTCCAAGCAAGAAACGCAAAAGGAGCCCGTGAGGGACACTTTAGCACCGTGTGAAGAACGAAAAAGACGTTCGCCCAGTCCTATGTGGGTTCCCGGCTCTACCTCTTATGCCGACATTCTTCGCGGATGTATGCAGACGACGCAGGTTAACACCGCTCCTGCACAATCACCCAGGCAAAAGATGGTTTCTCTATCCGGAGAATCTCGACGCGGTCGGGCCGAAGTTCATCGCGCGGAACAAGTCACCGTAGATACTGTCGCAAACATCGACAAATCTCAACAAGTCACAGAGGTTCAGCAAGTTGTACCGACGCAAGAGATACAGGTGGAAAACGTGCGAGTCGCAGAGACTTACTGTCAACCCACTGAAATTTCCACGGAGAAAGCAGAAGATCAAAGCTACGCTGAGTCTGAGCCGACTAATTGGGCCGACGAGGCCCTGCAGGATTACAATGTACTGCAACATGTGAAACCTTACGAGAATGTGCCGAGACAGCCGCAAACGACGGAGATCTACAACTATATAATACCGGAGACGATGCCGGAACTGGTAGGTTTCATCGGGTCTCATCTCGGAACATATCCAGTGAGTTCGTATGTTTACGCGCCGTCCGGTCATCATCAGCAAGTGCAACAACTCGATACAATAAATTTAAATCCTTATAACAATGATTCTTTAGCTTACGCGCCAGAACATTACGTCGCGCAAACTACATATCTTTCGGCATCGGACATTTATCAGCAGACTCCGATGCAGCAGCCTGTCAGTGATATGAGACACGCAACTACGATGTTGACAGAAAAGCCTATTGAGGTGCCAGTAGTTAAACAACCTGAGGTTTCTAAAAACGCAATTGCGACTGAACGTATCGATAAGCCTGAACAGCAAAAATCTATAAATGTCTCAAATGTAGAAAATTCCACAACGAACGAAACAGAAGAAAAAAATATGTCATCGTTGAATAATATGGAGACCAAAGGACAGGCCTTTTCGTACGCGCAAATACTTTCGCATGGACTCGGTCCGCGTGTTACCTCGACACGAATTGTGACTGAATCACCAGCCGCAAATTATCCCAGTAAAGAGCGTTCTAATTCACCAAAAGAGTTACCTGAGTTATCATCTCATGAATTATCGCCGTTGCAGGAATTAAAATTCGAGCAAGATCCGCAATCATTCGCGGTTACATCTGAACAATCTAGACAATCTAAAGAAAACGATTGGGACACGATGAAGAAACGAGAGGTCAAAAAGAGACAACAGCAATCGAATGATAAAGCCAAACAAACGGATGAGAGAAAATCTCGAAAGCCTATCGATAAACCGAAGGAGAAACAAAAGAAAGAAAAATTAAGTCCGCCGAAACAGTTGGAAACGCAAGACGAACCCGTTCCTGATAAAATCATCGATAATACAGCACAAAAAGAGGAAAAACCGATGCAGCAAGAAGAGCCAGCAATCGATTTAGTAGACACAAATTCATCACAAGAAAAGAAACGTAGACAAAAGAAAAAGAAAATAGATAAATCAGTAGGAGATGAAATTGACAAAGCACTTAAAGAAATCGAGGACATGGATAAACAGAAAACAAGATCTCAAAAAGACAAGCCTAAAGAGCAAAACAAAGAACAAAACAAACCTCGAGATTCCATTAATGAGGTGGAAAAATATAAAGATGAAGCTGACACGAAACAAAGCAAATCCAGTGAAAAATTCAAGAAATCAGGAAAATCTAAAGAAGTAACAAGGGTAAAAGAAACCATGTCTATGGAACATGCCACACTGCCAAGTCAAATTAAAGCGTGCGATCAAAGTATTTTAAAAGATAACGCGGAAGATAAAGAAAGTACGAAAGATGCGAAAGTTTTAGATTCCAAAAATGAACAAGAAGTCCGAAAAGATATTTCCAAGGAAACGTTGAAAAATCAGTTTGAAATTGACAACAACATTATTAATTCTGACAAACCCGACGCTACAATAAAATGTAAGAATAAAACTGACAAAAATATAAAGGCTAAGGAACGAAGCAGAGAAACTTCAGAGAATAAAATCCAGGATCAATCGGATGTTTTAAGTAATAAGAAAAGGGATAAAATAGATACTGTCGACGACAATGTACCAGAGGTTGTCAAATTATCAGCCACTCAAAAGATCGAATCCGAAAAAACAAATGAAAAAACAAATACAAAGATTGAAGATACAAGAAAGCATAAAGATGTTTCAAAAAAAGAAAAGAACAAGGCAAAGTCAAAAGAGCTGAAGCTGGAAGCTGAAGACAATAACATAAATCGAGAAAAGCTCGAAATTAATATTAAAAAAATAGTCGAAGATAAATCTCTGGAATCAACCAAACCACTGATTGAAATAAAAGAGTTTGATTCAAAGACGGTCGATGTTACAAAAATCACTAGTGATATAAGCGAAAACACGAAAAATAAAACCAATTCTCGAAAGAGAGATAAAGCCTCTAAAAGTAAAATAAAATCTGAAGTCGCAACCGATACATCATCGATAATTATGACAAGCAAAGTTTTGGATGAGATAAAAATAAATTTAAATGATAAAGAAAAATATGACGTTCCAAAATCAGAACAAATGCCCGAAGCTAAAACTGCAGAACCAACAGTAGTAGTTGAGGAAATTCCAAAAGAAATCATATTAGAACCTGAATTAAAATCAAAAAGCTTCACGAGAGAAAATTTAGAGACCATGGATAAAATGAATGAAAAAGAAGCTGTTAGTAGTAATACAAAGATGATTGAGAAAACTGAAAAACTAGAAGTAGAGAAATATCAGATAAAAACAACGAAACAGAAAAAATCCGAAAAAGCAAAGTCTAATGTTCAAGATAAAAGTAAAAGAAAAGAAGATAATATTGAAACAGCACAGTTTGTCAAAAATAAATTTGATGGAAAGAAAGATGAGCCTGATATCGAATCTCTAATTGCATCTACGATAGAAACTGTCGTTCAAGAACAATCCACGGAAAAATCGAATTTGGCTGAACATATATCACTGTCCAATAACAGCTGTTTTGTTCAATCAAAAACGGACGAAAATAACCACGGCGTTAAAATAGACGAGGGAGAAGATATAGCATTCAGCCAAGTTAATAAATGCGCGCCAGAAACTGTTCCTAAAAGTAAGAAAAAAGGCAAATCAAAAAACAAGGCTGTCGCTCAATCTACTGAATTGATACATGACATAAAATCTACAGAAAACTCTAAATTAAAAGATGTGATTGAGACCACAGCATCTGCAATTGTAGAGCTAGTTACATCGTTAAACGAAGGAGTATCTCGCAACGAAACTATGAAACTTACTAAAGATGATGCTACGTCAGGAGCAGCCTCAAATTCATCCGAAAAATCTACACCAATACCGGAAACAGATTTAACTATTTCCACGACATTTGAAAATGTTGAAATCATCTCTACTATAGAAACACTTTCTAAAGAGTCTGAGATTTCTTCAGAAATAAATAACACCGCTATGGACATGAAAGAAAAATATGAGACTATTAAAAACGGGAAACTCGATTATCCTCAAGAATCAATTATTAAAAACGAAGATATTAAGACTGATATCAATAAAGATTCTTTAATAAAAGAACAGGATATTAAAAAATCAAAAGATGTGCTACCTAAGGAAAAGACATCGAAACGCACAAAGAAAAAAGGCCTATCTCCTAAGCACACAATTGAGCAAACAAAACAGTCTTCTTCCTTTTACGATAAGTTCCAAGAAGAAATCGTTTTCAAGGATGATTCAACAAAAAGAGAAAAAACTCCGAAGCTTATAACTAGTCCTAATGAAGAAAAATTTAACAAAAATCTACCTCTTCTCGCGAAAATTGATAATATTGATATCGAAAAGACTCAAGAATCATCGAAAAAGAATGAAGCTGAAACTGAACTTGATTCTAAAGCTTCGAGCGATTCGGTCGATGGAGCTCAAGTACATGAAAAACACTTAGATGAAATTCATAATAATAATTTAGAGTCGGAACAACCGCCTTCGACAGGGAAGGCTTTGATTATAGAGAAAATGATTACTACCGTAACGACCACCACCAGCGTTCCAGGATCGGTAAAGGTCAAGCCACCCGATGTCAAGTCCGTTAAGTCGGTAGAGATCATAGAAAACATACCCCTTCCCAAAATCGTAGGTTCCAAAGTTACCGAATTGATCACTTTGCGCCCTGAAACCGTAGAGGCTAGTCTTACCACTACTTACGCTAGGGTACCAAACGATTCTCTCATTAGTAGTTATTCGGTGCAATCGGATCAGGCAGCGATTTCTCAAAAAGTAGGTTTAACTTCCCCGAATTCCACCGAGAACATCATGGTAGTCGACGATAGCCTATTTGGTAGCGTGCGAGATAGGAGAAAGATTTGTCCGGGCACTTCAGAGAATCGCGATATGTCAAATAAGTCCCCGCCGTTGACCACTGCACCGGAGGAGAGGAAAGGAGAACTTACTGCTCAATTAGATGATAACATGGAAGGATTGGGAGATCAATTAAAGGTAAAAGTTCCTGAAGAGAAACACGAGAACAATAATATGAAAAAAGAAAACACTATTATTTCACAAAATGACAATATTAGAGAAAGTCAAAATATTAATAATTCTGTGAAAAATGATAATATTGTATTAAGTGATAAAACTAGTCAAGCTGATTCAAATATTCTAACTGAGGAGCAGGATACGCGCATAGATGGAAATGAAGTCAATGTCGAAACATTAGCCAAGGATGCTAAAGAAGCAGCAGATGAAAAAATAGAATTAAAATATGAAAGCAAATGCACGATCAGCAAAATAAAGAGCGAAGAAATATCCGAAAGTATGAAAACAAAAAAGCAAATAGTGCCTGAATATTTATTAGAGCTTATTAAACCTTATGCCATGGATCGCCATGCTTACAATCATGCAGAAAGTAATTTTTATCGCTATTTCAAAGTCATCAAAATGGAAATAGAACCACAACCGCCTACTGTTACAGCTCCAAGACCAGAGAGCGTAGAGAGAATTGTACAAGAATCGGTGATGAAACCGGCGATTAAACCAGCGAGTCAAGAAATGCATGAAGTCAATGACAGAAGACATGCTCTTATCATAGAGGCGCCAAAGTATCCGATCACCAGTTTTTACGAATTTGAGTCGCAATGGATTAAAACGAGATCCACCCCTGAAAAATCTCTATCTATTTCTTCAGACGATTCTGAAACATCTATAAAAACTGCAATAGGGAGAGAGAAACAAATTATTGAAGAGAAGAAAGCAGTAAATACAGTGTCTGATCTTACAAAAGATACAACTGCGATTAATGTAGAGAAATTTAAAACATTCGAAACAAATGATGATAAAGACAAGGAACCGAGAGATTTACAGCAATCTGTACACTTGGTTTCCGATGATTCCTGGATGAGTATTTTGGATGAGCCAATAATGATTGAGGACAATTTTGATGCAGAAGAAAATTTAATTAATGAAAAGGCAAATAAAGAACTGATAGATGTCAAAAATCAAGATCAACTATTCACAGAATCGGTTGAAGAAATTCAGAAACCGGCTATAACATTAATTAGCACATCTGCTAATAATGTGCCATTTGATGTAATAATAGATTCAATTAATACTACTAGCGATTCAATATCACAGGCAATTACAGAATTAAATGTCTCTGTTAAATCATCCACGGAAAAAATCAATGATAATCAATTGGCAGATGCTGGAGCAATAACAGATACAAATATACAAGCAGACGAAACTGTTATAAAAAATAATGTTGACGCCGAGCAAGAAATGTTGGAAATTAAAACACCAACAAAGATATCATCTGTACACTTAGAATCTGATGATGCTTGGATGGCTCTTCTTGAAGAAGAAATAATAATTGACGATGATTTTGACGAGCTGGAAACAGAAACAATAAAAGACGACCAAATTGGAAAAAGGGAAAAAAGAATTGAAAAGAAAGGAACAAAAAATAAACAACAGGAAAAAGAAATCGAAAAGAAAAAATCAATTGAAAAACAAGAAGACAAGATTGAGCGGAAAGAACCAATTATTGCAAAACAAGAAGAAAAAATTAAAGAAGAAACGATGATTGTAAAACCAGGAGAAAAAATTGAGGAGATAAAAGTAATCGAGAAACATGAAGAGGAAATTGAAACAGAAGAACCAAAGACTGAAGTTCTAAATAATAAACCTTTAACGGAAATTGCTGTAAAAGATGAGTATCATACTAGCATAAAAGATATTCAAAATGAAACTTTATACACGGATGAAAAGCAAAGCGACAGAACAAAAAATCAACCGAAGAAAAAGAAAGAATCAAAACATGCTAAAGGCACAAAAACTAAAGATCAAGCAAAGATTAAAACTGTAAAGCAGCAAAGCGATATAGAAATTAAAACAGATACCGTTGAAGGTGATTTATCATTGTTACAAAGTAATTTAGAAGAACATAAAATATTGAAAAACAAAACTGATTCTAAAATAAAAGAAGCAGAAAAATCTTTGATAGCGGACGAACAAGCTGAATTACATACAGATAATGCAAAATCAAAACTTCTTTCAGACGAATCTGTATCAAAACAAAAGTCACAAGATATGATTGACGAAGAGAAGCCGAAACGTGAAGAACGTAAGCTGAAATCTGATAAGAAATTCAAGAAACAAAACAAAAAATCTGAGATTACCCCTAAAGAGAAATTAGCAACGGCAAAACGTGAGAGTGACATAAAGAATGATGACAATATTGTTCTCTCTAAGACGACAGAAGTCGAATCAGATATATTTGAAACATCACCGATTGTGCAAAAACAACAGGAGTCAAAGGATGACGTGCCTAAATACGATAATCGATTAAATCCGAATGCGAAATCGTGGGCAGCCATCGTTGGTACAAGAGATACAACAGAGCCAACTGTTATTTCTGTTATTTCGAAAGACGAGTCTTTGAATGTTCAAAAATCCGCTATTATCCATCAAGATACAAACGATAGTATTATGAATATTGTAAAACAACCACAAGCGTCGATTGTGCACGATTTATGCGAAATTCCATCAAAAAAAGAAATATTTACAATGCACTCACCTTCATTAGAAAATCAGATAGATAAAAATATCGTCGAAGAATTGAAGACAACAATGGTGGATGAAATTGTCAAACCAATCGCGGAAAAGTCCACCGTATCGTCGAAACAGCTTAAAGAAAACAACAAATCTTACGCGCAAGTCACAGCCTCTTCCCGAAGAATTTCTCCTCAGACTTCTCAAGAAGAAACGTATTCAGTCAAACCTATTCCATTAAAAATTGGTCATTTAGCGATTAATGTAAAAACATCGGACGAAGTGCGCGAAGATTTTAGTACAGAGAATACAGAGAAATTACAAAGTTCATTAGAACAGGGTAACAAACCAGTAGATGAAATTATAGTACAGCAATATTCTGATCACCAAACGGTTACTGGAAACCTCACTTCTCAAGAAGAATCTATTCCTTGGGTAGAAGAAGTGGAAAAAGAAACATTGACCATCTCTGTCAATTCTATCACTATGACAGATGACGAAGCCCACGCAAAACATACAGAAAATACATGGGCCGCAATAGTTGGTAAAAAATCTGTAGAATCGTCAGAAATTAATGATATTCCTAATCTCGAACAAAATCTTGCTAAATCAGAACAGATTATGGAACAATCTCCGACGCAGGTCCAGATTTATGTGGAGGAGGCCCCTAAACAAGAGCCTATAGAAAATTTAGTTCAGGTGGATGAACAAGGATTTATGGAATTTGTTAATCGGAAGGAATTACGCTCCAGACGTTCCAGATCGCGTTCTCGAAGTGCTAGGCGAGAGACTAACAGACACGCAATTGTAGAAACCTCAAATTCGATTAGCAACAAAGAACCTAAAACACTAAATATAAAATCTGAAAACAGCGAAAGTGTTAAAGCTAAGACTGAGGAGCCTGTACACGAGGATGAAAAGAAAGCAGTTGACGAGAATGACGAATTGGCAAAGATTATTAAAGAAGAAAATGCCAAACCATCTAAACAATCACATGCATCTAAGAGCACAGATAAAGACAAGCAGAAAAATGACTCGAATGAACGAAGCAATGAAAGCGAGATGCAGTTCGCAGAAAATGAAATTCATAATACTGAGAGTAAAATTATTCAAGGAATCAAACCCGAACTAGACGTAACATTTAAAGGTAAAAAGAATAAATCGAAGAAGAATAAGTCTGGTAAAGATTACGTGAAACAGCAGGCTAAAGTTAATGAACAAAAAGAATTAAAAGATATCGAAAAGCCGAAAGAGGATAAAAAATATATCAATGAGAACGAAGTAGAACATAGTAAGATCCAATTAGAAAATATCGAAGATCGATCAATAAAAGAAACACAGTTAATTAAAGATGCAGAACATTCGCAAGAGAATAAATGTAAGGATGTGAAAGCACTTTCGATTATAGATCAAGACAATGCTACGAAATCTAAGAAAAAGAAAAATAAAAAGGGAAAATTTGTCATTGAGCAACTAATTGAAAATACCTCTGATATTGACAAAAAGACAGTTATGGTTGGAGATTTGGAGGAGAAAATAGAATCACCAATAGAGTCAAAATTAGACGACGGAGTAAAAATAAAACTCGAAGAAGCAATTACTGCAAATATATGTAATATACCTACGTATTCAGAAAACGAAGAAACTACAGCAGAGATAATTAACGAACAAGAAAATATTAAGCAGGCTATAAGTATTGAAACTACAGAACAAGAAGGCACTAAGCAGAAGCTGATAGTTGACGAATCAAAAAACGCAGAGGCATGTAAAGAGTCTTATTTAGAAGAAGAAAAAAATGTAACGGAAGAAGAGGAAATTCCTAAACTCACAAAAGCGGAAAAACGAAAACAAAAGAAAAAAGCGAAAGTTGCCCAAAGCAAGTCTACCGATTTATCTGACAATACAAATATCGTCGAAAATATTAAAACTAAAGAAACGGTTGAAATAACAGAAGAAACCATAAATACTGCATCATCGAAAGATAAAATAAATAATGCATTTGTATTAAAAAAGAATGATGAGCCGATAATACAGTCTGCACAAATAGAAGAAACTGAAAAGCCTCTGGAGAAATCCGAAGCTATGATTGAAAATGAAACCTTACTTCCACAAATAACTTCGATAAAAGACAAGCAAAAAGTCAAAAGCAAATCCAAATCGAAGAAAGAAAAACGGCAAGATGATAAAACCAAATCTGAAAATTTTACAACGATTACAGCTGACTCTAAAGAAATCGAAACTCTACCTACTGCAGAAAACACCGAGGTTATAAATTTGTCTAAAGACATATCAGTATGCGATATTAAGCAGACTAAGAAAGAAAATGTCAAAGATCACGTATTAGACGATAAACTGACTTTACAATCTCCAAAAAACATAACTGACAAGAACGATTTCCCTGTTACGATAGAAACAATTAAGCAAGAAGACATTAAAGAATCAAAATCACTTGTGTCTCAAACAGGAAAAGAAGTAGATGAAGAATCAATTAAAATTAAAGAATCGCTGCCATCTGAAGAGAATAAACAAAAACAGAAATCTTCGAAGAAACAGGATACTGAAGATAAAAAAGAATCTCAGAAAGAAAAGGATGCGATAAAATCCCCGAAAGAAGATGCTATTAGTATTACAGATAAAACTGCATCGATTGCAACTGAAATGGTTCATGTAACTAGCAAAGAAACAGTCCTCGAAATAGAACCTAGCGTTGATTTTACAGAAAAAGAAGAGAACAATATTGTTTCAAACAAATTTGCAAAAAAACTGGAAATATCTATTAACGAAAAAGAAGAAGGAATGAAAAATAAATATGAAATAAATGAAAAACAAGTAGAAACGACTGATGCTGCAAAATTAACAATAAATTCAGAGAAGATAGAAATAAATGAACAGATTATTGATCAAAAAGAAAATATCTCCGAAGAAGCACCCGCTGATAACGTTACTTTGACAGAAAAAACTGAGTTACCTCAAACAGGAGAACCGCACCCTAAACCTGATGATATTTCGAAACTGTACGATATTACAGTTAATAACGATATCATGAAAATTGAATCGATATTGATATCAGATAAAACAAACAATTCTGCCGATGAAATCGAAATGGATACGTCCGTTCCAATGAATCATGTTTCCAAGCAAATAGAATCACCGTGTGACTCGATAAATGCAGTTATAAAACATTCTCCACAGTCAGATAAATTATCTTCAACTGTACGACAATCCTTTGAAGACGAGGACAAATTAAAGCGTATCGCAAGCATCGAACAAGAGACTTCTGATCTTTCGATCGAGCGCGAGCGTCCGAAATCCAAAGTACAATTCTATATAGCGGACGAAATTTTAGTTTTGAATCCTGACCGACGAAAGTATATTCCATCGACGTCCTTCCTGCAGGAACAACCTATAACCGACTTGTGTAGCTCGTTCTTGTCTATCGACGATGGTTTTTGGCCTGATAAACGACTCTATCACGAAGCCGAACGTGATCATTTTGAGAGCTTAGCCTTGCATACGAAAAAGAGTCTCTCATACGATAACAAACATGAGTTCGACGATCATCATCGTCCCCGAGATCGCGACGATGACAATTCGGGTGGCGGTGGCGGCAGTGGTAGGTCACGAGATTCTTGTGGAAACTCGCATTCCCTTTTGGGCGCACCCCAGACCGAGCGTATGATAGCCGATCTACCCGGTGGGATGTGTAGCTGGAGCGACTATAGCACTTATCTATCGAGCGAGAGCGAGCGGACACTGGATCACAGTCTACCACTCGGCACGATCGAGGATCCAACGTTTGATTCGGGTTTATCTTTGGATTACTCGTTGCCGAGTGATGTCCAGTCATCATCTCCTGAGTTCCTCTCGTCATTTCCTCCCTCCCATAATCCGCAGACCGAGTCGCGCATGGAGTCTCTTACAGACGCCGAAGTAACCCCGAGGGAATATCCTATTGTCTCTTCTTCGAATAGCTTCCAAAGTCCTAATCATCCTAGCACTTGCACCAAGTCGTCGACCTTTGCCCATCTTCGTCCACAATCCAAACTGCATTTAGGTAATGAGATGAGGGAGGGATCCGTGCAACGGTGCAGCCTGAACGGGGAGGTGGAGAGAGAGGCGGCTAAAGGCGAAGCTGAAAGAAGGATACGCAGGATCCAGGTGCGATCACCGTCACGGCCAGTGCTCGGTCTTGTTCTAGTCGAATTTGAACCAAGTCCGCTGCCATATGTATATATACATGCATATGTATATATATACTTGTTGTATTTAGTTATCTGGATTGTCTACCACTGGTTTCTCGCTCTCTCTGTCTCTCATTTTGTAAAACGACTACGTTTTCTTTTTCTTGTTCAATACTGAGTCCAATGTGTGCGATTTTCTTGTGTCGTCGATTATAGCCCATGCATACATGAATATATCGTTGTTGTTGCTCTCCCTGCTATTGCTATTATCGAATTATTATTATTATCTTGTTCTAATCTCATATAATAAAACATTTTAATTTTTTATATGTAACAAATCGAAATTAATTAATAGAGTATATTCTTGTCATTCGCATAAAGGGATAATACAATCTTTCTTTTGTAAAATATAGCTTGCACTATTTGCATGGTTATTCCGCTTCTAAACATGTGCTTTTTGTGTATATATGTTGTTACTTGAATAGCCTTTATATTGCGCATACTTTAAGATATCAATTTTTCTATTATATAACTTGTTATTATATAATTTGTTATTATATAACTCATAAAATATTAATTTTATGAGAATTAATAAACAAGCGATATTATCAAGTATCAACGAAATAGTTGATGCAGAATAATCAAGAATTATCAATAACTCATAGGAAATAAAAATAATGCGCAAAACAGTTCCTGATTCTTTTTTACTTTTGGTTGCTGGCAACTTTACGTGACAGGTCTTTGCATTCAAATTGCTTAGCGAGGTATCCCGAAATTCATTGACAATTTGCATGACGAGAATTTATTTCTCCGTACATAGAGTGATTATATATATTTCAACAATAGATATTGAAGGAGCTGTCCTCATCGATGTGCTTTCATTGTATGTTGCGCAGTGTGCTTTTGTAATAACGGATAATATCTTTTCTTACAGGGTTTAAAAGTTTTCAGTTAATACGATTAATGCAACGTGAAAGTTGATTGGATTCCGTGTGCACGGCATGATGAAGTAGTAACAAATCTCATAATTGATAAAGTCGCTAATAATCATTTGTGTTTTAGGATGTCAAAGAAGGCCTCGCTTCTCTACAAACAAGACTTTCAAATCTCGAAGGAACGATGGGTTATTTACCTCGAGACAGCGTAGAATCTATGCTTTCATCTCTTATGGTAAGAATGCAAGCATAAAGTAGGAAGAAAATTACAGATATAATCATTAAAAATTTAATGGAATTAAAGTAAAGTTGAATAATAATAAAATTGAAAAATTTCTGTTAAATTTGTACTGTGTATAATACATGCAAAGTATATTGAAAAACACGATTGACCCATTATAAAATCGAAAGATTCTCTCCATCTGTTTTAGGCTGTATTGACAGAGCTTCGTGCCTATGATGAGGAAGCTACGCAACTTGAAAAGCAATTACACGAAATTCCTGCCGACATTGAGTGTCAAAGGCTCTCGGTAGCTTTAACGGGAATTCATACGCGCGTCACTTCCCTTCTCGAACAAGCAGAACAAGGGAGAGTAGCTCTCGAACAGGCACGAGCAAGCCGAGAAAGACGCGGCCAAGAGATTCAGACCTATAAATTATTCCTCGAAGAGACAGATACTTGGCTAAGAAACGTCGTATCAAAACTACATGAGCAATATTCGATTAATACCAGCCAGGTCTGTTTTTCATATAAATGTCTATTAGAAGATATTTTACTTTTTACATTTGCTATACATATATCTAATATTTTGGACTTTTATGCTTTATATTTAGCAACGTTAAAAATCTTGAAAAACAATTAAATTAGATATATCCTTCTTCTAAAAATAGTTAAATGTAAAAGGATTAATATCCTTATCTCTAATAATAAATTAGCAGTTTTATATTGGATGTATCAAAATATCGATTTAATATCATCAACTTAATTGAATTAAATAAGTATATAATATGTTATTTAATGCACGCGAAATAATACTGATTTTTTTACTTGTTGCAATGGGCAGGCTTTACAGGAAGAATTAACGAGTCGCGTACATCAAGTCTCAGAACTCGAATTATTGCCGGAAGTGAGCACGCTAGCGATAGCTCTGAAGGAAGCCCTCTTGGATGTAATTAATCGTCTCCAGCGAAAGCAGCAGGTATCCAACGCTTTCCAGAGCTCGGGGGCTTTCACAAACATTACTACTGTTCACGGTGCCTCAGTCGCTTAAAGTAGTATTACAAAGAATTCGGACAAATCAATCTTCGACTTTCAAAACTTGCCAGAGCTTCGCTATCTTGAAAACAAAAAATAAAAGGCTTGCAAATTGCGGTTATTACAAAGCTGACAAGCTTTGTAGAACAGATAAAAAATTATAGATGACAGATAAAATTACGGGCTGTTATAATTGATAGTCGTATGCAAAATCAAAAGTTTCCCGATGTAAATATCAGGAATCTGCATCAAAACTATTCTGCCTCTTGCTTGAGTAAGAGTCTGAAATAATACGTTTAAATTTGGACAGTCATTCCGGGAACAATGTGCAATATTCAATTAGACGATGGTAAACGCTTTGTAATAAGCAGCAATAAATAACGCAACTGTCGGCAATAGACATTCTAGTCGAGCTTAATAAAACAATCTCTGTTGCATGCTTATACGGACATGAATCGTTTAATTTAATTGTAGAAAACATTATTTTAGTATATTGTTTTTTCTTCATCGTCGTCGCTGCAAACACATGCGCTTCTCATCATGTTTCACTACAAATATCACGCATCGTACATTATTTCTTAGTTCATTGTACATTATGTATTATGTGATTATTATATATTTTCGTTTATCTTAAGGTGATGGATGTATTATAGGAATTGCATGTAATTAAGGAATGTTAATACATTGCTGTAATATTTCATGTAATTAAAGAAAATTCTCATTAATACCTGTCCCTCCTCCCTTCACTCTGCGTCGTTAAACATTACATTTGTGTATCATATTTAGCCCGACATGAATAATATTGTACATAATAATACCGCGTAAATAATGATTTCTAAGTATGTATATATACAACATACTGACTGATCGATAAAATCGATAAACTGAATTTTTTTTTAATGTGTGCATATACTGTCCATATTATTTTTATTAAAAATACAAATTATCTAATTGCAACATGTCACTGCTTAGTGAATTAACTTTATTTATTACAAAAAGGAAATAGGAATTTTTCGTTACGTTACAGTTTAAAGTTACAAGTAATATCACTATACAAATGATTATTATTCATTCGTTACTTACTAATTAAATAAATAAAATTAATAATTTCTAGTTTGAGAATTATCCCGTTTCTGTTCTATTATTTGTTTAACAAAAAATTAAACCTAATGTTCCACTTATTTTTCACGATTAAGTTGATTAGTAATAATCTTAAATGCATAACGTATTTATTTATATATGTATATAGAAGTAGATACACACAAACATTTGCAATAAACATCTAAACTATAATGTCGCAAGTATACATGTCAGTATATTATATCAAGAAAATCGTTATCCTCGTAGGAGATCTGTGATGAGGAAGCTCAAGCTGACGACGAATCGACAGAAAAAGACAATGCTACGTTGGATGAAGCACCCTCAATTCATTCCTCCATAGAAGATGGTCCGCCATCCTTGGCTGACGTTTCCTTACAGACAGGTCAAAGTTTACTGGTCGACGACGTTGTTGAGAGAAAAGCGCAACTCACAAAACAGACGTCTACGACACAGATGCCATCGTCAACCACGTGTCATTCTCTCATGACACAGACATCGCAAGATTTATTACCAAGCGAGGGTGCTCAAACGCAGGAAGCTATAAAAGTTCTAAAGACCACAACGGGTGATCATGATGTGATTGAGATAGCGACCAAATATGTACCGTCCAGTCAAGAGGTAGCGCGTCGGAAACAGTCCAGCATTCTGCCTGGTGAAGACATCGTTGTCGATATGAAATACCAAGATGCGAAGAAGACCGATAGCGCGACGAGCGAGCTGAACATCGTCCACGCCGCGCCACAATCCTTTGAAACAGTTCTAGTCGAACCGGATGACGTCACCACCGAAGTGGTCGTCGATGCCGACGGCACCAAAAGGATTATCGTAAGAAAGTTACGACGTACCACAGTCACCAGCAGGCAAACCACCCAACAGCGTGTGTCCACGTTGTCGACGGCGTTCGGAGACGCGCCGCCGATGATGCAAGCTTTCTCGGAAGCTGCGATGAGAGATCAACAAGTCACCATGACCAGGACAAGGCCAGACGGTACCATTGAGACCACGACAAGGCAGATCTACGGCGGCAAAGTTACTACAGGCGCGCCCACCGAAGGTATCAATGTAGAAGAGTACGAATCCGAACCTCATTACACGCGCATGGTAACGCAAGGTCAATTAGGAGATATCAGTTGCCAGCCAGTCGAGGAGGAGATACTGATGGAAGGTGGTGAGTATCAAACGAAAACGTCAAGCGTTCATGCCGTGGTGCAACAAGTCACGAGACGAGTGATCAAGCGAACGCGTAAAATCATTCGGAAAGTTACCATCGTAGACGGCAAGGAGACCACTACCGAAGAGGTCATTGAAGAACCTGAAGAAGTAGAAATAGATGAGCAAGATATACCGCACATCAGTATTAACGTGATTAAGAGCGAAGATCAAAAGACTTTAGTTCCAGGGGAAAAGGCAATAGAACAGCGGGAAACGACGAGGTCAGAGATACCAATGGGATCTTATATTTCTGATACTTCGCTGCAGGGACCATTCTTCGGACCATTTGCTAAGGATATAACGAACATGAGTCGAGATAAAACAGAGGAAACCACAGGAACTTTTGTAACGACTGCGGAAAAGGATAATGATATAGAAACTAAAATATTGGATATTGAAGATCACAAAAAAACAACCAAGTTATTAGAAAAATCCACGATGAAAGTAGTAGATTCTGGAACGGAAACAGCGGACTCTAAGATAAAGATAACAAATTCCACACAAACTGCAGTGCTTTCTCCTGTGGAAAAGCATGTATCACAAGAAAACTTGGCTAACGTTCAAGCTGACGAAGGCATTTCTACTGTACAAAGTGACGAAAATGTAGTACGAAAAGAAATTAAACCGCAAACAATGGACAAACAAGAACACGAGTATTTCCCTACTGAGGTAAATGGCATAGGTACACTTGCGATTGATGAAGCGTTGATTGATACTGAACGATCTGCCGTTTTGCAGACTCCTGTCGAAGATGTCTATGTTACAACGGTACAATCGGAATCTGTAAAATCTCCATTAGAGGCCGTAACAGATGATGAACCGGTGGTCACCAAGGCTAGTTGTAAGTCTGACGATGCACCAGTAAAGAGCGAAACACTCAGTATCGAGCTAGAAAATGGCACGGTAGAAGTAGAAACGCACCATGGTGATAGCAGCACTGTAGAAGCTGATAAAGATGTCGATGTATTAAATGTCGTTATATTAGAGCCAGAGCATGATGGAAAGGAAGAGTCAAAAAAAGAGGCATCGCTCGAATCATTCAAAGAAGTCACGACCTTAACATCACTTCAAAAATCAGAGCCAGGAAACGAATCGATTGTTTTAGCGAGTAAATTAGACATTTCTAAACCTGACGAGGAAAAACAAGACGCGGAAAAACCTACGTCAAAATTGAAAAATACGGAAACACTTTTCAAAGAACGACAATTATCACCAGAATTGTTCAGAAGTGAAGAAAAAGACAATTCTAAGGATGAAGCATTTAAACCAGAGTACAAGCCGATGTTCCACAAGGTCGAAATATCTTTGTCGGTGCGTAAGGAAAATGAGGAAGTGGAACCATTGGTCTCTATCAAAACTCAAGCAGAAACTCAAGCAGGGGCTGAAATTGCTCCGTACAGCATTGTCAAAGAAGATGTAGACATTAGTCTTCCAGCGGACAAGGAAACGACAGAAATAATACACGATAAAATTGTACAGACCACCGCCTTTCTCACTGCTGAAAAAGAAACGGAAACCTTACAATTACATACCGCAGAAAAAGAAGTCGATGCTCACATCGAATCGCCAGAAAAGAGCAAATCAGATACGGCAAGCCACAAAAGTAGAAAAAAGAAACGGCACAGGGATAAATCAGAGTCCTCGGAAAAGCTTGTAGAAACAGACTCCAGCACTTCCATTGCTACATCAGTTGCCGAATCTATGGAGATCAATATTCCATCATCTGATTCGTCTAAACATGTTAGCGAGCAGCCGCAACCGGACGTTGCAGAAATCGTCAAATCTATCACCGAATCCTCTCTAAGCTTGGACGATGGCATTATGGCAGAGAATGACGGATATCAACCGGATGATAAAACCATGGATGAATTGTCGATCGCGCCGGAAAATGAGGATGGCATAAAGAAGAAAAAGAAAAAAAAGAAAAAGCAAAAGGTTCGACTGCCTCGAGATGAAGATTTGACTCACGTGCCTAAGACTAGCAGCGACGATGTGGCGTTTACGGATGATAGTCTTCCTTTAGAGATTCCTGAAGTAGGAAAGGCGATCGCGGAAGATAAAACAAAAGAAGAGGAGAAAATAAAAGAAGAGACAGAGCCAGAATATAAGGCGAAAGAAATTAAAGTCGAAATGATAGAGCAAGAAAGTAAACACAAAGGTGATGCAAATACTCAAACAACTATGGAAACATGCGATGTATCAACTTCACTCACTCCAAAAGCAGATGAAGAAAGTCAATCTACGTTTATGCAAACATCTCCTGAGCCGGTACCGCTCACTTTAGAAGAAGAAATACAAACGGCTAAAACTGAAGAGATTCATATTGAGACGCAAACAATTTTAGAACCCGGACTTGACTTCAGCGCGCAGACTATCGCAGAAGAAACCCCGGAAGTCGAAGATTCAGGTGTGCAAACTATGACACCCACGGCGACGCCAATGGAAGAGTTCGCTATTCAAACTAGTCCAATAGAAGATATCTCTCCTGCCGTTATTGCAGTAGAAACGGAAGATTCTCAAGCACAGACGATTGAAATTGATGTTCACTCCATGGAAATGCAAACTTCACCCGTTGAATCAGTTCCAACGATAGCGAGTGAAACTCAAACAGCAATAAATACTGTAATGGAAGTCGAGCAACAGACTACTCCACCACCAGTGACAGAACAAGTTATTGTGCAAGAAATTTCTATTCAAACGTTATCTACGGTACCAGAATCTCTCGAAAAAGACATGCAAACGAGTGCTCCGGCTAGTCCGGAACTACCAGACGTTTCGCATACAGATACTCAAACAATCACAGCGCCAGAGGTTGCTGCTGAAACAACGGAGACACAAACGACACCCGAAGAGAGTCCTCGAAAGGTGGAGTTGCTGGAATCTGAAATGCAAACAAAATCGCCCGAGCCAACCAAAGAGACCATGATGCAAACGAGTCCAACTATAATTAGTCCAGAACTTATGCAAGTGGAAGAATTTTCTCAAACGAGTATTGAAGAAATAAAACAGACTACCGAAGAAGAATCACAGACATCACAGACCAGTCCGAAGAAAACTGAAACCCTTGACAGTTCGGTGCAAATAAAGGCCGAAGAATTGATACCACAAATCGAAGAGAGTGTACAAAATATTCCCGAAGTATGCGATATCAGCGCACAAACATCACCGAAAGAAAAACAATCAGCTAAGACAATGTCGGTATCTCAACAGACAACACATATTCCAACTCAAACTGTTGAGGTATCTACGGAAGATTTTAAAATAGGAATAATTGAAAAAGAAAATCTGCGCGAAGTGCCCGTTTCAGCTATCTTAGAAAAGAGGAAGAAAAAAGAGAATGTAACGTCTATAGATTTAGTAGAAACTCCAGCAGCACCTGATGTACAAGTACCAGAAATTATGAAGAAGGAAAGAGAAATGGAAATTGTGAATAAGCTGTTACCAGAGATTCCTACAACGATTCCAGATAATATCGAACAAATGGAAGATCGTCCAAAATTGTCAGAGACTGTCGCAAAGAAAAAAGAATCTACGCCATCTTCAATGTCGGAAAAGGATACTACTTCGGATACATCGTTTGAAATTCACGTTCACGCGACTATAGAATTATCCGGCAGTGACACGCTCGATAGTGTTGCATCTGGTAGCAAAGAAGTGACCGATACTTCGCAGGATACCACGATTGCCGAAGATTTTAATAACGATACGAGTATCGCGGAGCACGATGATAAAGCAGCGAAACGGCACAAGAGAAAAAGAAAGCATAAGACTATGGAAATTATTTTACCGAGCAAGGACAAGTCAGAGCTCGAATCCGTATTTGGACAACCCATCGAATCCCAAGATACTGTCATGAAACTATCTTACTGCGACGTTGCCAAAAAGCATGTCAGCAGGCAATCTCCGGTGAGAGATGACATCTCGGAGGAAGCGGCATCTGAATATCCTTCTCAGATAATATCTCAAATCGAATCAGATGTAAAATCAGAAGATACTGCGTTAAAGACTGTGATAGAAAGAATAGATCGACGTGACGAAGGCATTCAGGAGACACCCTCAGATATTTCAACTACCTCGGAAGCAGTACCTATATCAACGAGTGATCAATTTGTGATCGACTCGAGTTACAACATTCCAGAAACAATAGTACCTGAAGTAGCAACAGTACGAAAGTCATTTGCGCTTAGTAGACCGACAATAGAACCATTGTTGATGTCGTCGGATCAGCAAAAACCGTCCGGAATCATATCTACGCAATCGTCGCCCGAGCCAATGGACACCACTGAAGAGCCATTGACGCCCATAGAACTCGAGCAACCTATTCTGAATAAAGAAAATATTACACCATTCCGGACGGAGATCAAGACATATGCCGAAGTAATATTCGAAACACCTGTAGTATCGACATCATCCAGCACGGAAACATACGAAAAGAGAGAATTGTGGAAAGAACCCGTGACCAAAGTATCGCCTTCTCAAGCTTTATCCGCGGTTTTCCTTCTAAAGGAATCTTTGGGATATAGCGCCAAATCGCAACATCAGGGAACGCAAACAATGCAAGCTGCTAAAATAATAACTGACCGAGTAAAGAATCTACAGAATACCAACGAATCGAGTCATTTAGGTAACATCTTGCATATCGCGCATCTGGAAGAAGTTACCACGGAGAGACTCGCGGAAGAACGATCGTCGGATGTTCGCCGAGAACTGGCACAATTGAGAAATGCTGTTCAAGAGAACGATGTGATAGTTGTCGAAGAAACTCTCGTTACCGTCGTTGAAACAATCTCGACTTGGCTAGAAACCATTGAATACCGAATCTTTCTAAACAGAGAATGTCCGACTGGGCCTTCTCACGAGGACGCTAAAACATTCGTTGAATTGAAAGACGAGGTGAATCATGTAGAAGAAAGTATTCACGAGCTCGATAACATTTGGAAGCAATTGGAGCCAAATTATCCGCAAGAAGAACGAGAGAAACTGCGAGAATGTGTGGATGCCCTTGAGCATCAAGTGAAAATTATCGAGAACGTTACTACCGACGGAGAGAGACATGCTAATAAGCAACTTGCAAAATGGGATGATTTTCTAAATGGCATTAATAACGTATACAGGTGAGATACTACGTAAAAATATTGATAAATAGCAATTTGTTAAATACATTTTTGTAACGTATCTTTCTGCATATTTCGCTGAGTCCAAAAATAAAAGTAGAAGTAATAAAGAATCGATATAATTTTATTGTTTAATTCTTTTCTTTTTTTCTATATCGATATGATAATAAATATAGCTAATTGAGTTGAATAAAAAACCATTATTAATATGACTATAATTCTTGTTACAGATTAATCGAAGAGCAACGTAAACAGCTCAATCATATAATCGAAAGCGAGTATTCTACACAATGGAAGTTACAGGAACTCGATAAATTGGAGAACACGAATCGCTGTCATATGTGGAAAACAAGTAGGCTTCTCGACGCTGCTCGCGAATTACTACGCGATCATCCTGGCAAAATTATACCCGAAGAAACCTACGCCGCGCACGAGATGACAAAGATAATTGAACATGGTATATGTGTCGAACGAGAGCGTCTTCTACAATTGCTCGCTTTAGCCGAAGAATACGAGCAAACTCTTCAGGAATTTGCGCAAATTATCGAAATCGCCGAAAATCTGCTAGACAGTCCGATATCCGTGATAAGCCTGGAACATCTCCAGGAGGAGATGCAGAAGCACAGAAAGTTTTTCGTCAATCTGAACCACTGTCGCGCGATTCTCGAATCGCTAGAAGGCAATCTAGATCCTGAAACCAGAGCCAAACACTCTGGTTTGCACGAAGAATTACATAGTAAAGCGACGGCGTTGCTCGATCAGGCAGCTTCAAGAGCGCAACAAATGGCCTTGGCCGCGTCGAGATGGATGCTACTCGAGCAGGGTGTAAAGGAAGAAAGAGGATGGCTTCAAGTTGCACATCAACGAGTCCCTGATCTTCAAACAGTAACTTCGACCGACTATGATCAATACATCTCCTTATATCAAGTTAGTCATTATGCTACTAACGCTTACAAGCCAATCAATTCTCATAGAGTGTTTTATAAATTTAAATTTAACAATTTTTGTCAATTTGTCATATTTTAGTCTCTATCATCGGATGTAGCGACTCATCATGCACGGTTAATTCAATTATTCGGTGTGGCACGTGGCCTTCGTGATCTCATCAATATCGAGGATCCTGAAGACCGATACGGTGAAGCTTTAAACGTGATCGTAAAGCTGCAAGACAATATCGAATCCTCTCTGAAAAGATTGCTGGCCTTTAGAGAGAGTTGGAACAATCAGGACATATTGACGAATCGCGTAGAACACTGGATGATAATGGCCGAAAAGGAACTCGTTACATTACGCGATCCATCAGGAAGTTCTATGCGTCAATTCTGGGTAAGCGTTCTGTCAATCTTCGTGTCTGGAGCCTTTTAGATATATTTATAACTTATTAATCCAGTAAAAATATTTATCGGTGCTGTATACCCGTACTTGCATTTAGGTCACGTTTTTCTAACGCATTTGGCCTCGTGCCATTAGAAGCACATATCCTCTCTTCCACGCGAGTCGTATTTTTAGCACGATTAAAATTGGAGGATGAAAGTGTTACATTACGTAACGTTATATTCATCTTCATCGTCGTTATCGTCATTGTTGATGTCATCTTTTTATCTGGATTCTACCGTTATTATTTCAACATATAATGCAAGGAAAAATTGTTTACGATATTTTGCTTCTAAAGTCATAATCTCCAATATAACTGCACGAGTGATTAAAAATCTTAAAATAAATTAGGTCTTAAAATCTATGGCAATTTTTTACGTTTGCAGGAATTGAAAGCACAATATGAGGTTCACAATAACATGCGAAATGAAGCGGACAACTACTTCGAGCAGGCTCTACGAATTATACCTCTATCGGACGAAATGTTGCAGCGACAGTTTCACTACGAATTGCAGGATCGTTGGAACGAGGTCGGTGATAAAATCAACGGAATTCAAAAAGATATCACGCGCAGCATTTCCTCGGAAGAGATCCCATCGAACGAGAAATTAAAGTTACTCGAGAGGGAATTGAACGAGTTACGAGTGACCATCAACAGTTTCCACGGGGTACTGAAGACAGAGGAGGAACTCGATTTGTATGTCGAAAGACTCACCATAATGTTCGAAAGAATTACCTTGATTCAAAACGAGATAAGCAGACTAGGTCTTCTACCAGCGGCGGAGAGCGAAAGAGTCGGGATTTTATTATCATCGGCGCGTTGCATAGAGGGACAGATAGGCGAAGAGTTGGACTCGGCGCAGCTACTCAGAGAAAAGATTCAGGCTCTTCAACGCGGGTTAAGTCGCTTTAGGAAAGCCCACAAAAGATTGTCAACAATATTGGATCAATGCGAGGGTAGCGAAAGACAAGAAAGCGACCTAGTAGCTGCGGCTGTAGATCGTTGCCGATCTGTCGCAGACGAATTAGCTGTTCTCTGGCAGGATCTAATGGGATTAAGACAGATGCTGCATAATTTACCGACCGGCATGAGGGTGACAGTGTCGCCGGTAGGAATAGAAAGAGACTTATCCAATATACAGGACGTACATACCGAGCTTGAATCCAGATGCGCGCATCTGCTTTCGTTGCTGACGAACAGGTTGGAGTTATGGCGACGATTCGAGAGGCAGCTGGAAATGGTGCAACAGTCTGTCCAAGAAGCGGATTATATGATGGAATTGTTAACCGTCCAAGGCTCCGTCGATTACGACAGACTGCTGAAGGCCACCGAACGTCTCGAGGTGAGTTTTTTTTCTTTGCGTTATATTGATTTACACAAAAGTGGAGCAAGTTGCGATTTACTCACAACTATGAGATATCGACTAATATGAAATCATCAATGACTTGTAATGCAAATATCAACGATTCCATTAAACGTCATTTATTATTCGCTACGAACGAATGGAAACTAATTTAAAAAAATGCACAATTAGATCGTACAAAAGAATCGAAATAAATCACACTCGCGAAACTTTCAACTTTCAACTAACTTTTCTTGTAGCTTACAAATCAATTAGATCAATTAGTGTCTTTTCACCATATACAATATCATGACATCATCGAACAAATCCGATTACAAATACAAGCCGATCTTATCAGTGATACAGATTGTACACACGCGTTATGCGAAATGCGAGCGTCGCGTTTCCCAGCGCGCGCAGGCGTCGCGTTCCCGCTCTCGTTCGTTCTTGCGGCTTAGAGCCGCGTTATCGTACGCTGCCGCGCTGCCTATCAGTGCCGCGGGATCCGTGATCACGTTTACGTCGCTGACGAGAATATTTGCAAATCCGTCGAAATATCTCACTCGAGATAGTTTGTTGCGTTTCGACCTACATTATCGCTCGGTCGTGGCCGAGGAGATAAACGCGAGTTGATCGAATGAAGCCTCGCAGTTCTCTATGAACCGGCGCGATTCCCCGACGCCGGAATTCCACGACGAAGACGAAGCACAATAAATAGCCTCAAGGTAACGTCGCTCCGCTTGCGGACAGCGAGTGTTTTCCTCAATGGTACCGGTCGCGTTTCCGCTCCGCATGACACGTGCCAAGTCGCTCCGGGTTACATGAAGAATATTTGGAATAGAATTTCCGGAGTTTCGCGTTTCAGCGGAAAGTTATTGTGATCAGAGTTCAAGCGCACCACGATGATGATTTTAGTGATGATTCAATGAGTTTTCAGAGACGATTATCGCAAATATAAACAGAGTACAGATAAAGTTGTTGAAATTAGCTACATTTTTATCTAGAACGAAGTCAGGCGTGACGAATACTACGATTCGCGTGTTTGATAGAGCGAATGATGAGATTTTTTTTTTTAAACGCTCCATCGCCGCGAAATAAACGCGTTCATGCATTATCTGCGAAAGGAAACCGGATGTACGTTCGTGCGGGACCGACATAAATGCCGCGCCGTTGTCTTTTTGACGTCAGTGCGTCAATGAAAGTACGAAGCGGTCAATTACTCTACGAAAGCTTACATACAAAAAATTATTTATTGCGCAGCGTATGTGGTTTTCCTTTTCGAGAATTATCATTTTGTACCGTTCTTATGACACACCGCTTAATCCAGTTTGCGGTCGCGTGAATGAGTCTTTTTGTTTGGCCCTTAGAAATGCGCGCAATCGCCCTTGTATACGCGAACCGAAGCCGATTAGTGCGCGCGATATACGGTTCCAGTAAATAAGGTCGGAAAAAGTTGTCGGTTTTTCAAGGTTCAAGATCGTCATTAATATTTCTTTCCGGGGGCGTTCGATTATTCTTCGCGAATATGCGAATACATCTAAGGAAACGATTTCGTAAGGATTTCCGCCGGATCATCATGTTCGTCTTCTCCTTTTTCCACACTTGAGACCGTTAAGTACGAGTTCACGCGTCGCGACGAGACATATAAAGCAAACCTATGCACACCGTTATTCATCGATGCGTATTAAATCAGCATATATTACGCCAGGCGTGAAGTCGTCACAAGCAACAGGTCGTCTGTAACGAGATAGTGTACGTAAAGCAAAGAACACGGATGCACGCTCGTGATCTCTCGCATGCAGTTGGTCGAGATATATAAACACGATTACATTAAATATACAGCACAGTTATTACCCTGTGATTTAACTCGATCACGTGAAATTATACATCTATCATGTATACGTCTATATGATCAATGAAATTACATGCGTAATATAAATGCGATGATGAACACAATGGAAAAAGTAGCGGAATAAATGACTTTATATGGAAGTCTTACGCGATTCTTTGAGCAAAAAATTAATCAATATTAAAATGATATATATGATGCAACATTAGCACATTATAATAATACGAAATTAACAATAATGACGCTCTAATTGCAAATAGCGCGAGGCGTTTTTCGATTTTGTGAAATACAATCAATTTCAATTGACTAACGATATTAACGCGTCAAATGCTAACCATTTTAGAAATAATTACGAAAAATGACATAAATGACTACAGTTATTAGTGTGGTATGATGCGGTATGTAAACTATGGCACGTGGCGAAGCGCGCGTTTAGGAACGTCTTGGTCGACCAAGCGTATATTTATGATTTCCTCTCCTAGTATGCGCTGTCTATCGATTTATCTTCGCGATTCGCCAGAATTTCAGAACGTCAGAATGTTCTTTAATGTCGATTGATCGGTTATTAATATTAATTCAATTTGACGTACGATATGGCTGATGCACACAGGCAAATAAAACATGATAAAATATTAATTATAAATACCTAGCATAAATTTGTGATTATAGTTAAGCTTTTTAGAAAATTTATAAGGTATATCTTTCTTCAGAGGAGAGCGTAGAATTTTTATATTTGATAAAAATTAATATTTGATAATATAAGATAATGCACTTGCGCGTGCCTTTTCTTAGAGAATTCACGAGGTGAACGACCTCGAGTACACGACACAAAATTAGTTCAACCATGTTCTGACCGAATTCATGTAAGTCTCCAAATGTGCTAGTCTCGTGCCGTGAATTTATTTATAGCGTGTTTTGAGCAAAACCGGCGCTTTCTTTGAATTGTCTGGCGCGGAGCTGCCTATATAGGCAAAGTGATTCTTAAAATTCAAACACGTCGGATAAAAGTAGATATAGAGAACTGCGAAGTTTCAATTTATGAAAAAATAATAAGTTAAATCTCTCTCTTATTATACATAACGTACCTTTTAAAAATCAAACACTAATATTTGGTAAAATATTTGTAACAAATTTATTGTTATTATTTTTTCTAAATTAAAATTTAGAATGTCCTCAATAATAATTAAAAAGTATTATTTATATTAAGTAATTAGAAAAATAAGTGCGGTTTTGATAAATGTAAGAATTATCTTTTATGACGGTTTTATTACTGCTCCATTTTTTATACTGGAATGTATTTGATTAAAACAACAACCATTTGATTTCTAATATTTGCAATGTTCACGAATATGAAATATATTGCAGTTTCTTTTTTTTTAACGGCAGGGTCTAAACGGCGATTTGAGCGCTCGAGAAGTTCTCATTGGCGAATTACGTGCCGCTGCCGAGCCTCTGCGGGAGAGCTGCGCCGCAGAGGTCCGCGAAAGGGTCGACGCTGCAGTAAATGAGGCCGTACAGGCTTGGGAGGATACAAGGGCCGAATTGGATGTCCTTTGCACCCGATATCAACACGCGTGTAGGCTCTGGCAACAATATAGAGACTCTAGTGCCGCGGTGAAGGCCTGGGTAGACACCCAGATGAACAGTGTGGTAAATTTACCACCGGAGGAAGCAGTCAAGCAAGTTAAGGTAGGTGATGTCATAAATCCTTTGCCGTTGGTATAAATTAAATATAAAATCCTTACTTTGGAAGTAACCCACTTTCGAAAATCTTACTAATCTCTGTAATGCGGAAACGGAAAACATATGAGAAGACGCGCTAATAGCCGATAACTAGCAAGCAAATAGATTTCTAAGTAGTGACCTTCGTAAGAATTAGACAGTTACGTAAGAAATTCTCAAAATAAAAAGTTAGATATGCAGGAATTAGAGAGATTTCAGCCAAGTTTTAAAATTGTAGTTTTAAAACACCGTATCATTTTTTGCCACAAACGGATGATTTATTCATTCCTTCTTTTAAAGTTTAGCAAACAAATAATGTCACAGCTGGGATATCTTTGCATTTACGTTTAAGTGCTAATTTATTTTAATTTTATGTACATTTTAAATATGTGTAGATGTGTACGGATAGCATATGGAGAGATATCGAGTATCTGATCAAATATTTTTACGCGTATAGGGGAGAGTTGCCTAATGCATATACTGTTCACTCCGGTCATTATCGACGCGATTTGTTCTTTCGTAAATAAATGTTAGGAATGTCACATTTGTTAAAAAAAATTAAATATTTTTACAATTCGTATGTTCTATATATACCATATATCGGAACGAAGAATACTTTTCTTTCGCGATAAAGCGGGTCAAGGACATGCGTCAAACGCGCATTCGTTTTACCACTGGAGAAGCGCGTAATCTATTCTCTCGTTACGAAACGTTGTAAATATTATGTGACAAAAAGTAATAAATATTATTACGTATCCTCCGTATGCGGAGACAGATCAATATACATCAGAATATAAATAATTTTTCTTCCGTCGTAATAACGCGAGCGAGTTAAGGGAACGTGCAACAGACGCGTTTTCATCCCTTGAATGAAGAAGCGCATGATGTCATCGTACTCCACTGCGCGCGCGCACACCGTTTAGGGAATCATCGTAGCATACAAGAAAGAGACAAGAGTAAAAGTCGATTCATCATCATCGTCACCCCTCGCTCACGCTCGCGCGTGCAGTCGCAGGCGTCTGGCGTGCCGGCTGGCAGGGGTGGAATGGGTAGATCGTCGGGAGAATACGGGGCAAGAGGGCGAGTCGCACAGACGTGCGCATCGATCCCTCGGAGCCTACGCCAGTCCGGTCCAGGGCGTTGCGGCGTTTACAGCATCCAGCATGACGCTCTCGAAGTTTTCTCAAAGTATCGTTTATCTCGTCGGAAACGCGCGCACTCGTTATCGCTCCTTCTTATCTCTCCGGGGAGATTTTTAAACAGTCGCATCTGTCACGCGTGCAAGAGTGCGTGAGCGTAAATATATCACATGTACGATACGTAGAAATGTGTTTGTATATGTGTATACGTGAATGTGAGATGCGCAACGACGATTCGGACCATGTGCTTAGACGACAGAGTAGGGTACAGTGCCGCACGTGTTCGTCTAGTTTTGGAGCGAAACTTTATGAGAACGCGCGTCAAAAAGCAGAAAGCATGAATGACGATCTGGACTAAAGACATGTGCACGCCGGAGGAAAGAAAGGTAAAACGGTGTGACGAGGGAATAAAGGAACGATGAAATTTTATGAAAAGTAATAACTATTCACTATAAAAGCCGGAGATTCCTGCCGATTATAACAACGGGACAGAAATAACTTTAACGCCGCGAAAATAACGTGCGTCTCTTTCAAGATCACATATTTATCTATCGCACTAACAAAAAAAAATTTTTAAATAAATAACAAAATATATCTAGGTCAAATTAAATTTAATTTTAAGATATTAAATTCTTTAAGAATGTATTTGTGTTGATAAAAATGTTATAAAAAAAAGATTTCAAATAATTTGGAGATTGTACATGGAAATTTGTCAACAAAACTGCCATTCAAATTTGTTGCATTAAAAGTTGACCACTGAAAGTGAAAACTGTATATGAATGGAATCGAAAATGTTTATTCTTTGTACTTTACAAGACAAATGAAGAGTATAACCATGCAGCTTGCCGAAACAGCATGCAAGCGTGTTTTATAAAGACGGATATTGGCGCCCGTGCGAATATGCGGAGGTCTTGCCCCGTGGTTGAATGTACGCGTGTCACAATGCAATACATACATCCATTTGTCTCGTCATCGTTGAAAGAGGTCAAAGAAAAGAAAAAAAATATTCCTCTTTAACTCCATCTGAACGCATTGTTGCGATCTTATGTTAATATAGAAAGAAAAGAGAGAGAGAGAGAGAGAGAGAGAGAGAGAGAGAAAGTCGTATAAAAACGTAAAAACTTATTTTTTAACGTATTTCGTCTTAATATCGTAGAATAAAGCTAGTATTATACCACCGCGAGATATCGAGTAATGCAGATTAAATCAATATGTTCGCGTGAACGTGACTATAATTATTCAGGCCTCCTCTTCGAATAGTTACGGGTTCGAGTATTTAATTGTTAGGGATACAGCTGCAACAGATGTATCGATCCCTCCTGCGACTTCGAGCGCAATAATCAGTCAATTGCCAACGAAGAAAATTTTATGATCCAGCAAGAATGTGCTGTTAAATGAAAAAAGAATTAAACTATGCAAACCACGAAATGTATGAAAGACAGTATTTTTCGTTCCAATAATAATAATCTTAGATAATCGTTTTTTTACATGCTGGAAATAAAATTTCTCAATGAGGATTAAGGTATATGATAATGAGAGTTCCGGAAAAACGCGTGCAGCATAACACTTTCATAGTAAGCTTGGTTCCCAAAATACAGCTATCTATTACCCATAGACAGAGTAATAGATACACATTGCATGTCTATAAATATCGATAGAAAGAAATAAACACATGCTCCTCGTGTAGACGCCTCTAGATCCGTTCTAGATCCGCCTCGCTTGACTACATTTTGAACAAGAAAAACGATTTTATTAATGTTTTAAGAATGTTGTAAAGAGAGTCAGAAATATTAAAACACAAAGCTTCCTCTATGAGAAAGCAATAACATAAAATTTAAAACATAAGCTCTTTTATAAATATAGTCAGCATATGAATTCTTTTAGACTTTTTTATAAGTATTTTCAAAAATTAATTGATGAAAAAATTCAAAAAAATTCATTTGCTTACACTATTTATAAAAAACTTGTATTTTAAATTTTATGCAATTCTTAACATTTCTAATTCTCCTTACAATAACTTTCTTGATATGACGGGTTCGCACTACCGATACGACAAAAATACATATATAATGTAAAATTAGAAATACATACATATCAATCGTTAAAATATAATATAAAATAATAAGAATTAGATAAAATTTACGTCTTGTATGTCAGTCACGAAAATTTTATTCGGAATGAAAAGACTTAAAGAAAGGGTTTCGCGCAAAAAATTTGAGTGGAACGCAGACGCGTTAAAGCTTGGATATTTTAAACTTGTTTTAGGTTTGTGAGGAGACACTGGCGGAGCACAAAGAAAGACTGGCGGAACTGCGCGGTCTGGTGGCACAGATCGCATCGGACGTGGGTTTGGATGCCGGTGGACCGCTGCACTGCGAAGTTGAAGCGCTAGGTCAACGACTCGAAGATGTTCGAGAAACCTTGTCGACCCTCGCGGACACGGTGGATGCCCATGTCCTCAACCAGGAACTCGCGCGCGGTGATCTATGCCAGACGAAAAATTTCCTGGATTCGGTCCAACAGGTACATACCTCCGTTCATGCTGCATCTGTTTCTGCCTAACTAGCGTGCCAGTCAAGCGTCTTTCATTCGTTATAAGTTATAACGCGAGATACCCGGGCGTTATGAATGTCAAGATGATTCTTATAAATGTTTTAGAGCAATGATAGATTTAAGATAATCTTTTCTCTCTCCCTAATATAAAAAAAAAGAGGAAGAATAATTTTGTTAAGTTATAAAGAACGTAAAATACTTTGATTTTTAATTTCACGTCAAACTTTAGAGTTATAAGCATGTACGTGACGATAGTTCCACATATCTTTCTCAGATGTGTGTATCCGACGCGTTGATGGTTAATCCTGGTACGTATATATGTACATGCGAGGAAACGGATTCAGGACCTTGAAGAACGAGACCTTCCTCGAATTTCTCACAGTTAAAACATTTTTCAAGGATCGATGTACACGTTCCCCTGCGCTTGGAAGGTGATAGTTAGGCCCGCGGCGTTAGGTCGCTTTAGTCTGACGTATTAACGCGTCCATCAGTTCTCGAGCGGCGCACCATTGGTGCTTGGCACAACCTCGATCATCGCTTCGCACGCGCGTTTATATTTTAATCGCGGTAGTTCCGAAACAATTTGTTATGTCAAGGCCGAAGGGCTTAACCCGTGGTGGCAATTACATCAGTCACGAAATCCGCAACAGCTGAATGGCTGCAACACCCATGCATACATCGTTGGCCGAAAGAAACTTTCGAACTTGAGAGCGGCGCGGCGCCGCGCCGAGTTCCGTTTCCCGACGGAATTTACGGCGTGCATCGTCAACGTCGATCGACAAGATAAAGGCGATTCGATACGATTCTACTTGCCAGGAGGATAGAACTACGTCGCTACGTTGTTGAATCGCGTTTCCTTCGAAGCTTAGTAAGAACGATACTTAACCAGCGGCATCGATCGATGCGATTGCCGAGAATTCGCGGAACCATTCACGCGCACTAAATTAACTCATAAATTTTTTTATTTCCCTATTTATTTTTTTAAGAACCCGTCAAATAATCATAAAGGCTTGTCTGTCAATTTTTCAGAGTCTGACGGCGGTGGGTCAAGGCGAGTCTAACGAACAGCTGACGGTGCTACGGAATCATTTACTCGCGTTAACTAGAACTGAGCCGCAGCTTCAGTCTATCAAGGATCGCGCGTTAGACGTTTCCGTGCAGGAACCGTCAGTGGTCGAGGTGGTCCAGTTATGGCAGCGCGTATTTCAAGAGACCTTCCAGCAGTATCACCGATTGTCGACACGACTGATTCGTTCGCAAGACGTGATCGCCGCGCTAAAGCTCTGGGAAGAATATCTGACGCATGTGCAAGATTTTCTCTCGAGTGGTATGCCGGGTGATTACAATGGTTTGTCAGAGCATCGGAATCTCTGCGAGGTACATCGAAAACTTTTGCCCGAACAGCAGGACCTCATATTGTCGGTGCGAATGGGGGAGGATCGTGATCGATCGGTTGCCGAACAGTTCAACGCCTTGACAAATCTTCACAATGAGACGTTGGCGAGAATATTGGAACGGCATGTGGCAGTGCGCGACAGGATATCCGCCTGGGATAGATATAGACTAGATCAAGGGAAGTTGTTGACGTGGTTGAAAGAGGTTGAGAGAGAACGGCAGCGCATGCACTTGCAGTTCATTCACCTGAGACGGCTCGATAAGATTCTGCAAAGAATTCAGGCACTATTGGATAAGATGCCAGTTGGCGAGGCTCAGATAGAGTCCCTTCAGGAACAGCAGGAATACCTCCTAACTAATTGTGACGAGGCGCTGGCCGTCTCGATACGCATGGAACACGCCGCGAACGCACAACGAATCGCGAATCTGCGAGCCGGTCTGGAAACCTGGAGGGATTTTGTTCAACGAGTGCGGAAGTTGCACGAGGAGCATGTCGAGCAGTCTGACGTAATCGCCACGACTTTTCAAGAAGTCGGCCAAACATTGAGTGCGGCCTTCCACGCGGGACCAATAAGTCTATCCAAAACGAAGGAACAACTTGATTCGCTTGAACACCTGAGAACTCGTCTAGCTGACACGCAACGTCATCTAGAGTCCCTTGGTGTCATCACGGAACAATTGAGGGAGTGTCTGAGTCCGAGCGACATGAAAACATTACATCAACATGGCGCGCTTCTGTCACAACAACACGGCGATCTGGAGTATCAATTGGCCTTGTTAACCTATAGACTCAAAGAACGCTGTGATCTTTATGGTCGATGGGAGAATAAGTTAAATAAATTATTATCGTGGATGGAGGACGCGACGATCAGAACACAGAACTACGACACGATGGCGTTGGACGAACCTGAAGAGGCAGTGAAGCGACTTGAGTGTGAGCTGCAGACGGAGATGAGTTTGAAACAGCGCGAACTCGAATGGTTACAGAACATCGGACAAGAGCTGATAGAAGTCGCCGAGGAAACGGAGAAAACAAAACTCCAGCAATCCTTGGCCGAAGTCAACGAGAAATGGAATTGTCTAATGGCCGGCGGTAAAGCAAGAGCTAACAAACTGGTCGATCTAATTCAAACTATGAACTCGTTGCTGAAAAGGATAGCCGATTTACGAACTTGGCTGACCAACACTGAAGGTCAACTATCAGAAGTTATCATTATCGAGGAACCCACGCAGAGAAGTATTGATAAAAAGCTTGAGGATCACGACCATCTCAAGACTACTATTGAGGCTGAAAGCGGCAATATCGGCGAGGTGCTAAACTTGTGTGAAATCCTGTTAAACGATTGCGACATGTGGAAAGCTTCCTTTAACACGGACGCGATAAAGAACGGTATGGAAAGTCTAGAGAAACGATGGAAAGCTTTGTGCATTAAATCTACCGAGCGCAAGCGAAAAATCATGATGATTTGGAAGCTGCTGCAAGAGCTGGACAAAATCAAATGCGAGCATGAACCGTGGTTAGCCAAAACAGAGAAATCTTTGTTGGAATTGGAGAACGATCTTACAGAGATGTCGAAAGAAGAGTCGGAGAAAATTACTGAAAAAGCTAAATCGATCGCTAAGGATATCGAGGCGCATCAGAAGGCCTTGAAAATCCTCGAACAGATATTTGGGCGTCTGGCCAAGTCCGGATTGGATCCCGACAACTTTAGGTCGCTCACGGCCGAGACGCGGAAGATCATCGACAGGTGGTTGGCTCTCGAGACAAGAATCAACGCTGTCATCTCGAGTATTCAACGGGAACAGAAGACTTATCGCGAGTTTGTGTCCACGCATGGTGCCGCGGTAATGGGCCTAACGCAGGTGGATGTCCGCTTAACGCAAATGCAACACCTAGCCACGCCTGAGCAGAGATCGTCTTTGCGACGGAGGCGTCAACAATTGTGCGAGGTCGAGGAAGAGCTCGAAACTCAAAACGTTACGTTGCGCAAGGCAGACGAGCTGGCATTGCGAGTCATGCAGGAGAGCAATCCTGACGACGTAGCTGCGATTCAAGAGCTGGTAGACGAATATCAACTCCTGTGGCGGGATATCAAGGCGCGAGTGACCGCGCTGAAAGCGGAACTAGAGACGCAAGAAAGGTCGGAAGTCGATGAGGCGGTGCAAGTGGAGACCTTGAAATTTGAGCAGGACACAGCGGTTCAAGTAGACACCCTGCCGAGACTTGTCAGGATAACCTCGTGTGACGCATATTTGATGGAACTGGAGACTGCCCTGAACGAATGCAATAACGCCTTAAATGCTCTGGAAGCAGCGATAACACCTGATCCCGTTTCTGGACCTGGGCTCAACGCGGCTGCTAAAACTATCGTAAGATTTTTGCGAATTAACTCTACGCGTTCGTATATATGTACAAATTACAACTAATACAATCGAGTTTAAATAAATGTCAATATATCTATATGTATCTTCATTAAATATGTCTGTGTTTTTGTCGTATAAAGATCTATGAAAAAAAAATTAAAGATTGAGACAGTGAATGAAAATCGAAAACTATTAAGAATCGCAAAAATATCGCGCTTGAATAATGAAAACCAAATAATGAAACAATGTTTACGCAATGTTAAGCACGTTCGCTACTAATCTCACGGTATATTACAGGCTAAACTGATCGGAAGTTGCCAGTGCTCGATAGAACTGGTACGCCACCTTCATAATCTGCTCATGGAAGACGGCAAATTGAGTTCAGGAGCTGCTAAAAGTAGCGAGGTAACAACACTAATAGCTCGATACGACACACTCATTGCACTAGCAAGAGCACGTGAACAGCAAATCAGAGAGCTCAGGTAAAGTTTCTTTCACGCTCACTTCAGCGTTTAAATATTTAGTGCATTTCGAATTTTTGTAGTTTGTAATAAGTAAAGATTGCAATATATAACAATTTCATTAAAATTAACTTTTACTTATGTAAGAGCAAATTACGGTTCCGATGCCATAGAGGCATAGAGTTTACATTATACGGCACAAAAAAATTATTTAAATCAAAAGATATATTTATAAATGAATAAAATGTGTGATTTTGATTATATTACGCGCAAGACTTTTTATCTTTTGTATTTTATTAAATGTGGTACTTTCTGAGAATTTAAAACAATATTCGAAAACGCTAGTTTATACGCATACGTTATTAATTCTTGCATATATTTATGTGATACTCAATTTTGCAATATCTCATATGTAAACAATCATCATCCATTCAGACGCAATGCCATTTTTAATTTTCACCCCACTAATACCGAATAAATAATTAACAAAATATAATAATTATTATATCACTCGTAACAATATCGTAAATGCTTATCTCTTTGTGTTGTTTAAGCCTTTTAGCCTTTTGCTAATATAAACACATCAACACTGCCTTGCAATAATTTTTAATCCAAATAATAAAGCTTAGCAAAGCTAATTGAAATAACGCTTATCCTTTATCCTATACAGATCGTCTGTCAGCGATGCTTACGCTTTTCCATGTAACCAGTGAGTAACTAACTATATAACTAACTATATAATAATTAAATTCAATGTTAAAATAAATTTGCTACTACTAATAATAAATATTCCTGAAAAAGGTCTAAAATTTTAACATTTATTATATAATAAAAAGTTTTGTGTAGCTAATAAATCTTTTCAACTTTCATAAATATATTATTTGCAATCTCATTAAGAAAATTTTATGAAATAACATTGTATATTCATAAAATATATGTTAAATAATACATAATCTTAAAATATTTATTTTATAAATTAAATTGCAATTATATAATTTTGCATATACTGAAAAAGCTATAATCACAATTATAATTATTATAGCGATAGTGGCAGATTGACCTGTCCATTATGCTCTCGCCGTAATTGGGCTCAGCTGGACAATGATCTCTGGCGTTTGGACAAATGGTTAGAGTACGCCGAGGGTACGCAGAGTGAGCAACACTCGCCACCCAGTGATATGGAACAATTGGAGGACGTGATTCAGGATCATCGCGAGTTTGTACTGGATCTCGACAGTCACAGGAGCATTTTGACGAGTTTAAATATAGTCGGTGCTCACCTAGCCGATCACACCGAGGACACGGAACGTGCAAAGGAGCTTCGCGATCGATTGGCCGTGGCAAACGGCAGATGGGAGAAAATCTGTACGTTTGACGTGGAGTGGCAAGGACAGCTGCAGCACGCCCTCATAACGAGTCGCCAGTTTTATCGTATTACGGAAGAATTGTTAAGTTGGCTCGAACGCATCGAGGTCAGCATTCGGGCGAGCGAACCGATCGATCTGACTGAATCTACCAATATCTTAGAAGCGAAATATAATAAATTTAGGTAATGATCTTTATAAATTTTCTCTCGCGATCGATGAATGATATAAATACGTATATCAAAATAACCGAATTCATACAGAATACAGAAAATTATGTGTATAATAAAATGTCAAAATTATTATTTTATCTTTATTTTAGGGAATTGCGAAGTGATCTAGAACGTTGCGAGCCGCGAGTGATATCGTTACAGGAGGTAACTTATCCTCTTTTGGACGAACAGACGGAAACCAGAACGCGTCTGCAAGAACTACGATTAAGGTTCCAGTCGTTAAGAAGAATCACGGGAATCTACACTCTTAAGTTGGGAGCTGCCCTTGAGCTGGACCCGCGGGACGTCGGTCTCGCCGTTACGTCTACATCTCTCGCATCTCTCTCACACGACGTAAGTTCTAAACTGCCTTTACTCATAACAAATCTACATCTATCAAAGCAATGCTCGCCGTGACATAATTTGATTAATTTATCTATATTACTGTCGCGAGCTCGTATAAGCCTGAAGTAGATTTCATAATAGATAGTGTTACACCAGATGTAGTCAATGTACAACATTGAGATATATATATATATATATAATGATAATTTAAGAACAAAATTATATTTTAATTTAAAAATAAAAAACGGAATTTCTAATTTATTGGCGCTCGATCAAGTGTCGTAAATATAAAATCCGACGTAATGCATTTTATTTTAATTTTCTAACATCCACACACAATGGATATATAATATATATTTTTATTTTGAAATTAAAAGTTTATTAGTCTTGTAGCATTTCAAAATATCAATAATTAAATTCCCAACATTTACAAAATAGCATGATGATTTATGTGCCGAGAACGAATTACTATGGTTAAATGTACTTATACTACGCGATATGTACAAATATTTTGATCGATGAGATCAGTAAAAGTCGAAGAATTCAAATATTCAATCGATGTCGATATTGATCGAGAGTTTTTATATAACCTTCTTTTTATATGAGATCACTTACCGCCGTTGCTGCCATTATCGGAATTTTTGATCGGCGTCGACTTCTGGCTGATGTTATTCCGCTCCAACTTCATAACAGACGCCAAAGGAAAAGAGAAATGTTCTAAAAAGACTCGAATACTCGGAAGGAAATCGTTATTAATTACGACCGCGCGTGTTTAATTAACATGTTAGAACGGTAGCCTGAGCACTTTGTTCGATGTTCGAGCACTTATTTTCGCGTTTGGTTCACTTTTGCATAAAAAACGCGGGTAAAAAACGCGGAGCGATCTCGGCTCGACCGCAACACGAATTCAGTAATGCCGGCCTGGCGCCACCTGGCGCGGAGTGCGGACCGCAGCCGTGTCGACGCGGGGCGCGAACTGAAAACTGAAACAGATATGGCGGCGCACATGCACATACCTGAAATAATTTGAATAAAAATTACAAAATATAAATCTATGTTAAAGATACTAGTACTTTTTTTCCATAAAAAGAGAATATAGTATATATGATACACAGAGTAACTCGTTACTACTGTATTAAAAATCGATTCTTTAGAAAATCAGAGAAAAATGAAATTTTTCCATGTCTATTTCTAAATACGCAAATTTTTTAATCACTATAATTCAGTCAACTTTCGAATTATAGATAAAAGATTCTTTTAAATGTCACTGTAGCCATAACGTTTTGATGATATATTAAAAACTTTATCTTCAAATAATCTAATAAAAATCTTTAGATCTGCTTTAAATGCTGACTGGGGATATTTGTATTTTATAGATTCCACGATAAAGTGTCTCTTTTATACATTATTTGATGAGAAAGCGATCTTTGCTTTTATTTCTATATTGATGTATAGCGTTTATCGTAGATATTATTGCACAAATTAGTAAAATCACGAACTAATTTCAGAGCAAGAGGCGTCATCCGATGATAAAAAATCATCGCGATGGCACTTCCACGCGTTCCATAAAGTTATTCGTAGTAATCACTTGCACAGTATCTTATTGTTTGTGTTTTCTGTTTTGTTAAACTGTAGCTACTCGACGAAGCTGCCTCTGGGACTGCTCAGCCTCACGCCAACGGCACAGAGTATGTTGTTTTCTTTTTCCCTTTTTCGTGACGATATCTGTCCATTAGCTTCTTCATGATAGAACTTTATTTAAAGTTCTGTCGTTTGTAAGAAAATGTTGGCTCTCGCGCCACGATCGACGAGACAATCTCATTTAATATTCCATTACTATCTGTTGCAGTGGTGACGAAAGAGACCGGACGGTAGTGACACGTGGTTATCGTTTCTTAGGACGAGTTCTACGAGTTTCTCTCCCAATCCAAGCGCTGATGCTGATACTGCTTGGCGTCGCATCGCTGGTGCCGTCTGCAGAGGAAGACTACAGTTGTATGCTCTCTAACAATCTCGCGAGAAGCTTCACGCCGATAGCCTCCTATCCGAATGGACCGCCACCGGTGTAACAGTGAACGACGACGTCGACGACATCCTCGTTACGCCGCGTGTCACCTTGCCAAGATTTGAAATTGATACTTCACACGAAACGTTGGCGAGGCAAGCCGATACAAAGCCGATCAAATTTCTTTACCTTTACCCTGCGCAATTAGCATTGAAAGATATGAAATTCAAACTGCCCTGTGCTTGCTTCGCCAATGTTTCCATTTACTGCAGCCGCTGCAATGCGCGTATCGCAGGAATCTTTATATAATATACATATATTGTAATTTTACATACGACGAATTTGTACGTAAGTTATGTAACGGACCAAACGGTGACTGAGAATATGTAGCCGACGAGAAAACACACATTCTTTAATTTATTATATATATATATATAAAATATTGTATATTTCGCTATTCAGCGCGTGCAATATCATGCTTCCTTTCGCGCGAAGCGTGCACGGTTAAGTGTCTCAATATTATGATGGATAATATCTTGACAAAGTATTTGTTGTAAAAATGTTGACTGATTCGAAACGTTCGAATGTGTGTACCGACCTTGTATATTAACCCTTCAGTTGCGAGAGACGTATACATACGTCTTGAGAAAGTTGCCTTTCATTTGCGAGGAAAGCCTATATATGTTTGTAGTTGAAGTTTGGAGCATTGGAGCGAAAATTAAAAAATTGCCCAAATTCAACAGGCTTATAAAAATTAATATATATAACTAAAATAAAACAATAAAATTATATAAAACAAAAAACAAATTTCAAATAAATAAACAATAAAAAAATATCGCAGAACAAAAATTCATCCGCACGTACTTGCTTATTGTATATACATTTTCTCTCGCTACTTTTGTCGCCAATTCTGGTAAGATATGGCTACAGTAAAAGCGACCATTTGGAAGCAGCTCGAGCATCATGATCATATCAGTCAGACTGTCGACAATTTTAAAAATTTCGGTGAGGAGAAAATGTTAGAATTCTACTGAGAAAAGTTCCAATCATCGTCCGGAGCATTAATAGTCGCACAAACGGAAGAACTCAAGTCACTCGATTATCTCGCTAAATGCGAGAAGGCATATTATGATCAAAAAAGAGATGTTACAACTTCGGCTGTAATCGGCTATTCGAACTTTCAGGTAGCGAGGACGAGCAATCTTTAAATATCTTGGAAAATTCTAATAAAAAATGAAACTGAAAACAATGTATATAACTTCTGAATGTATATTTATTTTTATTTTTTATATAATTTATCGAACACATTATCTAATCAAATAATATATAAATTATAATTTGATATTAGCAATCTACTTCAGTTCTATCCGAAAATATTTTTATGTATGTAAGAAATAATAGAGATGATATCGTATTCTATCATTTCTATTTCTCTCTTTCTCTTTTTTTTCTCTCTCTCTCTTACATAAAATACAATGTGACTTTTAAGCCAAGGAGTAAATTAATAATTATTGATAAAGACTTTATTGAACATATCAGATAAATAATCTGGTATTCGTAAACCAAAATTATGATTAAATTATGCCTTCGATCTTTCATAATTCTATTGAACGGGGGTAAGAAAGAACAGGCGACGTCTGTAGCGGGAGGATATCGACGCTACTCTTAGCAACTCAGAGTGGTCCTGTAAAAAAAGATGGACGTCTTTCTCGCCTACACGCCTAGCAGAGACCTGTCGGATGTCGAGAGTGCATTTGCATTAGATCGGAGTGTCCCTGGCTAGTAACTGAGCGGCTGCAACGCGTTCGGACGGTCCTTGCACTCTACGAACGTGTGAGTGCTCGCCAAGAACATCGCGCGTTAATACATTAAGAAATAAAAATATGTTATAATATAAGAAACACGATATGTGTTTTTCAGAAAATAATTTTTATATATAGAATTAGTATCTATTTTGTAATTTTATTACGTTGAATTTTAAACATTTGTCTTAAAAAAGTAAATTATATATTTATATACATCTATAAAAAAAAACAACATTTATTTTACGGAAATTAGTTTTGGCCATGTCAAGTTAAATTTTGTTATAAACTAATTTATAATACTTACCATAATAATATAATACATAAAAATATATTCTTGTATACACGTTTATTATCTTTTTAAAATATTTATACTATTTTATATATAACATTTTATATTTTAAATATATTTTTATATCTCATATAATATTCATCCATAATCTTTTCATATAAGTTTAAATGTGATCTTGAAAAAAATGCATGCATGTATTGCCTACGCGTTCGATAAAAACATGCAACGAGATGTCACGGCAAATTAAAGCATATAATATTGGTCATGCACAAGTGCGTGAGAATTGCAACTTTTTCCACGCATTGATCGTTAGATCATTGATTTGTATTTAAAAAGTATCCGCAACAAAATTTGTAACTAACAATTAAAGTTAAGTTCATTATAAATGCAAAATATGTCCACTTTTATTTCAATTCGTATTATAAATATTCCATTGTATCTAATATGAAACAGTAACATCATGTATTAAAAAAATGGCATGATGTTGTTCATCTATTTTTCGTAATTTAAAATTCTTTAAGAGAAATTTCTCGTCGAGGATTCTACTACGCCTTTATGCGACGCAATAGCGCAGTCATAATTTCTTTAAATAGATCGTGGTTGCACCGGTTTATCCTTCGTATTAATGGCGCTTGACAACTTGTTTGAGATTTTTTAGCGACTTTAACCGACGAGACGCAGTCCATTTAATTATCCTGCAAGATAATCGTCGTTCTACACGTACACTCGTGCCAAATAGCAAGTGGTGCGGGCTGTATCACGATTATATGTAATTTCGACGTGGCGATTAAATTCTTTTTTTTAGATCGAGATATCAAGAAAGCCATGAGTCAGAAGAGTATGTAGAATCGTGATTCGCGTAAATTATTCTCAGAAGATCGACATTTTGAAGGAGTCACAACACGTACGTACTCGCATTTTAGCATAAAACGCGATCGAGCTACACGGGCATTCCAATCCCACGCAAATCGCCATTTCTCTCTAAGTCTGCACATAAAACATTAAGTATTCGCGAGAACGCCAAACGCGGCGATAGTTTTAATGTTCGCAAATCGACATATATATATATATGTATATATGTATGCTTTATATATATATATATATATGTATGCTTTTCATAATATCCTTCCAAAATTGTTCTTAGCGATTGTATATTATTTAAGAATTATTAATAAAAATATATTATAGACTTGGATCTTTCCTTGACAAATGTAATATTATATAAACTGCTATTCATTCATTAATTTTATATTTAATCTTTTATATTTACTTTCAAATACTTTTTCTCGTCAAATTATCACAGTTCTCAATCATAAGCTCAGAGAATTGCAATAATTACGACTTGTTAAATTTTATATATAAATATATAAAATTTTATTTCTAATTTTATCACAAATCTAAAGGAGATTTTCTTCTATAAATGTAAATATATGTTCTGATCTTAAATATTTAGACTTGCGCGTCAAATTATTCTGTTAGTGCGTAATTATCTAAAAAACGAAAATTATACTTCTCCGATATATATATATATATATACATGTGTGTATTCAAGTCCAAGTACTTCGACTAGGCGTCGGTATTAGTTCAATCTGCGGCACACTTGCATAATTTACAATCCCTCGAGCGATGCAAAATGACCGATTAGGTTTGCGCAAGCATCGAATAAATTCGACGTGTGATTTACAGGATTAGGTATTCCAGGGAACACAAGGCCTATGACTTAACCCATTATCGTGGTATGGGACGTGGGCGTCGAATGGAGATTCGAAGCGCGAGACATTTACAATTACGTTGCATTGTGGGGAGATACAAAAGAATGTTAATGCGAGTGTGGTGAGATACCGCTATATACGCGCTATTTATAAATCATCGGCCTCGTGACAGGTATGTATAATTTTTAAATCCTTGTTTTATTTTTATTCGTTTATTCTTGTCTTGGCGTCGATCGAACTTAATTTTTTTACGAGAAATCTGATTAGCTTATTACCTACTTTATTTATTTCTACCCACGTTAAAGGAAACGTGTACGATTCCGGTAACTTTGTCACTGCGATGTAATAATTATAATTATCTTTGACTGTTTCTTTTGCAGAAAAAAGCAACGCAAAAATTTTAACCTAGTATAAATTTTAAGTTTTTTCTAATTATGAATAGCATTATATATTTGTTAATGATGAAGAAAGAGATATAGAGAATTTCAATAAAATTCCAAGAAGAAGAAAACTATTATTGTGGACGCTATTTTATCCACAGCTAAAATTAAAAATTTAAAACTGAGACAAAAACTAAAGTTAACTAAAAGAATATTTTTATTTGATCCGTAATTTCTATTTATTAATTCTAAAATAAATGCTGTTTATTTTTAATTAACAAACGCATAATATTTTGTCATCCCGAATTATCGTTATAAAAAGTAATATATGCGTCTTCGTCCACGTTTCAATCTTTCATAATGAGTATTATTTTTATTCGTCGTTTTATTATGGTATGAATCGAGTCATCCATTGGCTCAATCTCCAAAGTGACACGATTAGATATTGCATCATCCGTTTATTTCACAAGCCGAATTCTTTTATTCTACTCTCTTGTTATGTTAATAAGATAATATATTGGATTTAAACCGGGAAGTATACATCTGTCGAAAAAAAATGACGATACATAAAACGTATATTTTAAAAACATAAAGACATGACGAAAAGACACGGAAACTACTTTTCTGAGACAATCTCGTAGACCGAGCGTCACCGCTCACGGATTAACAGACTGCGTACAAGAGGATCCAAGATTATTATCCCCGTTCGCCGTCCTCCACGGAAGAAAGAGGATACGCGTTTCCGTTTGCGCTCCGGTAGAAAATCTATATAATGCGACTGAAATGCAATGTACGCGTGCACGCGATATTACCCGGCCAGACCCATCTCCACTACCACGCGATCGTTACGTACCTTGATCCTCCGCATTATGCGGAGGGCTTTCCATGTCGCAAATGCAGTCATAATACATGGAACTATATCCTATATTGCGTTGCTACATGGGCACGTGCTTTCGCGCAAGCCGCTCGGAATGGGTCGTGATTTTTGTATCTGTGACAAACATATAGATGCAAACTGTTTCATATCGCGCGAGTACAAAAAAATAAGTAATAAATTATCACAAATATCATATAAATAGATAAAAATAAATATCATTAATATATTATATATAAACAAATAAAAGAGAATATTGTGCAGGAATGATTAATTATTTCTATAGAAAAACAATTTTTGTTTTACACATAATATTTATAAGAAAAGAGCAATCTTTAGTGAAAATTTTCTTTTCGACACTTAAGATAGCCTTTTTTATGTCAAGCCCTCACAAATATGTTTTCGTCGCTTTCTCCCGATTCTCTTAAGCGTGTCAAATCTTCGAATGAACGGGTGAAACGGTCTCTTCGCCCACGCACTAGGTTCTAAACCGATATGCCACTTCAGACACGTTGTTCGCGACGTAAGTATACGCATTTTCCTTGCGATGCGTCGTGCAAAGAGGATTCGCGATTCCGTCTGCAGCCAGCGGTCACTTCAATCGTGACCTTTTTGCGGGCGCATGACTCGAGAGGAAAAAGCGTTCTAGCGCGGCGAAAAGAAGAAGAATGCGAAAGGAGCACCGGTATATTGGAGCGAGCAACAGGTGTGACTCGTAAACCTGCTGCATTTATACGCGAATAATCTGGCTGTGTTGACGTACCTTAGCACGAGAAACGATGAGGGATGGTGAAAGGAGGACGGTGGTAAATAATATGAATTATCACCGCTCGCGTGTTGTTATTTAATTATACGTGATGTTCAGTGATCAGCCCGTATAAACTGTAAATTTTCGTAGATTTCACCGCGAAAACATCATATTTCCCATAGAAAAATGTTTCTTTATCTCTATGGAAATGTGTCACGACGTGATAAACGTTTTTAATTCTTTCATTAGCTACGACTACATATTTAAAATTGTGAAATAAAATATCACCGCCATTACCATTAAGATTTTGGACTTGTATAGAAAGCATGTATATTACAGTTATTACAGTTTAGTAATAGTTATTACAGATAAAAGAGCATTTATTATGTATAATAACTTTGCAAATTATTATAAGACCATATCATTTTAATTACGTTTCTCCTAAATTACAGTTAAGAGCAATTGTGAAATCACGATGTCAAAGATCGGAATCCTATCGATTATCCGTTGAAGAATTATCATACTTCAGTTAAGCATACAGTCCTTTCTAAGTAAGAATTCGCTTTCGACTGAAGAGCGTCTGCTATTTCCATAATTTTCTCTCGAAATCCTCTACGAGTTTAAAACCTGCTACAGAGAGTTTAAAACTTGCTCCATCGTCGGAAATTACATTCAAGTTTCAAGAACGACTGTGGAGAATCCGCTCTTCTAACAAACGCTCGTTTTATCATTCTATTGCATCTGCTAGGTGGAGAAGACAGGATATAGACGATAAGAGAAGAAAGAGAGAATTGAGCTGAAGTTGCCGGACGCAAGCGATTTTTCGTGGTCTTTTAATCGAGATGAAGGAATAGCGTAGCGACGCAGCGTGCGTAATGAGTAATGACATCTGGTCGGCAAAGGGCGGGGCCAACAGGTCTCACATGATCTCCCCGTAGTTGCACGCGTGCACAGCTGCACGCACGGTCCGATCATGGACCATCGACTCGCTTCTGCACATTTAAGCATGCGCATATACACGATTTAATTAAATTGACTGGCGTCGATTTTTATATAAAACAAGTTATTTATGAGAATTTGCATTCTAAAAATAATAATCACATACGAATATACACGACGTGCGATATGTGTGTGCAAATTTCTCTTACTGAAACACAAGTTCGGATAATCTTAACATCTATACGCTGATTGTGAGTCAAAAATATTCTTTTATGTTTCTTAAGAGCGGAAGAATGTCATTCGGCACGGGAACAAGTGCGGCGGCGGATCGTTGATTGCACAACGATAAAAACGCGGAAGTGCCATGGGAGAGGGGACGGTGTACAATAAAATTATAAATTCACTTCGTCCGTTAACAGCGGTAAAGAGACGCGCGCATATCGCGTTTACGATTTACGATACGCTTGCATTACGGCATCAGCCAAATATGGAATAAACGTATCTCACGATCATAGGAGCGAGCGAACGAGCGAGCGCGCGAACGAGCGAGCGCGCTGCGAGTTTTGTCGCTGACGTCTGAATCGTAATTGCGCACGAAATATTATAGCGTGCGTTCGGGCGAGAGTATGCCTTCTAAGAGAACGATAAACCGCGTTTTAGAACGTCTAACGTCTAACGTCTGCTTACAGAAATGAGATCGTTGTGTAACGGTTTAATACGCGCCGATATATGTATGTAGACTCGGCAACGATGCGATCAAATTTGTTTTTGTGGTTTGAGAACTACCGATTACTATCGCGTGTCTGCAATCCACGTGCACGAAGGATTGCAAGTTGATGTCGATATTGAGATGAAATATCAAATATGAATATATTTATCAATTTAGAAAGTATTCATATGGATATCGAATAAGTGTATAAAATAATTTCTAATAAAAGGTAAGAAAAAGACTTCATTGACGAAGCTCCAAGAATACGAGGGTACAAGAATAATACCATGACATTTATAAACCTAATATGTTTGCACACGCATTCATACTTTTTCCTGTTCGATTTTGTATCAGATATAGAAAAAAATATCAAATATCGGAATACATTTCCATGAAAAATTGCGTTTGCAAAATCGCTGTTATCTTATCGCAGATTTTGCACTTTTACAACAAAAGCGACACGTCAACCCACGTAAAATTACGATTAGTGATGGAAATGCTACATTGCACAAGCGGTATCTATCTATGCTTCATTGTTTTATTCGGCGGAACGCGCTGTGCCAGTCCGATGTCCGATACTTCGTGTGGTAGACGTGGTAGTTTTGCAGTAACCCCCGAGGGGTTATACGCGAACGTCTAGTCGAACAACAGTTCTAACATTTCTCGCACAGACGGGACAAATCCACGCTTCGGTTGTGGCCTTCTTTGGTGCGACGACGTGGGCGCATTTACCTCGCACGGAATTGCAGTGCACGCTTACTCTATCTTAAGTCGATCGTTTTGGCGTGAGCGAAACGCTATCGCGAACCATCTGGTTTATGTAATTACGCACACGTCGACGGATCTCCGACCGATGCGATATGTAACGCGACCGGAAGTGCTACGAAGGATTTACACTTGGCAACTCGTGACGAGAACTGTCGCTTTCCAGAAAATTACTCGAGATGTAATTTTCTATGAATCAGACGTGTGAAATAAACATATATGTTGTAAATACATTGCATAATTCCAAATATTATAAGTAGATCGAAATATACATACAGGATACAGGGCTTAAAATAAACAAAGCAAAATCTTAACTTCTTAACTGCAAATATCATATATGTATTCTCTTAGGCAAAATCGATGAAAATTTTACTGATTAAAATGACAGTAATACAGAATTTCACTGTGACCGGTGAGCGTTTCACTTATCTTCAGCAAACACTTATATTTCGCTTTTCCGTCTTATATCTGACTGATTATAATGGTCAGTAAATAAGATTTCACTGCAAGATTTTACTATGAAATCAATGGCAATCGTATTTGCAAGGTATGTCTATCGAAATTGCTTATATTTATAGAATTGCTATTTTTTGATGGAGAGATTTCCATTTCTATGCAGTTTATCCACTTAATTAATATTCAAATTTATAGAATTATGTATTACATATCTTAAATTTGCTCGCAACCACTGCAATCCAGCAATCTAATATATCATAATTGAAACCGTCTATTACTAATTGAATCTTTCCAATGAGATCTCGTTAATTATAGCATTGTACTTATCGTTGCTGTTCTTCTTGCTTTTCCGTGATAATACTAAAGTCATTTACACTGATTCCATTTAAAAGTACATATCTAACAAGATAAAGATGTTTGTAATAAACGCAAACAAAATTGTAGGTGAATAGACGATCTCAAAGTTTCTCGTTTAATTCGTTAACCTTTTGATTTCAAAAGTAAGATTATTAGTTTTCAAAATCTGTCATAATGTCTTTTGACGGAAAAAAAATTTGTTGTCGCAACGAAACTATCGCTGCTAGTACACATTCAATGTGAAAGTAACCAAACTTCGTTATAAGCAATTCAATATTATTCAATATT